ACTGCCAATTTCACTACTTTGCGAACCACAGCCGGAATTTTGAAATAACACCGCAACTGGTAGACGAAGTTATTACAACATAACCACAAAACACCTCTTATTCCGATCATATATATGCTCGAGTCCTGGTTAGCTTCGCGCCCCACTGGCAAAAGAATCTGCCCAGCCATTTCCACTTTATCAATGCCAAAATTCAATCCGACGCCACGACCCCTGCCCCCCCCCCCCCGCCCGAAAAAGTATATAAATAAATGATTGAACAAAGAAGTAGAAGCATCGCACGTCGACATGTAGACATCAGCATCACATTTAGTGTACCAGCACTTCCCTTTAAACAATTCAAATTTCGTCAGCAACGGTGCGCAATATGCGGGTGAGTTATTAGTGGTATGTTAAAAGTTGAGCAATAAGACAGACCAAATAGTTTGTAAGCCACAAACAGGTGTCATGCATGCCATCATCACCACGAAATCTAGACTTCATGCTTATATATGACCTCATATACGAGAGCTATAGTCGCCGCCAAAGCGTAAACAAACCTCGTGCGAAAAAAAAAAAACAAATTGAAATGCTAGTCCACGAAAAAAAATTCATTGTATCCCCTAAAAGTGCCTTGCAGTACTTGCTTGTTCTGCTTGAACGAATCGAAATATTTGCACGTTTTTCCAACAAGAAGAGTGCTTAAAACATACATCGACCACTTGCGACGTTCCTACTATCGCATATATGGCCGTATTTGGCCTTAAATGGATAGAAACCTTTCGGGGCATCCCATAGACTCATTTCGTACCTAGGATGCATCGAATTATACGAAATACAGCACGCCAGGAACGAAAAAAAAAAAACGACTGGAACTGCAACTACGCGAATGCCTTTTCATGTGTAAACGGAGAGCTTCGCACATGCTCAGTGGACCATGGAAGGGCACCACCCGCTGGGCACTATGGCGGCGCTACGTTAACTATAGCTGCATTGCATCAAGGTGTACCTTGATTCAATGCAGCTATCGTTAACGTAGGCGCCGCCATAGTAACTATAGCTGCGTTGCATCAAGGTATACCCTGATGCAATGCTTGTGCAATGTGACTGAACTTAAACACGACGAAAGCTGTTAAAATTGAAGATTTTTTCCGCCATAGTCAGTATGCCGGGCATGCAACTCGTTTGCTAAATCGCGATGGACCAACTATCAGTTGCCGCAGCCATTTTTCCTGCGAAGGAGCTGCCGTCACGTAGTGGTGTTATCGTGGCGGTACGGAATAAGGGGCGGGTGTAGTTCACGTTTCGGGCTAATTAAACAAGCTAGTCTGGCGCCGTGGTCGCATTGAGCACAACGTCTCATGATGACAGAATTGTGGCTTTCCCCATTATGCAAAAAGGAAAAAAATAATATATGGTTTAGGTATACATTCATCAATAAAAAGAAAGTGAAACCGATGTATACACCAGGTTGTGATAGCGAAGAATTCTGCGGCAGGACTGGGAAACACAAAATGCTTTCTTCGGGCAAACATTTTCCCGGCAAAGGAAAAATCAGCGTACTACAAGCGCTTCACGCCTATAGTGCTATCGGAGATTCCGGTGTTATCGCTGGCGGCCGCGTAAGCTCTCAAATACATGAGACTGTTCGCGTGCTGCGCGCCACGTTATGATATTATACACTCGAGGAGCTTCTCAAGCGTCGTAGTGTGATCTACGCCGATAGTTCTAACAGCCCTGCGGGTGAAGTGCGAATATATAGAAACAAAACATGAGTGGCTATGCAAAGCTTTGCCTTGATGTTTAAAACAAACATCCCAGTGGCTATATTCCAGAGTATTTGGTTGGTTGGAACAGTCTGACAGACGTGACTAGGCCACAGTAGACTCCTCCCATGGGTTCTCTGTGATGATGATGATGGTAATAAAATGATGATGATGATGATGATTATGATACTCGCGGGATGTTTGGCGCCTACCCATTCTGGGGGATAGGCCAAGAGTATAGGCGGGTAATTTAGACGGCATTTTTAAACTGCTGCAGAGGTTACTATGTCAGTTTAAAACAAAAAACTATTCTTAATCAATTCCAATTTTTGCCTAAACCGTGTCTCATAGCCCCTCAAAAGACTAAGCAACCATGAAGACATCATTCAACGATTATTAGTGGTCGATGCGCCGAATAAGTCGATTTCACTCGCCCTGTGAATTTCTCAACAGCATTGTATATATTCCCGTACGAGTGTCCCCGCACAGAATCCACAAATGACAACAGTATAGCCGAAGTAACTGGCAGACGAAGTTGCAGCCTTAAATTTCAATAGTTATTTTCCTGACGCATGAAAAACGTCGGCAGTCCAGCAAGAAATGTTGCATTGTTTCTACCTAATTCTAAAAAAAAAGAGATCGCCACATGAACGAGAATTGGGATTTTACATTGTATTGCATCCTTTTCATTATTGCTTCTGTATGTCTTGCTTTATTTCATTTCCTGCTATAAAAGGACAGAGAAGGCTAAAAATCCGGTGACGAAGAGGGAATTATTGAGCAATTTTTTTACTTTCTAAATCTGGCCGCAGCAACGAACTATACTCTGACACCCGTTGGCCCCTGAGTATGAAACCCAGAAAAAAGAAGAATCTCGCTGTGCGGGTATGAGCCATGGTAGAAGGGTCATCATCATCATCACCATAATTCCTGTTTGCTTAAACATATGTTTTGGCACGTACCCAAACGGGAGATTGGCCATTGAACTGGTGATGAATATATTGGGAAAAAATAATATTTTGATAGCGGAAAATGAAACAGTCAGTCATTTAGGGAATATAAAATCGAACAATCATATGGTTACGGATGAATAAAGTAAGTACAGAACAAATTATTGAAATGAACCAACAAATGACGATTCAGGAGTGCTAGATCTTCGTTAGAAATAACCTAACAAGTTAATCTTGTGCCTACTAGAAATTCACGGAATGCTATGCAGACGTTACTGTTGCTGTGGCTCAGAAAACAAGCCCAAAGGGAAAAAAATATTTTTAGAAATAACTGCAATGCTTGATTTTCCGAATAAAATTTCTCATTTTTTTCCTATGGCTCAGTGTGAAACGTCTGCAAGTAAGTAAAAGAATGATCGAGATTTTGAGGCTATTGGCATTGAAAACAAAGAGAATATTGGACCTGGCCTGACCTGTACAAATAAAAATTAAGAAGTGGAATTCGGCATCAAAATTTTGTGAAACACATTTCCAACTTGCTAGTGGCACACCGTTTATTATTCAAGCAAAAGAAAGGTGACTGTATTCTTGAACAAGTAAACTAATTTTCATAGAATCCTGAAGTTTATAAAGAACATTCACGAAATCACCATTTAGTAACAAGAAGGGTATCACGTACAATGGACATCACGGGGACAACTAGGCACCACCGCGCGACAGCGTCAGCAATTTCGTTTATAGATATGCCTGGATGACCTGGCGCCCGTACCGACCGCACTGTACTCATGCTTTTAGGGACAAATGAAACGAAATCATTCCAAACAGAAGACTGTAAAAAGGAAGATGAAGCGTGCTCTATAGTGTATTCTTTTATAGCGAAGGCTTGAGGGTTTCTGGAATGAGGAGAGCTCCCACCTAAGCTAAAAGCTGGACCAGCTACGCCATACCGTTTCAAACAATGAACGTTCATCACTCCTCATTTCAAATCATGTTTTAGTCACTAAGAGTGTAATCGACGCCCTTTTATCATTAAAAAATCATCACGGCAAAACTATTAAACATGAGAGTAATTATTCTCTTTTATATAATTCAAATATTTCATGCGAATTACCCTAATTCTTAGCCAATACCCGAGGATGGATGCGAGCCAAAACATTCGGATCCACATCTGTGTATACGCCAATCCCCGACTGTGGTTGGTTGGTTGTTCCTTGAAGCCCTTGCGCAACCCACTATACTTTGTCAAGTCTCAAACGAGGAACGAGGGGTCGTATTTGTTGACGCGGCTTCCTACGCCAATGGGAAAGCGTTTGGGGCAGTGGTAGTCGATGGGGCTGGCCATGTCGTCAACTCAGCGACGGTCAGGACGGAAGACCCAATCATTGCGGAACAAGTGGCCATCGCCTTAGCACTCAAGATGGATAACATTGAAGTCATCTACAGTGATTCCATGGCAGCACTACGGACGTTCGCCAAAGGGACGGTCTGTGAACAAACGCTGAAAATACTGCAAGGCAAGAACATAACACATCATCTTCTGAGTTGGTTCCCAGCTCACCTTGGACAAATCAACGATTCCCCTCCCAATCTCAACGAAGCAGCACACGAGGCGGCGCGAGAACTCTCCAACCGCGCCTCCCCGGGGATGCGTTCTACCGGTGAAGGGGATAACCGGGAAATTCTTACAACATATAACGAGCTCACTAAACATTTTTACCTGTCTAGAAGGATTTTCCCTCCACCTCACAAAACTCTAACGCGGCCCCAAGCACTCACATTAAGGCTTTTGCAAACGCGGATGTACCCTACTTTGAAAATGTTACACATCATGTACCCTGACCTATACCCAAGTAATCTTTGTCCACATTGTGGGGAAATAGCTTCATTAGAACACATGCTCTGGCAGTGCACCAAATTCGCTCAATTATCGCACATCACCTCTGCCAGATGGGAGGCGGCAATCCGCAGCTCATCCTTGGTAGATCAGCTCTGGGCTGTCCACCAAGCCCGCGAGGCGGCTGAGGAGCTTGGCATCTCAGTCCCCACGTGGAAGCTGCCCGCAACACATTGATCTGTGTTTTGGAGGACCAAATAAAAGTTTATCCAATCCAATCCAATTGCGCAACCCACCGCGGGGTACCCGCCTGTGGTATGGGCCATTGTCAGAGAGTTTTTTGCCTTCCTCTTCTGCATCACAACCACCTCTATCATCATCATCATCATCATCATCATCATCATCATCATCATCATCATCATCATCATCATCGCGTCTCTGGCCGATCGAACGGTGCCATTTTCTCTGCAGAGTTGGTGCGCAATTGACGTCGTGCAGTCACCCATTGGTGCGAGTGACACCGAACGAGCAACCATGTCCCGGAAAGGAGAGGCAAGCGTCTGCGCCTCGGCTCGTCCCAAGTTCATCAACGCCCCGGAGTCGTGCGTCGCCGACAGCCTGGCAGGCTTCGTGGCCGTCAACACGGCAGTGCGCCTGCTTCGGGGCTCCGGCGCACTAGTGCGACACGACTACGAGCAGCTGGCCGCCGACGGAAAAGTGGCGCTGCTGTCGGGAGGTGGCTCGGGACACGAGCCAGGATTTAGCGGTGAATTTGCTAGATCACTTGTGGAAGGGGACGAAATTTTTTCCGGGTATAATCATCGAACGATTTCGTTGTCAGAGCTGAAGACTCGCCCGTAGCCTCAATCCTTATCCACGTGATTTCTGTGACGCTCGTCCGGCTGTCGCGCTACTTTCTATGCTTGTACGCTATCCCCGCGAGTAATCATGGCTGGGCTCGAGAGGAGACGTGATGTGCGTCGGGTATCCCCAAGGGCTGGATTGGGAAACGTGACGCAAACGCCGTGTCTCCTCTCAAGTCCAGTCACAATGCGCGTAGGCGCGGGCGCGCGCCTGACAGTGTGTTATGTGAACTCCCTAGTACGTTGCAAGGTGGCTGCCTTAGCGCATGGTTAGCGACCCATCAGCGACACTATTGCTCCCTTGGCATATGAAAATCCTGAGAGCGACGTAGTTTGTATGGTACGGTAGGAGGGGCATAGCCTCAAATCTTATTTCTATATTGTGTGTGTGGGGGGGGGGGGAGTATCATTTTCTTTAATGTATGTTCTTGCATGTACTCGTATGAGGGCGCCTAGAACACATCTAACATGTGAACATTTCGGAGGAGCCTTCCGAAAGTTTGCTCGTTAACGTGCAGGCTTTATCGGAGAAGGCCTGCTGACGGCAGCTGTAGCGGGCCCCGTCTACACGTCTCCCTTCTCGGGCAACATCCTGGGTGCCATCAGGACAGTGGGAGGCAAGAACAAAGGTAAGATATATAGGTAATCCCATGCATGATGCGTTGTTCCTATTGGCTAACTGCGACCGACTGAACGACTGTAAAGTGGAGTCGAGTGCAAGGACACTTTCTCGACAACAGAATGCGTGTTCGTTGTCATCATGATTAGTTTACATTTAAAGGCCCCTAATGGGGTATTACATTAGGACAAACATGCCAAGAAAAAATTAATTCATAATCTAACCGTCATTAATCAATAAAATACAATAAAATCAATGTATTTAGATGCAGGGGCGTAGGGAAAACTTTTTCATGGGGTGTGTGTGTGTGTGTTGGGGGGGGGGGTTACCTGTTTGAAATGGTCGTTTTTCGCTTTGTATGCCATAGCGAAAAAAAAGGGGGTTTGCAAGGGCCCGGCGTGCCACCCCCAGGTGACGCCACTGTTTAGAAGGGAAGAAGGTGAAACGCTAAGACATCTTGTGCACTGGCGGAGGGAGAGGGGAAATGTAGGAGTGTCAAATTATCTATATGCGCTAGTGTCTGCTGCACCAAATGCCTTTTCACCAAAAGACAGGTAGAATGTGTAAGCGTCGCAATCTATCCATGTCGCACTAGTGCTACCGCATACACTTATTTCATTTCAATCGAACCTAAGCTAACCTAACCAAGCTCAAGAGGGCTCGACTAGACTTCCCAGTCGGTTGCAGTTTGGCGTCACGCAATGGCGTAACATAAATATTGTACAAAAAATCCACCAAAACGAAAACATTTGTTGTACGAGTCATCGACAGTTGGAAGAAAATGAAGCACTCGCATCACTTCAGCAAGGCCCCCTCCAAGTTCGGAATTGTAGATATGAGCCTCATGACAAAATCGCTTGAACCTCAGGCGTGAAACACACATCAGTATCAACACCAATCCACGCTTTAAAACAGAGGGTAGAGTAATTCTTAACATTTCAGTACAGTAATGCGGGCATGAAAATTTCATTTCTTAATTTTCTAGAAGCTGGAAAGGCTACATGAAAACGCGTTTTACTAGGCCTGCTATTTCGTTAAGTATCGATATATTATTCTTTATTTCATATTTATATGAAAAACCATGCGTAACCTCACTTTGAAAGAGCAGCAGTTTGGACGCTAGTGTAGAAGAATTACCTCTGGCTAAATCGTACACAAGTCGTACGAAGCTCTCTTTTGCAGTACATACACCTAAAATTTGTGAGCGTGGTGGTACCGCATACAAGCTGGCAATAATTTATCTGTGACATAAACAGAGATTTGAAAAGCAGAAATGAGAGTTTTGTAGGAAGTACGTAACGATTACGGTATGAAAGCGAAAATTGACTTCGATGGCAAAATGAGATAGTCTGCATTTACCACGAGCATTACCTTTGCTCAGAGCCGTTTCAGTATGATAGATGATTTATGTGGCAGAGTATAAGTGATCCACTTCGAAAATTCGCATCGGTACTCCCCTTTGAGCGCTTTTCTATTGTTCCCCCTTCAAACGCACTGCGCAGCTGGCATGCTGGTTTTCGTGTGCAACTACACGGGCGACCGATTGACCTTCGGCATTGCCATGGAGAAGGCCATCACGGAGGGAATCCGCGCCGAGATGGTGCTCATCGCCGAGGACACTGCACTTGCACACACCCATCCATCTACCGGCCGGCGAGGGCTGTGCGGTTCTGTGTTCATGATGAAGGCAAGGAGAACTGTCGTTATGTCGAGCGATGACATTGCGTTGTGAAACACTCCGCTCCGTTCAAAGATGCATGTTCCGATAGGAATGTGCCTTGATGAAGAAGCTGTTTTCTCCTGTTTCACCTGGAAATACGCTCCGCTCAAATAGTATGCACTTAGTTCAAAAAATCATGTTCCGCTCAGGCGTGCTATTGCGGAGCGGTGCCATTATGCTATGCTTTTATTACCATCCTCCACTGGCGGCTGGCTGATCGCGTTGGTTGACGCGGACGGACCGTCCCTTCGACCACTGGCCAAGCGCCAAAAGCATAAAAAAAAGCATCGGCATCGAAAAAAAGAATCGTTCCGCAATAGCACCCCCAGAACGTTCTTCCGCCCGAGTAATGTGCGCTCAAATGCATGTTCGTATCGATATGTGCTCCGCTCAAGAAGTTGTTCACCTCAAAAAAAGACGTTTCTCTCGAAAACGGGCCCCGTCCAAATGTGTGTTCCACTCGAAGCACACTGCGCTAAGAAACATATTCCGGCCGAAGTACGGTCAGTCTGGAACGCTGTTTCGCACGAAAAAATGATCCGCTCAAATACATGTTCCGATCGAAGTGTGCTCCGCTCGAGAAGTTGTTTGCCTCAAAAAAGACGTTCCACTCGGAAACACGCTCCACTGAAATGCATATTTCACTCGAAGCACGTTTCGCACAAAACGATGTTCCGCTCGAAGTGTATATATACGCTCCACTTCAATACATGTCCCCGTTGAAGTGGGCTCGTATCAAGAAGTTGTTTAGTTTGCAAAGACGTTCCGCTAAGAAACGCGTTCCACTCAGATACACGTCCACTCGAAGTTTACGTTCCGCTCAAAAGGATGATTGATTGATTGATTGATTGATTGATATGTGGGGTTTAACGTCCCAAAACCACCATATGATTATGAGAGACGCCGTAGTGGAGGGCTCCGGAAATTTCCACCACCTGGGGTTCTTTAACGTGCACCCAAATCTGAGCACACGGGCCTACAACATTTCCGCCTCCATCGGAAATGCAGCCGCCGCAGCCGGGATTCGAACCCGCGACCTGCGGGTCAGCAGCCGAGTACCTTAGCCACTAGACCGCCGCGGCGGGGCCGCTCAAAAGGATGTTCCGCTCAAAGTATACGCTCCGCTCAAGCTGATGCATGTTTCCACTTCGAGGCCTCTGCCGACACAACCGCTCCGCAAGTCGCACGTCGCCGCGTTCACAGCTAGTTTAATGCAGCTGAAGGAACGTAATCCGCCAAGATTAACTCTATATTGTCCATAACTCGAAAACGGGCGTTCATATCTCTCTCGAGGATGGGGAATGCACACAACTCCATTCCCTTGTTTCTTGTGGTGTAAACGGTGCGTCGTAGCGCATCCGGTGTTTCGCGAAAGGGGAAGAGTGACTCCGCAGCTCTATCCTATATCCTTAGTCTCTAGAAAGCACGTTTACTTTGGGGCAGACTTCATAGAGATATCTTTGAAATCCATTGGGACGATGACCGAGCTAACGTACAAGATTAACAGTACGTTAGGTTGGGCTAGTTGGTACATATTAGACTGAAATACGTGGCGCAAGGTTGCCAAAGAGAAGAACGAGAAGAGACAGAAAGCGTGCCAACTCATTCGCACCCCGTATTTCAGCCTAACATACAAGAGAATGCGTCGTTGACGGAGCGTTTCAGTTTCACTCACAGGTTAAGGTAATCACATTCCATCTCAACTAGTTTGCAGGCGGCTTCGGAAAGCGCATGCGTTTGGCACAAATTATCGGTACGCAGGACGTTCCATTCTTCGTCGTTCAGCTTGACAAGAATGTCATTCGTGTAACTAGTTATGAATCAACAGTGATTTGTTTTTTTTTCACTAGCGCGCTAACGGCTAATGTTATTGGCAGTATTTTTTGATCTAGCGTGTTTCGAGAAATGGCACGATGTGCCCCAAAATCATTTTGCTGTTCTCGATAGTTTGACCAGCAATACATATATTTCGGTGAACGTCTCCACCATGTACTGTTCTATACTGAACTGTACTGTACTGTAGTGTAGTGTACTATACTGTACCCAGCATGTACGCACTAAGAAAAATAAAGGCGTACTAGGGCTGTTTTCCTTCCCCACAACTATAACCACCAACACCACTAGAAAAAACGGTGTATTTTGGGAGTATTGCTGCCACGCAATTATAATCCCCTACCTCGAGTGTACTTTCACTACGCTATCACCGCTGTCCCAGCTCTTGCGAGGGACGATGCGCAGAGCGCGCTATCGGCGTGACACGCCATTCTCGACAAGAATAAAAAAAAGTGGGGAAAGCTGGAGTTTTCGAGGAAGTAAACGAGACGACGAGTATAGACGCGTCGCAGAAATACTCCCCCAAATACTCGACTTATTGTGTGCGAGCACTTAAGGGGGACGGGCTGTATGTTGTGATCGTATGGAGCCATTGTCGCTTGGCGTTGTGTAGCAAAACCGCACGGCACAAAGTGCAGCAGCACATTGAGCGCATGCTCGCACCAGATATGCCTTCCTCCTCTTGCTCTTCGAGCGCCTTGATGATAATAGTAAGTGCGTACGTCACTACTGTTGCTATGGAAACGTGGCAGCACAAACCACGTATAAAAATTGAAAGATGAAGCACGCGAGGAGTAGAAAGAACTGAGAAGAAGTGGAAGAAAGATAGAAGAGAAATAATAGAAGAACTAGAAAAGAGAGTAAGACGGAAAGAGAGGAGGAAGGAGAAAACTGGAGAAAAACAAAAAAATGATTTCAAAACAATCTATTGCTTAACATTTTGGCATTATGAACGAATTCTGTTATATAGCAAGGCACTGCTCGTTTCATGAGACCAATCCCCCCATGGTGGGTGGCGCCAGGATAAAAAAAAGACAATCAATCAATCAATCAATCAATCAATCAATCAATCAATCAATCAACAGCTACACACTTCCTTCCGACTTGGCACCACTAGGGCAAGGCTGCTTTTTTTTTTTACTTAGAGTGTATAGCGTGGCAGAAACACACCCCAAATACTCCTATTTCATTTAGTGTGTGATAACGTCGATGAACTTCAGCCCTAATTTGATACTCGCCCTTTACCCTCGCCTGACGCTATAGATTGCGGGTGCTATGGCCGAGGAGAAGAAAAGCCTTGATGAGATCAAGACGTTTGTCGAAGCGAAGAAGCAGAATATGGGTAAGTGTCTAATCATGATCTTTCGTAGGCTTGCTAGGCGAAAGGAAACGAAATATAAGGCCACGCAAAAAGTTTTGTTTGGGATAACGTATAGATGAGCGTCCGTGCAAGGATTTCGCGTCGCAAATGCGAGTGGATACGTAACGTGTAAATGTACAGCACAATAATATAAAAGACAAATTTGCCTCTTTTGTGTACAAATAAAAAAGAACCATGAATCTCCACGGAGCTAGTGAATCACGACAACTGTTCGAAGCACTGGGGATCGCCCTTACCGGAAATCACTCATGTCACTGCCCACTCGGGCATGTAAACGAGTTGCAACGTGTGTGTACAGAAACACCGCTTTCCGCACCTTAAATTCCGTGGTAGCTTGTTGTCTTCGTCGGCGTTGCCTTTCTCGGACGAGAGCACGTTCACTTTCGTTTTCATTCATGGCAGCAAGGAAATGTGCGGTCTAGAACACGCTTATTCTTCGTCGTCATCAACGCGATCGTCATTGTCACCGCGAGCACGGACAACGCACAACGAGAAAGCCTAGCCCAAGGTGCTTCGTCGCTAAAAAAGATGATGCGTCCCTAAAAAAGATGAGGTCACTAGTCCTTGCCAGAAACGACACACGGCAATGACAACACCAGAGTCATGCGATATAATGAAATGTAATAGCGCCTCCTCTGCATAGAGGAGGTGCTGGTTTCTAATATCAGTGAACTTTAACATATGACAGAAAGCGCGGCTTTGCGTCGTCATGTACGGTTATGGAAGGAGGCGGGAGGGGGGGGCGGGGCATGTTATGACTATAAGATGCACGCGTCGTGTCTTTACCGACTCTTTGAAGGCTGTTAAAGAGCTATGTTATTACAGCTTAAGTGTATCCTTGAGTGCCCTCTTGATCGAAGCACGGCAGGCGAATGAAGCGGTACAAAAACACTCGTGACATATGTAATTGAAGGCGTCATGGTGTCATGTGACCTCACAGGCCGCCAACGTGTGTAAGGCCAGAGGAGATTATGTACCAGGACAACGTTATCATTTCACATCGATCGGTAAACGGACGTCTACGTCGCTGCCAGTGGAACATCACTCCAGCTGCAGAGAGCCACTGCGAAGAAAGGCACAATGCCATTGACTAGGAACGTCAAGCTTTATATAATGCGTGTCTCTCAGACTTCGCTCGACATGTCTTAACTGCACGAGACCTGGTTGCCTACTGTGTAACCTAATGCATTATTGAGTGTATTGCAGACTTTCGCCTCGAGGTGGTACTATATATAGAGTTATATAAATGTTTACCAGCCCAGCGGTTCTGCCACAACTTCTTGAAAGCTAGATGCTGTCGCGGATAACAAATTCTATGGTCCCGCGTGAACTGAATTCACCATACACCAACGAAGTCATTAATTATTTCATGTCTTTTCACAGCAGACGCACGGCAAGATAGGGGTGCCGCAGTGGAGCGGTGCAGTTACCTGTTGCTTTGATGCAACAATGTCTGTATATCAGTTAATAAGGGCTGATCGTTCTATACATGCATGATAAGTTTTTCCTTTTCATAATCCTGACCCGGACTCCACCATGCGAGCTTCCGCTGAAATAATTTGCCATGGCTGTGTCACGCACAGTCATGTCAAGGTCTCCACAAGACACTGCCTTCATCTGTATTGTTTTTTTGTTGTTCTTTTTAAATGCAGGTACCATAACCGTAGCGCTCACGCCTTGCAGCCTTCCAGGGAAAGACGAGCTTCTGTTCAACTTGCCAGCGGGCAAGATGGAGCTTGGAATGGGTACGCACTGTACGAGTGCACATTAGAGGTTCTTAAATCAAGCTTGTACTTAATTACTGTTGCATGGCAAGCGACCTCTGGCGACGGCATGAGTAGGTGTGAACTGCCAGTAAAACGTGCTTCATATAACTGCAGTTCTTTACGTTCACATACGTAATTTCCTCTGACATCCGGAATACCATCTTGCCGTCTTGCATAAGGTTCTTCTTTCTTTCCCCTATAATTTGACGAGCATTGGTTTTGAATCCACAGAAAATGTATATCTCACGTGTTATGAACGAAATGAGAAAGCTTCAATTCCTGTGTTTTTGCTGTACGAAAGAAAATTCGTCACTTATTTCATTTTCGTTTCTTCTAATCCGTGGGATTCGGAAAAGCTAATCAACATGCTATAGTTTTAAATCATGTGGTCCTCCTTTTCTATTCTATTCAGATTTTCTAATCACATTGTTTCAGGTGTTCATGGCGAAGCTGGGGCCCTGAGAGTTCCCGTAAGTATGTTTTTAGGGGCGAAGCTCCTTAAGGCGTGAGCTGTGCGTCCCCTGTATGTAGCCACCTCTCGTTTAGTTTTTGCAGTGTTCACTAGATGGTGGTACTTGTAGCTGAGGATAAAGAGACGCAAGATTTTATAAACTAGACGGCGGTACCTGTAGTTGATGATGAAAGATGCGAGATGTTGTAAAATAGGAATGATGTCACATATGGCGCGTGTCATTGGCGGAAGGCAATCATTCGATTAAGTGCGGTGACGTACGCTAGGGGGAACATTGTAATGAATAGAGTGGGTAAAATTTACGGAGGATTCATGGTTTACCTCCGGAGCTTCGCCCACTCATCATAATTCACTTCGTGGATATGGCGGCACTTTTTTACTACATCCTCTCACAGTGGTCATCCCTCAAGATTCGGCATTCGAGAGTGTATACGCTCAACATCGCATTGAAGAGAGCTAGGCGAGTGCGATGCATTGTATCGATAATATATTGTGGTATGCATCAGAAGAACGTGCCTGGTCTTTTAGATGCTACGAGTAAACATGGTCGAGAAGAATTTTAGCCAGTCAATCTACGCCATCATCAATTTGTTTGACCTTTTTTTCTTTAGTTCTTCAGCAGGCAACTTCAGGAACTTTAGACTCTATAAATCAGTATTGCTATACGCCCCCACTTCGTTTTTCAGACGTAGACGCATTTTTCATTGTAACAAGAAACACATTGTCGTTGTACACTCAGCATAGGCGTAGTCAGGGGTGGCACACGGGCCCGTGCACTCCCCTCCCCGAAACATTATTTCGCCATGGCAATACAAAGCGAAAAATGACCATTTCAAGAAGGTGGCCCCCTTCCCCGAAGTTGAGTTGCTGCCCCCCTGAAAACATTTCTGCCTACACACATAGCAATCAGTTAATAGTAATGTCGTGCTGCTGGCGAATTTGTGTAATCTGCAGTTTCCCGCGTAACAGTATATATGAGCCTTATGCCACCCCCCGACATATAAGGCTAATTTTGAGTTGAGCCTACGTTTCTGACACAAACAGAGCCAAGTGGTATTGTATGTGATACAGATTATGTCCGGGCCAGATCTATGCGTGGTATTTAGCAGCTCGAACCGAATTTAAAAAATGCGTAAGCCCTTCGGCAAGCTTGAGTGATTACCAAGCTATGATCGCCATAAAGATGGCAGTTAATAGGTTTAGTTAGTATAGAGTTTGAGATATGGAGCCCCAAGGAGCTTGGACACCCAAGAAGCTTGCGACGCACCAGGGCGCATGCACAGAACCCAAGCCAACCTTGGGTTCTTGCGTTCGTGTTGACCCAAGGCCCAAAAAATCAAATCGCCAGCGAGACGAAGCAGACGCATCGCGAGCCACGGTGCGCCATGGCCCGCGTCTCGCGTAATATTTAATTTGGCCTCAGGTGGCGTTCCATGAGTTTGACCAAACGCAGCCTGCGTTTAACCCAATCCTGTAACTCTGCTGATCCTCCAAACGCAAGAGCAACCTACGCAACGCAGCTTGGAGACCCAGTGTCTTGAGCCCCCAATTCTCAAACACTCTAGTATTTCAGTCTCATTAGTATAACACCGTCAGGACGTAGGTAACCTGGACGTACAGAAGACTTTACCTACCGCAGTGCTTCTACAGCATGCAAGAGGTTTGCTTCAATTGATCTTTGTGTGTTAACCGTTTAACACAAGTCGGCAATGGTAACTATGATCGTAATTATCACAACTAAAAATCCCAATTCGTTATCAAATAACACGATTATTCCTTTTGCTCTCGAAGGTATTGTCCGCTGCTGAAACTGCTGAGCTCATGATCAACCACCTGAGAAACGAGAAGTCCAAGAATTCTTTGCACCTCAAGGAAGGTATGCAAGGCTGTTCTGCAGAATAAGTATTCAATTCTATGCTGTCGCCGCTTGTTGTTTCAGCGTAACGCAAATTAGAATGCAAACTGAAACTCTTGTGTTCCGACACACATAGCGATGTCCCGAATCATAAACGGGAATTGATTGATCGATTGATTGATTGATTTATTGGTGATTCTGCCCACTCGGCTATCACATCCATTCACATATCCTTCTTGGGATGCAGGTGAGAACGTGGCCCTCATGCTCAACAACCTCGGTGGTCTCACCACGATGGAGATGAACATACTCGCCAAGGAGGTCATCGCATATATCGGTCTGTTACCACTGTCCTCCCTGTGCAGGGTGCTCATTATGAAAGGAACCTGAAAATTTGCGTTTTCAAAAGCAATTGCGTAGAAACCCATGAGGCCGACAGCATGAGTAAATGGTCGAAGTTCTGCTGGTTTAAAACTTAAAACTTATATCTGCAAGGCAGGCCCGTAGCCAAATTTTTTTAAGTGGGGGGGGGGGGGGGGGGACTGTTACTTTTATTATTTATTCTCGGTGAAACACCCCACTTCATTCCAATTTTGTCGGAGGGGGAGGGGCCATAGGACACCACCCCCTTCCTTCTGGCCGTGGGCTTGCTGCAAGGTATGCTTAAATTAAAATATTTTAATTTCACGGCATGATTAATTCTTATCAGAAACATTGCGGATTTTTTGTGGCCCTGCATTCTTGCCATATTCTGGCAATGTGTATGTCGACGTCACTGAAATCTCGACCGTCATGCATGGGTTACATTTATTTTATCTTAATTGATCAACAGCTTACAGGGGCCCCGGAGCAATTTTTGAGTAACCATGGAATTAATTCACTCGAAAAGCTTATTGACTCACAAATTCAATGCCGCAAAAAATCTAAGAATCCAGCACGAGCATCGTAGTTACAAAGATTTGTCACATGCTGCAATCGCATTCTCTCTTCTCTCGTCCCGACCAAAGCGCTGGAAGCTAAGCACGGAGGGATGGGCGTGGCAAACAAGAAACCTCACGCGCCTCGTGACCTTGAGCACTTCTTCCTTTTTCTCATTTTTTTTTCTTCGAATACACGCCTTTTTCAGTGCGATCGCGCGCGCAGGCGTGGACAAGTGAGGGCCTCTCGTGGTGATCTCTGTAACAACCGAGCACGCCATGTTCAAATCAGCCAATGGCTGATAGATTAGTAATCTACATGTGATTTTCGAGCGTCTTCCGTCATTTGTTGAGGGAAGAGAAAGCAATCTTTAGCTGACTTTGATAATTTACTCTGAATTCTAGGCCGCGTGCTACGCTATAACATTTGGCTCGCATGTTCTCGGGAGCCTCTACCACCGATCGGCAGCGTTTTGTGACCATGCTCAAAAAGTGTTGCAGAGCCCCTTTAAAAATCAAACGAACCATGTGGCCATAGGCGTACGCAGGGTTCTCGTCAAGGGGGGAGGGTCCCTTCCCTCATACGTCATTGTGCGGGTCCTACTTTGAACCCCCTCCCTTTTCTCACCGCCCCTGCAAACGCCTCATTACCGCAATACCAAGGCCTGTCGTCAGGTGACACGACGTGGCCATTTCTCGTGACTCTCTCAAGCAATTTTACGTATCCTAATAAAATCGCGAAATGAAAGCTGCTATTGCTGTCGTTATAATTCAGTCTTTCGACTTCCACCAGCGTATTGCGGCGATACATTTTCTCCGGCTGTCAGTATAGAATATCTAGAGTTGCGCTTTAAGCATGTACAGCCTTCTTTCTCTTTCGTTCTTTCCGTTCCATGATATGTGCAGAGGGCCTTGACGTCCGCGTGGTGCGCGCTTACACGGGTCTTTACATGACGTCACTGGAGAGCGCCGGCATTTCGGTCTGCCTGCTGAAAGTCGACGATGATGTGCTGCGTTACCTCGGTAAGTGGGTTCTACGAGTTGCTCGTTCCAGCTTCAACCGTTCATGGTCACATTTGGTGACCTGCTGGACACTGTAACTGCAACCAGCGCTGCTTGCCAGTTGGCTCCTAGTTCGTACCCTGTAAGGCAGTACTTGCTAAATTCCAACTGGCACTGCCGCTCTATCTCCCGCTGATCGAGCGGCCGTGCAACTGGGATCAATTGGATTCTAACTGAAACCAGTTGATCCTGTATTTAGTTCTCATTATTGAAAGTCCTAAGTTTGGTTCGGAGGTGCACATGTTCGAACTGGGTGCGAAACCCTGCGGTAGCAGACCGCATCCATGGTCTCCATTGTTCACTTCCGCCGTTAACGTGCTGTTGAATGGGATGAATTTGTTTACTGCAGAATCTACCCATTCCCCACAGTCTGTAAGGTCTCGCGACATTATGTATGTATGTATGTATGTATGTATGTATGTATGTATGTATGTATGTATGTATGTATGTATGTATGTATGTATGTATGTATGTATGTATGTATGTATGTATGTGTGTGCGTGTGTGTGTGTGTGTGTGCGTGTGCGTGATCACCTGCCTACAGCGACTCGCCCGCTGGATTCCGTGCCGACCGGTTGTGCCCTCGCAATCTCCGACGTCAGCGTAGCTCTGGCCGACTGGGCTGGCCCTACGTCATCTCCTAACGCCGACCTCCGACGACAGCGCAGCTCTGACCTAGTGGACTTGCCCTACGCCATCTCCTGACGCCGACAAGAGCTCTCGCAAGTGCTGCCCCGTCCTCGGATTCCTGTGACCGTGTTTCCATCTTTCCTATCTTTGCTATCCCTCGATATGTCCTCGCTCGCTGTCCCAGCGCATCTCTCTCTCTCTCTCCCTCTCTACCTTTAATTTTATCCTTTTAATCCCTCCTCACCCCCATCTCTTGTGAGCTACTGTTGAGGTGTCGCACCCTGATGCAGACAGTTACGGGGCTCACTTTTCTCTTCTTTTCCCTCTTATAACCCCTTCTCACCTGCCTACAGTTCCACCTTTGCCACTGCTTCGTCCTCGCATACATCCCACTACGCCCTATCATCGATCCACTACTTCACCGACCATAAAGCCGTTTTAATGAAGGGAAAACGGAAGCGACGTATAACTACCACTTACGAATAATAAAATTTCTTGTATAATATATACAGTGTATGACACGTCTTTGATGATGTAGTGGGCGATATTCGGGGATGTTCACAGTTTAACGATGAAACCCTCTAGCGCTTCGCCCCGCTCATCATCATTCACTTCGTGGATATGCTGTGATTTTTTCTGTGATCGCTTTTCACGTATGAGCAGATGCACCCACAAGTGCTCCGGCATGGACGAAGCCTTACTGCGCCTCCTTTCCGCGTACCACGCCGACGGACCTGGAGCAGGTGGCGCCGAAGCATCGTCACGACGACGGGCGAGTCTTGACAGAAGACCAGGCTTACGTACTTGGTGCTGGTAAGAAGTTCCACTACCCTTTGAATTGATCCCACACTCTAAATAAAAACAAAGGTAGCTCTAGCTTTTGTTTTTTGGCCAGTGCTGACCAGCCAATGTGACTATCTTTAAAGATGCACATCAGCTCTACTTTCGATGGTCGCGTCTCCCATTACTTTCTGAAGACTGTATATATGTTGATGTGCAAAGAAAGCGTATATTCTTAAAAGGGACACTAAAGAGCCAAACGATTTCTTCGCGCCTTAGTAAAGTACTCACAATCCCGAAAACACCACTCTTACCACGAGACGATGCTCGGCAAGCGAGAAAACGTGCGAAAAAGAGTTGCAGGTGGAGACGGCGCCTTGAGGCTACCGCTACAAATACCGTGACGTCATCAATTTCGAAGACGTGTACCGGGTCCCACGTAACTTCTAGCCGATTAAATTGAACTACATTGTCAAACTGGTAGGTGTAACCTTAAAAGACAAGAAGAGAGCAGAGTGGATTAGGGAACAAATGGGGGTAAAGGATATCATAGTTGAAATAAAGAAGAGGAAATGGACATGGGCCGGACATGTAGCGCGTACACAGGATAACCGCTGGTCGTTAAGGGTAACTAACTGGATTCCCAGAGAAGGGAAGCGGGTTAGGGGGAGACAGAAGGTTAGGTGGGCAGATGAGATTAAGAAGTTTGCGGGTATAAATTGGCAGCAGCAAGCACAGGACCGGGTTAAGTGGCGGAACATGGGAGAGGCCTTTGTCCTGCAGTGGACGTAGCCAGGCTGATGATGATGATGATGATGATGATGATGACATTGTCATGCGTGGCTGCCATTGGCCCGGCATACGAAGTTCCGGAAAATTTCTTCGAGCCAAGATCACGAATATTCGGAAAATGAATTTCGAATTTTTTTTACGTCACGCATGGCGGTGCTGGCGCGAAATTTAAAAATGAGCTTCAAACTTTGTTTTTTGTTTTGATAATAATAAACTTATGACAGATTTGTGAGAGAGTCCTCAATGAGCAGTTTAAGAATGTAAACCCGCTGCTTTTTAGCGCCCCTTACAATAGTAATATTTACCTTTCTTTCTTTATTTCCTTCTTTCTTTCTTTCTTTTTTTCCTTTCTTCCTTTTTCTTTGTTTCTTTCTTTCTTTCTTTCTTTCTTTCGTTTTATTACATTGTGCAAGCCTTTTCTTTCCTCTATAACTTATTCATTCGCGTGCCTAGCAGCGCTACACTCCTGTTGCTGCGGATAACAACTACGGTCAAGTGCGAAACAACGAAATCAAAACCGCGAGATACAATAGAGAAACGTAACCACGCTGAAATCAGAGGCGACCTCGGTAAAAGATCAGATGCCCGTATACGAAGCGAACTGATCGCTGACAAGCGCACGATCCAGAAAGCATCGGTTATCGGAAGTCTGCGCACACAAATACGCTCACAGGTGATCGCAGGTTATTCGTTTGGGATTCCCACAAATATAACTCTGTAAGACTTTATAAAAAAAAAACGTGGTCGATCCTTCTTTTTAGGAATCGGTATAACACGAGGGTGAAACATTTCCTCGCAGAGGTAGCCTGAGCACTCATTGTGCATTTCTTCACCACAAGGGCGAAGGAATTAACTCTGTCCCAACAAATTGCAATATCCCGCGAAGAACGGCAATGTAGCTCGAAACTTGCAGCACTAACCTCGGAGCAGACAGCACCCTCGAAATGAACATACGCAGGGCGAGCGCGGACAAACAACTGTCACTATGCTTACTACGCGTGTGAGCAGCGTGCTCCGTCGATAAACGCGGCCGCGGCAGCGAGCGAAGTGACGTCCGTGCTCTCTTTACCAATGTAACATCAAAGCAAACTTGCGGTGGTAGCACAAGAGGTACAGCACCCAAATCCCGAGATAAGCGCGCACGCGCGAGTGAGTCACCGCGCCAAGGAACGTCTGTACACACTTTGACCACGCCATGTGAAGGCGTGCACGCCGATGGCGCGCCAGTAGTGCCATCTCTCTACTGTTTGCTGAAACGCGCTGAAGTTTCCGAGCTCTGAGGGCCGCCAGCGGTACATGGTGTATATAAACGGCTTACCGTTATCACGTTGGAGAAGGGTACGTCGTTCTGCGGTGTAGTAGTTATCGTCACACGCCGAGGAGCGCAAGGTCACTGGTCCGACGCCCCGCTGCGAAAGTTTTCTTTCTCGTTTCCTTTGCAATCGTGTTGGTAAACATTTTACAGCGTCATATCCGTGAGACGGAATACGTCACGGATCCGTGGTGAATCCCGACATACAAACCTTCGTGTTTATTTCTGTATCATAGTACCCACAGCGCCCAAGGGCATTACAGTGGAGGGGGGGGGGATACAAAATTTCAACACTGAATACAGATACTCACACTCCTACAACACAATAATAACGCAATTCATTGCCAACTATACATAGCGGCACGTGGGAGTAGACAATACAAAGCAGTTTCACAGCACCGTCTCGTCCCTACACATCCTCGCGAGTACACTACTCTAGACCCTGAAGTAATCTTGAAGATACTTCGTGTGAAGTAACCTCTGCTACTTCAAAAGGCAACATATTCTATCGCGCTATCGTCCTGGGAAAAAATGACATTTTAAATGCGTCAGTGTGGCAGCTTATTTCCCTTATCTTATCGGCATGATCTAGTCGCTGTGAAACGTAGTCCGGTTTACAAAAGCGTCGTGAGGGGTCCAGACCTGTACGGCTATGAAATATGTTGTGAAAAAAGTTTCAACCTCAGATATTCCCTTAGCTTGTCTGGAAGTTCCCAACCAAGCTTTTTCTTTTGCTTTTGAAACACTGAAATTTCAGGTAAAATCAGAGCAGACAAACCGAATAGCCACATTTTGAATTCCTTCTAAATTGGACACATCACATGCCTTCCACGAATCCCACACAGTGCAAGCGTAATTCTAAGACAGATCGAATGTTAGTCATACATAGTTGATTCTTGGCCTCAAGTGGTAACTCACTTGCGTTGCCGCGCAGAAAACCTAACACACGTCCTGCTTTACTTGTGACGTGATTGATGTGACGGCTCTAGGAAAGGTCCGGTTTAAAATATACACCGAGATGCTTGTGTTCACGAACTGTTAGCAACCTGGTTGAATTTACATTGTAAAATGAGTCATGTTGTGCCTTTTTCATAGTGAAACACATATGCACAGTTTTTTTTTTTTTGCATTAATGAACATGCGCTACTTTCGACACCATGTACCATTCAGATACGGTGTCAAGATCGTTTTGAAGAGTAGTGCAATCATGGGAGCTATGTAAAAGTCTGTACGAAATGCAGTCGTCGGCAAATAATTTGATATGTGAAGAAATAGTGCAACAAATGTCATTTATGTAGATGAAGAACAATAGCGAACCCAAGACTGAACCTTGAGACACTCCAGAGGACACATCAACTTCTCGGGATGACTTATCATTGATAACACCCTTTTTCCACTTTAAATCTAAATACTCGCATATCCAGTTCACAACCATATCGTTCACTTTATACATTTTTAGTTTTTCAATCAATAAAGAGTGGGGTACAACGTCAAATGTTTTTTTTAAAATCGAGGAACAAGCAGTCAACAGAGAAACCCTTATCTAAAGCAGAGGATAAGTCGTGCGTCATTTTAAGTAACTGTGATGTGCAGGAGAAAAGACTACAAAAGCCGTGCTGTGGAGGTTTAAGTAAAGAATACGTGTTCATATGAGTCATTCTATTGGTAGACAGAACATGTTCAAGTATTTTGCATGCTACACTTGTGAGTGGAATTGGCCTATAATTTAAAACACTACTTCGCGGTCCACTCTTGTGAACGGGCACTACGTTGGCAAGTTTCCAGTCATCGGGTAATAAAGATTCTTCTAAAGACAGTGAAAATGACGTACATATATTTAGATACTTCGCGCGGGCACGAAAAAAGCAAGAGGCATTCATGGATTTAATAAAAGCCTCTATTCCATGCTGACCAATCACAATATCGCTCATATTTTCCGCCACCACCTCAGAGGACTGTGGGGAAGGATCAGTGATGTTAACCCGAGGGTTATACACAGAACTAAAAAATGAGATAAAGCACTCAGCTTTATCTACATCATTATGGATATGGTGTCGTCATCAAGAGCTGGAATCGATAAGACGTCTTTGCTCTTTGACTTAAAGAATTTCCACAGTTCCTTAGGACGCTTCCTTATGCGCAGGTAAAATGTATGAAAGAATTTATCTTTAGCTCTTTTCAGGGCTGCTTTCATATCAGCTATTTTTTGCCTGAGTTGATCTCTCATATTTCAAGAAGGGTTTTTCTTATAAGCAGAGTAAACACGCACACGTTGCCTGGCCCTGCGTTTATCGTCACGTGAATACCATGGTTTGCTTTTGCTGCACCTGGCAGCTATAGAAACCATGAAGGCACATGCTTTTCACGCAGTTCCAGCATTTTCTCTTTAAATGTTTTCCACAACTTTCCAACATTCATAAATTCCGCCTGCGTTTCAAATGTGTCATAAAAAGAATTTAAAGCGAGGGCTATATCAGAGGTACGTGCTTTCTCATAGCTGAAAATTCGACGGGCGTCACCGTTCGGAATTTTGACGTATTGCAAAGTCATGTCACACAGGACAGCGTCATGATCACTTATGCCAGACAGCACTAGTGTTGATCGCGCCGACTCAGGCGCATTGGTAAAAAGCAAATCTAAAATATTTGTTCCTTTTGTGGGCTCAAAAAAAAGCTGTGTTAACCCAAAGAGGCTACATGACTTTAGCAGTTCTTTGCTTGACGGGCTGCAAGCACTAGAAATGAGATCTGCCTGTGACCAATTGATGTCTGGAAGATTGAAATCTCCACAAATAAATAAGTAATCAGTGTCCACTTCTTCAATCGCGTTGCTAAGTTCCTCAAGTTCTTTGCTTGACGGGCTGCAAGCACTAGAAATGAGATCTGCCTGTGACCAATTGATGTCTGGAAGATTGAAATCTCCACAAATAAATAAGTAATCAGTGTCCACTTCTTCAATTGCGTTGCTAAGTTCCTCAAGAACATTAATCTTACTCCCTGGTGGACGATAGAACGAACATACCGACGCTGAGCGGCCATTTTTCAATCTAGTCTTTACCCATAACATTTCGCTTCCAACGCACTCAATATCTATTAGCTGAGAACGGATTGTCGCATCTACTAGAATAAGCGCTCCGCCGCCAAAGCAATTTCGATCACTGTGATAAAAAATATAACCACTTGGAAATACTTTTTCATCAGCAGTATCTGCATGAAGCCAGGATTCTGATCCAAGAATGATAGTCGGACTAGTCATTTCAATAAGGTCAAAAAATTCATCACTTTTATTGCAATTCACAATTAGAAAAGAAATAACCAACCCATTCGCTTTTGAATCCTGTCAATCCGCCCACACGACCTGGTACAGGGCAGCATCGTAGATATACTTTACTTTATAAATATAAAGAGTTGTGAACTTAAGTTTTATTTTGCCAATTTCGCCTTGATTCTTCCTCGCGTAATCCCAAAGGTGTTTACGCGTTCTGCGTACGCTCTCTGAAAAGTGTTCTGATATGCTAATAGATGTGCCCTTTAATTTCCTAGCATTCGAAAGTACTAACTGCTTGTTTTTGCACGAAATAAACTTCACAATTATTGACCTCTTTTTGTTCTGACTGTACCTTCCAAGACGATGTGCTCTGTATATGAAAACTTTATTACAGTGTAGTTTCGTTTCACGAATTTCAGTTACGACGTGCTTCTCAACTTTTTCGTATGTTTCGTGCTCTTCGTCATCTCACACACCATAAAATATTAGGTTGCACTTCCTACTACGGTTTTCAAGTTCACAAACCTTGTCAACAAGCGACCTTATTTGGGCCTGTTGCTCGGCTGTTTGACTTCCGTTACCACACCGTGCAAATCTTCGAGTTTAGAGAGTGCAGTTTCTAACCTACTCATACGTCCGTTCCGACTCGAAATGGCGATCTCGCTTTCGGCTTTATGTTTCTCAATAGTACCCAGTTTTTTCTTCATTTCTTTTTGACCTTCATCTAGCTGTTTAAGCATGGTATAATTGGGACCGGGGTTAGTCTCAACATCCCCGCATATGAGTAACAATAAGAAGTAAAATGCAAAACGACGTGGTAGATTGACCCGACAGCGTCTACAATATATGGGTCACGAATGACACGTATGGGCCCTTATACTACCGAAAAACACAGGGGGTGGCACCGGCAACATAAAAAAAAATTATTGAGTACCGCATGTGGCGTTCAGACTAACCTACACAAGCAAAAGCATCCTCGCGAGCGATGCAGTCATAGTCGAGCCGGTGCCACGCCCCAGAGATACATTGAAATGCCGATGTATATGTAGGCTGTAGCTATGCACAGTGACGTTCCAGGGTTCTTTGACTGGTATCGGGCATTGTCCAGAAGGAGTGGTGACGATATGTGCGCCACACATGTCGTTGCCTCCTTCGACGCCTTTCCAATAAAAATAGGCGATGGAAGAATCGCCAGCCGAAGATGCAGCTTTCCGAGATTCATCCGGCCAATTTGCAAAGCAATGTCAGGAAACTGAAGTGACGAGAACCTGCGCAAGCGAAAGCATCCTCGTGAGCGATGCAGTCATAGTCGAGCCGGTGCCACGCCCCCTCTTGAAAAAAATGTTGAATTTCGTAAATCATACTTTCAGGTATCAAACTAACTTCGCGGCAACGTTTTATAAACGTTGCTTCGCTGCGACGGAGTGTCTAGACTCGGTAGGAGTGACTTGAGAATATACTAAGTAACCTGTAATGGGATTCTAAATTGATAGCATTTTAAAGACAATCGTGTTCGTTATTAGGGAATATTATCGTGCGTTGAAACATCATCATGACCATCATCAGCCTGTCTACGCCCACTGCAGGGCAAAGGGCTCCCCCATGTTCGTATAACCGTATAATCGACGTATTGACCGAGACAAACTGTGTCTTCTATTTTCAGCCGAGAGCGCGGTTTTTCGGACGTGCCTGCAGTCGGCGTGCGAGGCACTGGTTTCTCGGGAGAAAGAGTTGGACAAGCTGGACTCAGAGAGCGGAGACGGAGACTGCGGTGCCACGCTGGCCGCCGGAGCACGCGGTAGGAAAAAATCCACAGAAATGCTACTACTACTACTACTACCACTACTACTACTACTACTACTACTACTACTAATAATAATAATAATATTGTTACAAGGAAGATTTATTCACCGACAGCAGGTCTTGCTAACGCCCTGAAGAGCGCACAGTCATGCAGGGAAGCTCGAGAGACCAACCCACAACAACCATGTTGTCGTCTTCCTCCTTTCGGGTGCCATTTCAGCTGTGCCGAAGCGACAGTTCTACATACGTATCAATATCAGTGGCTTAACGTCCAACAGCCAGATTACGATATTGAAAAATTTCGTGATGGAAAGGCTCCGAAAAACCGAAACCGCCGCGACCGGAAGTCCACTCACCGCTGCTGGTGTCGTTTAGTGGACACTTTCAAGTAGAAAAATTTGTGTACTTTGAGTATTCTTGAATCTCGATGTTCTTGAATCTACATGTAGACGACGCGTGTGGACAACAATTCACCGTATACAGTCCAGGGTTTCCAGGTTGACAGAACGCGAAGCCTAGTGAATGAAAAAAAAAGCTATAATGAGACGGGGTCGGTCAAAATTGAACGCGATGTACACGTCTCCTTACCTACGCGAATGTAACGAATGGGTGGATTGTGGCCGCGCAACATGGGAGACGTGTGCGCGCGTCTGTTTTCTACGTGCCCCTAGCGGCCGATGTCAGCGAACTTGGGACGGGCCGCTGCAGGTGACGCAGCTCCCCCTGTTCAGTGGACGGTGCCTTATGAGGTACGGCGCCACATATCTTCTCGCAACAAATATGTTTGCACAACGACTTTATCGAAGACGACAAGTATGTAATTGGCCGTATGCGACTACACTGCGGCAAGTTCGCGATCGGGTTGCGCCGATCGCGTTTTCTCCTCTTCCGCCTAGTCAAAGTAAAATTGCGAAGCAACGCTCATGGGCTGTGAATGAAATCTCAAAAAGCTCGCGAAGTCGTTCACTAGCTATCGCAGCAAAATCGCAACTGCACAATGTATTGGCGACAGATTGCTAGTGACATCACTGGTACTCCAACATGGTGGTTTGGTGACGTCAAGGCAGCGTGCTTCGATGTGATAACGACGCCACTGCAGCCGTTTACTTTTTTTCGCAGCTGTACGTGAATAACATCGGTATCCTCACGAGAAAAGCGATTTTGCTCGCATTTGCAAGTTTTTAGGGGCGAAGCTCCTTAAGGCGTGGGCTGTGCGTCCCCTGTATGTAGCCACCTCTCGTTTAGTTCTTGCAGTGTTCACTAGATGTCGGTACTTGTAGCTGATGATGAAAAGATATAGGGTGTTATAAACTAGAGGGCGGCACTTGTAGTTGGTGATGAAAGATGCGAGATATAAAATAAGAATGATGTCACATATGGCGTGTGCCATTGGTGGAAGGCAATCGTTCGACTTAGTCCTGTGACGTACGCTAGGGGGAGCATTGTAATGAAATCGAGTGGACAAAATGTACAGAGGATTCTTGGTTTATCAGGTTTATTTCTGGAGCTTCGCCCACTCATCATCATTCACTTCGTGGACATGGCGGAACTTTTTTTTCCTTCAAGATTTCAAGATGACCAAGCTTGCCTCGGCAATGCGCATGGTAGGCTAGAAATTGTGCGAAAAGAAAATGCTAGTGCCGACACTACCTAGAGGTTACCGCGATAAACATCGTGACGTCGGAGATCTTTACTACTTCATCTATGGCATACGCAGATCCTAATCGGTAAAAATGCTGTACATCGACCTCTGAGGTGCACGTGTACCCTTCACATACCAGTGATATCTGTGTTGAGCCAATGACGCCGAAACACGACAACTGTTCATTTAAATCAGTACCTTCACGTGCGAGTATCAGTACGGAACAAATTTAAAAAAAAATGAAACTTCGACCTTGGTTGTCTGCCATATTATTATACTTATGATGGTAAAATTAATGACATTACAGTTCTCAGAGTACATAATCAATCTACGCCAATTCTTTGTTTGGCTTTAGTGCCCCTTTAAAGGGCACTTTCCTTTTACGTGTGGACGGGAGTTTGATTGGTTGCAATAGGAGTTGCGTTGTGGGTCACACACGATGCGCCATATATTCACCATAACAGCGTAAGCTTTTTAACCGATCACAGCGCAAACTTGGATGGCTCGGACAACTATAGTGCCATCTGGCAGCGTTATGAGCATCCAGGCAGGGAAACACGAAAATCTGTTCTGCTTCATCGAAGAGGAATGGCGATGCTTGTTGACTTCGCGATGTCGAAATGCGCTCGCATCATAGCTATCGTTGATCGACAGCTCTGAGGAGCTTGTGCACAAGGCACGATCAGCCACAGACATGGTGCGGCGTTGTTGGCTTAGTGACCTATCCGCTGAGCGCGGCTTTCACTGTTTTCGTACTCCGCGTTGCAGGACTGGCATGCCTTGCAGGATTTTCGGTTGCCCCGCCGCGGTGGTCTAGTGGCTAAGGTACTCGGCTGCTGACCCGCAGGGCGCGGGTTCAAATCCCGGCTGCGGCGGCTGCATTTCCGATGGAGGCGGAAATGTCGTAGGCCCGTGTGCTCAGATTTGGGTGCACGTTAAAGAACCCCAGGTAATCAAAATTTCCGGAGTCCTCCACTACGGCGTCTCTCATAATCATATGGTGGTTTTGGGACGTTAAACCCCACAAATCAAAATCAGGATTTTGAGTTCTGGCAAAGCAGTACGTCATACGTAGACAATGCACTCGGTTGTGTGTCGGCATTGCGGCTTTTCGCTTATTAAAGATTGCTCTCGAATTGGTTGGCTATTTCAGCTATCGGGCTCGTGAAAAGAGTGTCTCAGGAACATTAAAGCACCATTACCCTAACATGGTGAAGAAATCGCCGGAGTTAGTCTTGAACTATAGACATCGCAAAATTTTCGCCATGTTTCACCAGTTCCACCACGTTTGAACACCGACACGACGCTTACAGTGACGTCAATGCAAAACAAGCGTTATACGCAATATCGTCCTCCACCCAAATCGCACAGGCGTGCTGGCGTACCTCGACACGAAGCCTCCGCTGGAGCACCCGAGCCTTGTGTTCCGCCAGCTGTCCACTACGGTCAGCTGCAGCATGGGCGGCAGCTCGGGCGCCCTTTACAGCCTGCTACTGCTGGGCGCCTCGCGAGCCTTCCAGCTCGAAACCGGCTTCGGCGCCTGGGTGACCGCGCTGGAGCTGGGCATAAGGCTAGTCAGCAAGTACGGCATGGCGCACGTCGGGGACCGGACCATGGTGCGTATGTTGCCACGAGCGTTATTACGAAGTGCTAGGTTTAAAATCACTGAGGCTGTGAGCGATACTCGGAACAGATCGCGCCTCGGTTTTCGACGACATTCACGTTTGCAGTAGACCATTGTGTTTCGATTGCGCGCAAGACGCGAACGCTCGAGATTATCCCAGAGCTTCCGCGACCGTTAATGATAGGCCTGGAAAGTTGGACGCGTGATGCATGAAAAGACGGCGCATGTCAACGATGATCAGGTGATCGACCGTTGGCAAGCGCCGTCTATCAGTGTCAGTGTGTATCACTCTAATCTTACTTAACATTTACCAACCACCAAGCCTGGCCAAACAAACAGTTTCGCCTTGGACATACAGTCTGCTCCCTTCGTCCACGTCACGGCCCCATGCATGACGATAAAACTGTGGAACCTCTTGGTCTTTCCTTCTCGCCTCCATAACGGTCAAGTTTCGCGAATCGGGACGGCTCACTGCTCTCCCATATATATTTGAGTGCGAAGTACTCGAAATCGAAGAACTTTTTTTCTAAACACGCTGACTTAGCGAATTGTCAGTTATACCAGAGTCCAAACAATGTTGATGTACTCTGGTTATACCGAGCTAATTTTGAACTTTGGATGGTCACGCATAATGTCAGTGCGATTTGTTCTCTTAATAAGGAATTAGCCTAGTTGTTCCTACGACCATAAGCATGCGCGGGGTTTTCCATCGGAGGGGCGGGCAATGTCCACCGATCTACAACTTTCCCGAGGAATTTTTTTACCCGCGTTCGTTGCTTCTTAAGTTAGTTAGTTAAACGGGTCAAATTAAACAATTATTCAGATAACAAAAAAATTGTCTGACTCGCTCCACACAACGGTCGGCAGCATGAACTTGGTCGCGTCGTCATTGCGTGTGTCGGCATATTTTTTAAACTCTAATTAAACATAGCTAACGCACCCTGTATAACGAAACGTAGACCTGCTCGACCCGAGCTAACGCTGTGACTGACTCTCGTTCCCTCAGCTGGACCCCCTGGACGCGGCGCTGATGGTGCTGAGGCGCCACACGACCAGCCGCGCGCCCGATAACCTTGCGGAGGTGCTTCGAGAGACGCTGGACGCCGTGTCGGCCTCCGTAGCCACCACGAAGACCATGCGCGCCAAGGCGGGCCGCGCTTCCTACGTGAACCCGGAGATGCTCAAGAACCCGGACCCCGGAGCGCGGGCGGTCGAGATATGGATGTCGCGCGCGGTTCACGTCCTCCTGGCCGGACCGGACGTTAGCGGTGCGCGGCGGCCGAAGCAATCCTAGCCCGTGCAGTTCACTGGCACGTTCGTTTCGGATAGTAAACATTTGTTTTCCGTTCGCTTTATTGTATACCATGTTTGCGCGAGGTGTTTCCTTTACACGAAAAAAGAAAACGTACTGAACTAACACACACTCTGGGACTGCGCCAGAAGTCCGCAAGGTGCTAAATCCGGAACCCTTCCGCCGAGGTTGGCCGCTGCCCTGTGCAGCCTCAGCCTCGGTGACCAACTCTGGACCGTCCAGCAGGCCTGCGAGGCGGTGGTCGGGCAAGGTCTTGACGTCCCCACGCGGGAGACCTAAGTTCCGATCGGCGAAAGCTCTGCCGGACTTCCAATAAAGTTGTTACCAACCAACCAGTTAGCACACATATCCAAAAAGAAAAGGCCCGTATCTGCAAACTGTGGCATTACTCTGGTTAAAGGTTACTGTGTGGCTCCTTTATAAGCCAAAAGCTGCTCTACTTTAGTGGTGTTCCGTGTGCGAAACAACACCAAGAGTTCACTGGTTAAGGCGGGAGGTTCGTTCCGTGAAATGGGGGGGGGGGGGGGGGTCAACTCAAGTTTTTCAAAACACTGATATCTTATTTCTGTGTGTATAAATGCAAGCACACGTAGAAACCCATACACGAACGCAAAAGCACAGGAGTCGAACTCTGCCCCTCCCTTTTTCTGTCTCCCTAGATTTAAAAAAATGTATACGCTCCACCTAGCCCACTTGTTAATAGTGATGAGTTTATAACTGCGTGCTGTTGCCATATATAACCATGACAGTTTATACAATATTTCCAGCTCTGCTTCTTCGCTTCCACCATCCCTCGCTGAACGCGTATAATATATGCACAAAATGACGTTAAATATTCCATCACGTCGTTGTGGAGCCACCACGATTCCTTCCTCATATGTCAATGAGACATACGCGGTCAGCCAGGGCCTCGGAAAAGGTTGAAATTGTAACTGACAACAGACCCCAGTTCAAGTGCCAGCTGTTCGAGAACTTTTTTAAACAAAGGGGCATCAAGCATACTCATCAGTGTATTAGCCTCCGGCTAATGGGTTAGTCGAGCGCTTTGATAGGAGACATAATGATTTTATTCAGCAGACAGTCAGTCGTAGACTAACGACCATCCTGGATTACTTGGCAGTCTATAGGTCTACGCCACACACTGCAACGCGCATCTCTCCTGCAAAGCTTTTACATGAGTGTCAGCCTAGGACTCGAATTGATGTAGTTGACCTGCCGTCAAAAGGTGTCGCTGCACACCACCTTCTGCAGTGATGCAAAGGCTTAGCGAGTGCGTAAAAGAGAATCAGTGCCGCATGAAGAAATACAGGGGTGCCGAGAGAATTTGCAAAGGTGCCCGAAATTAAAGAGAAAGATAAGTTGCGTGTTTGAACACCAGGAGCTTCTGCGAATGGAGATTCGGTATTCTGTCGTCCTTTGAAAGTCACCAACAAACTTCCAAGGGGACCTTTCAGGCTGCAAGATGTACGAGTTTGGAATGCTTCCAAATTGACACAGGTACCAAAGGAATGTGAAGTTACAGACGGGCCGATACCCGAGCCACCAGCACCCTCTACGAGACCGATGGATCTACCTACAGTCCCAGTGAGACCAATCGATATTCCTACTGTCGCATTCGGACCTGCACTCCACATCCGGATGCAGTGAGTCAGAATACGCAACAATAGGTTACAGTCGCGAGGAATCTGATGACATGAGCAATTCGGTGTCCGTGTCTTTCGTGCTCACGCCCGTTGTTCAGCGGCGCGATACAACGGTGAAAAATTGAAAAAAAAAAGAGAGGTTAGTACAAAATTTGCGTTTAAAGGTTGATGTGGTGGCGTCGCACGCTCTAGCCATGCATGGATGATGATGATGATGCCTCAATTATGACTTATAGCTATTGCTTGTTTGTTATTTCTTCAAAAACAACGGCACGTACCCACTCTGGGCGATTGACCAAGAATGTGTAGTCCGAAGTTTGAAAGATCATTCGAAAATATTAAAGATTTAAAAAGGAAAACAAAGCAAAAATAAAATATATTGGTAATTATGAGTATTACAATAAATTAAGACTACAAGCCATTGGCGCGCTAACTTCCTCTTCTTCCACGATTTTCGACTTACTTCACGAGGGAACGCGACACGTTTATGTAATATAGTTGTTTGGTTGTTGGAAGAGCATGGCTAAAAATATAGGTACACCGAAACAAAGAAAAAATCTCAAATGCCGTATGTTTCACTATCATAAGTTAAATGTTAGTGTAGAAAATCAAGGATGATGTTCCATTTCACGCCGAAATCTGGGCGCAGGATGTAAGAAATTTGAAAATTTTTGGTGTATTTTTTGTATAAAATTTCTGAAACTTCGCACGCTATGTCTATAACACCCGACTACCGGGCTCAGATTTGAGAGCACGGTAAAGAACTCCAGGTGGCAGAAATTTCCGGAGTCCTTCACTATGGCGTCTCCCATAATAATATGGTGGTTCGGGTACGTTAAACACCATATTAATAAAGTCTATCGCACCCATATATTACAATATGCATCATATTTATCAATTGGAAGCTACGTGAGACCAAGGAACACTACAATCTTGTTCTTTACACGAGTAAAGTTTTCGTCACCGACCCCGACACGGAGTCGAAAAATACTGTAATGTGTTTCACGGAAAAATAATACACATATTATACCATGCAATGCAAACAACCACTCGTAGACAGTGAGGAAATCACCAACATCAAATGTGACTGTAGTGAAATAATGTAATCGAGAAAAACAAGTGCAGGTGTATTTCAGAATTTGATATTTATTGAGCCAGACCACGGACGTGTTCAGAATCTTGCGAAATGCATAATTTCTCATCAAATACGATAAGTTGTATAGCAAGCGTGGCGCGGGCATTTTTCCAAAGGGCCCGTAGGTGTGTCACGCTTTGTGGTAATCGATTCCGTGCCAAGCCACCACCGAAAAGCTGCATGTGCCGCTTTCTTTTTGATTTTATTAGCTCTACGGCGCAGATTGAAATCTTTCTGCGTGAATTTGTTTTACGGCCATGGTGGTCGCGTTTCCACGTTTCTGCAATTGAAAGACCGCCCGCGTGTCCCGGCCACACGTCTTTGAGTATGGTCAGGGCTCCGGATCGGTTGCCAGACATTCTTTTTTCAGTCGTCGAGTAGTTCTTCTCCGCAGATGACAACGTGTGGCTAGCGTAGGCGACGACGCGTTCCACGCCATCTTGATATTGCACGAGAATAGCTCCGAGGCCAAGGCTACTCGCGTCAGTGCGGACTCCTAGCTGTGTCTGCCTCGGTGTCGAAGTGACGAAGGATGGGTGGCGTTTATAGGCGTTGTTGAAGGTCGCGAAAAGCGTCTGATTGTTTGGGACCCCAGATGAAGGCGACGTCTTCCTTGACGAGTTGACGTAGAGGGTCGGCGATTTTCGAAGAATTCGGCACGAAGCGACGGTAATAAGCCCAAAGGCCCAGAAAGCGGCGTGCATCATGCTTTGTTCTCGGTATCGGGAGCAAAGCAACTGCATAGCATTCTCAGGGTCGGGGCGAACACCACCGCTGCTGACAATGTGGCCAAGTAATTTGAGTTGCTCATATCCAAAATAACACTTTTCCGGTGAGAGGCCGGCAGTGCGAATAGCCAAAAGAACCACCTCAAGCCGCTCAATGTGCCGTTCAAAAGTCGTAGAAAAACGACTACGTCGTCTAAATACAATAAACAAGAGTGCCACTTCGGGTCACATAAAACTGTGCCCATCAATCGTTGGAATGTAGCTAAAGCGGAGCACAGGCCAGCAGGGAGAACTTTAAATTCACAGAGACCGTCAGGTGTAATAAACGCTGTTTTTTCCTCGGTCCTGTTCATCTACTTAAATCTGACAATATCCGCTACGGAGATCAATGGAAGAGAAGTAACGGGCGTGTCGCAGGCGATCCAAGGAGTTCCTTTCCTTGCACTATCGCCGCGCGCCTGACACTTTCAGGTCACGAACGACATGCGTTATCAGCAAGACATGGCGTTCTTGATAGGAGAGTGGCCAGCGCCAAGTTTTGTAGAAAAGAAGCGCAAGCAAGCCAGATGACGATTATTGTTGTGGCACAATTGCAACCATTTTTACTCAATCATTTTTTTTTTTTTTTAGTGTGTGGCTCTTTCGAAGTCACAAATCTCGGGGGTCATTAATCCACATGTAGAGTCCAAAGCCACGATGACCACATGCACGTTCATTCTATTATGTGAGAAATACAAAGTCCAAGTTTTACTTCAGCATGTCCTGTACCCCATGTCTTGTCTTTGAAGAACAAATCTCAAAGGTTATGTTACTTATTTACTGTAAGTTCGAAAGTGAACCATCAAGGCCATTTTTGTCACCGTGCTGTTGAAAACCAGTCGTTGGCACCTTTGTAGAAAGTCACGCACGCATGTTCAGAACCACAAGTATTGTAAGCTCGAGCTTGTGTTTTAAATGAGCCTGTTATCAGGGCATCTGGTGATATCCGAAATTAACAATTCTTTGGGCAATATTTGCAGATTTCCTAGGCTGTGCTTTAACACAACTTTTAAAAAAGAAAGGAAAAAGTATGGCATTGCTGCCGCACTCAGGGAAACAAACATTAACCGCTATCATCATATCCAATAGTAAAACATAATTGCCAATCTCAAAGGCTATAAAACGTCATAGCTGCCATGTTGAAGCAACCGTTAAAAACGAAACTGAAAACTAAAGCCTTTCACGCGCAGTCACGCGGCATCGACGTGGACACCGCGCAATGGCTCCTTTGTAGTTCATTCTTGCATGCGTTACTTGCATAGTGCGCGAGCTGAAGCGTACGTGAACAGTGTTGAGTGAACGGAACGTGATAGCAGCCTTTCGATGGCTCCCACTATACAGTCCGGCTCTTCCTCGGTGGAAAGGGATCGCAAGAAACCCGGGGAACGACGGTAAGCGTTGTTACAGCGGAAATTCGTGCCGCGACCTTCCATTTCACTTCGCCAGTGGAGGAAAGTTTTTGAGCGCGACCAACATGCCGATCTCGCTTTCAATCACTTGTTACGAGAACGGTACTTCGTTCTCAGAGTACCAGCGTGCGTAAAACCCTGATCGTCTTAGTGGAATAAGCGAACCGAAGCTTGCACGCAGTGGTTGTTAGCGCGCCTCTTGGTTCTTAGCCGCAACTTCTAAACCTGTGCGTTCCGAACATACATTCTCATCAAGTTTTGACGAATCGATTTTAGTTTTATAACTTTTCTAGCGTGCAAGCTCGTGGTAGTCCGCGCAACAGGCGTTCTAAAAGCGCTTCCAAGAAACTTTCAACTGTGTTCAACCGTTCTGTCCGCAATTAGGCGTGTACGTAGCTACTGCCATTACACACATCGGCTTCTTAACCCGGTTCTGGTGAACGTTTTAAGTTTGGACGATTCGGACACCACTATCCTATAACTGATCGCCGTTTTGTGGTACGCAGTGCCCCTGTATCTTACCCCCGTATAAACGCTGCTTGACTTGAACTTGACTTGCCACCGACTTCAATGCAGCACAAACACGTTGTCTTTAGGTGGTACCACGGCAGCACGAACGCACAGACGCATTTCAAGCGCGCTGCATTGAAGGCGCTTTCAGGTCATAGAGCGTTTCTGAAGACGCCCCACAAACTCTTGCTTCCGACTAATTGTGTACCGTTCGTTGACGGACTGACCGCCACTGCAAATGCGCTGCTTTGGAATTTACGTGCGACCGAAAGATAACTGTGCGGCGGTGCTGCGCGCAACACGGTGCCTACTAGCATCGTTGCTTACATAGAGTTTCCTAAAATTAACTAGAGGGTACTCTGGCGCTGCGATCGTTCAGCGACCATGGGAATGATGGGTAGTACGCACTTTTGCCTAGTCTTCGTACTAGCGGGCCGCGAATCGTACTTGTTGCTTCGCTTATTGCTGGTTACGGTTTTGTTTTGAAGGAAAGAAAACCCTTTTGAACTTTATGACCAGATTCAAAATGGTAAGCCTAAAAAAAAAAAATAAGGTTGTGGAGCGCAAATGCTGAACATTTGCTAATATTTGTTTCTTGAGGAAACAGCTCCAAGTCACACGAACATACACGGACCCAGATGCAGGCCAGAAGTAGAAAAATTAGACAAATGTGTGTACTGCCCATCATTCCCATGCTCGCTGAAGCGTTGTGCGTTGCAGCTACCATAGACACTAGTGCCAGAGTTCCCTCTAGTTTATATTAGGAAACTGTATGGTTGCTTTCATATATGAGGTTTGTTCGTTCAATTTCCCTTTTTTGTTGTTGATGCGGTGTTTTTTTTCAACCGCCTTCTCTCGCAGGTCGGAGCTTGTATGCCGTGTCAAATATTGCAATACCCTGCCGGATATTCCGTTTGACCCAAAGTTCATCTCATATCCCTTTGAGCCGAACAGGTAAGAACCGCTTTAGGCGAGTTTTATCTACCTAACGAACTTGCTATTAATCAACAGATTTAGAGTATGATGCTCAGAGCTTTGCGTACGCAATCGCTTTGCGTTTGTAGCGCATGCATCATGCGCTAACCTCTTTAGCGCAAAGAGCGCGAAGCTTGGGCTGCGCCGTAGTCAAAAACTTTTTCTGGGCTCACTATTGCTGGGATGTTGTATTCGATTATTAACATGTAAAATCAATAACATTGCCCTGGCAGCGCATTCCCTCCATCTCCGATCGTGGTGCTTGACCGCATTCACAATTGTTCCAGAGTACCTATCATTTATATTGCTATAGGTATGTAGAAAAAAAATCCTGAACTTAGTTATTTGTAATTTGCATTTCGGACAAATTATCTGAAATGAGCAATAACTGGAAAAAAATATAAAGTGCTACTTGAAATTAAACAGAAAGTATGAAGTGCACTTTTGTTGATGTTGACAAGCTACACTGCTCCTAATGTAGAGAGAAGATACATGCTCGTGATTACATGGCTAAATATTTGCGAGGCTGACGATATTTTTCAGCAGTATCTATGTAGTGAGCGATGACACCATTGCCAAGCCATTTCACCAGTTCTGTTCTACCGTCTAAATGCGAAATGCATTATGATTACATATAAAAACAAAAAACAACAACTAAGTATTGTTCCATGAATTGGGAAGCTTCAAATGTGCTCCACATTTGTAAAAAGAAATGTGCTTGGTGGTGCCACCCAATCATGTTTTCTGACTGGCGCTCTGTATCAACAACGTATAAATGAGGCTGAATGATTGCTTCTTTAAAGAAATATATCAAAAAGAATGTACGAGTGCGATGCAATTGCAAATTCACTAGAAGGCTGGAATCTGTGCCGCTATATTTGCATCTCGAGCACTGTTTTGGAACTTGGGAAGTAGAAAGGAAATTAGGGAAGGAACCATGAATATTTTGGGATGGCAGTACCAATAATAACTGGGATCATAAGTCCAAAAATCACAATGTGATTATGAGGGACGCCATAGTGGAGAGCTTTGAAATATTTACCGCAGGTTTTCCTAACATGCACGTAAGTCTAAGTACCCGTGCTTCTAGCATTTCGCCTTCATTGAAATGGGGCCTGGATTCGATCCAGCAACTTTTGGGTCAGCAATGGAGCACTATAACCACCACGACGAGCGTTTTGTGGTACTATTAACCAAAAGAATGTTTTCTGTGCATTAACCTCCTTATAATGTCGGCATCTAAACATCAGAGAGTCCAAATTTGTTATCAGGCTGGGTTCTCACATTGATGTTTTCATTCGATTCAGGTTTGTCTCGTACAAGGCCACTTCGTTGGAACGTAACTACAAGCATGACCTACTCACAGAGCACGACCTGGGCGTCACAATTGACCTCATTGACCCCAAAACTTACGAGATTGACCCAAATGGTGAGCTTGACCCTTCGACATGCAACTGTCCTTGAATCTGTGAGTGAACAGTAGTACACGTGGTGTTGTTTTCTTGAAAAGTGCATCATTATTATTTTATCAGCATCAGTCTTTTAAAGTTTACTGCAGGGTGAAAAGCCACGTTATGATCTCCAGCTTATTCTTATTGAACTTTTGCCCTTTTTTTCTACTTTGCGAGTTTTTGAATGCAACGTTTCACAAACAAAAATTTAATTTCAGTTGATATCCTTACTATACAATTTTGTAGCTCATAATTTCCTAGTGAGGCTAAGTTCAGCGTTATTCTCAATTTAGCTGTGAAAAACTGTTGAATGATCTCTCAAGTGTGCTTTGTTCTTAATTTCATCAGGTACGAAAGCCAAAGTGCATGTTTGAATTGAATCATTTTGTTTTTAATTTCTGTGTGTCTAAACTCTTTTGCAACATTGGAATGGGGGTCGTTTTGAAATAAGTACGGCATTTTATAACTCTTTTTCGTACTTGTACTGCCTGTTATGCTCTTTATTGTCAAAGAATAATATCAATGAGCGATGAGTAACCTGTATTTGGTCGAATGAAACAGGTGGGGAAGAGAGGGATCATTTTCTATAGTGCATGCTTAAATTGATATGCATTACAATTGTACAGCAATTACTACATAGTTGTAGTTGTATGGTAGTTTGATATTCACTTGTAATTATGACATTGTGTCTATCTGCAATGGCTTGTTATGTAATTTAAATGCAAAGTGTGCTCAGAATGCGTTACGATTATCGCTCTGCTTGTGTACATCATTGCCGTGTTGCTGAATACAAAGTTAAGGGAAAAGAAAAATGAATAGTGTCTTTTTTAATCACTTGCAGCTGTTTTGCATCCCGACGACGAGAAGTTGCTCGAAGAAGACACTCTCACACCACAGGATTCAAAAAGGTACTGTTGCACATGTTTGTTTAGAGCTGAGCAGAGCAATTCGCATGAAGGAAATGTCTACTATAGGGCGCAAGTCACAGTGACAGCCGTGAGTTCTGACTCACCGAAGTTGCGATTCCTTTAGGCCAACCATTTGTAAGCTTTCTAGTTATAATAGTTATGATTCATTTTTTAGTTACGGTTTTCTTTAGTAGGCTTACCAGTTATGGATCTTGCCAGCCAGGACAATTATAATTCGTTGTGGTTACAATTTGTTAAGTGCCACTTGGAAAGCTCGCCAATTGGCAGTAACGGTTCATTGAATTTTACCATCTTAGCGCTCGTCACTTTTGTATGCTCTGTGCAGCCTTGATGTGTTACAGCTGTTTGGGAAATGTGAAGCTGAACGACCCGCATGGCATTATGGGTACTGCACCGGGAAATTCTAGAATGGTACAAACGCGTCTTCTTTCTCACGCAGGTCAAGGCACCACAACTTGGTTGTCCCCTGGCTGAAGAAGACCGAGTACATTGCGACCGAGTTCAGTCGATACGGTCAGACAGGCGTCAACACCGAGACAAAGTGAGTGATGGCGCACGGCAGTTAGCTGTACCACTTACTGGTCATTGCAGCTGCGCGGGTTGCAGTTTAGAGTTGCCGTAAGGAGTGGCAGCCGCGAGTCTGTTTTCTATTCGTTGCTCTTGTTTTCTGTAATCAAGCTATGTCATGTGGTTAAAAAGAAACACCAGGCCTGCGCAGAATGCTGAACACATTCACTGCGCAAGCTGGCCGGGCAGTCTTCATAGAGGCTGTCGTAAGCTCTTTTAGGGCACCTGCTGCAAGTGCAGTTGTTTAGTACCCACTGCGTGATAAATAAGCCCATTTTGCAAAGTAGAAAAGGACACACTACACATTTCTAAGGTAATACGTACACCTACGTGTCCCACACTTAGTTGTTGCTGGGGTGGATGATGACAACAATGTTCAAGAATCATTCCTGATCCCTTTGTAATTGGCGATGAGCATTGAACCACCCTCTAATTTTGTGCTTCACCTATGGTCGGATACAACTTCTGCAGCCCAGAGAAGCCCCGTCCAAATGGTTGAATCGCGGCAGGCGATCGCCTCCACGACTAAAGAAATAGTCCCATAGTCCGTGACTGACGAAATAGGCTCATGTGCTCGGCAACGTTCTCGAAACACAAGGCTTACCAGCAGTCCGACTCATGATGTCAGTCCGGAGTCCATTGCTGATTGGTGAAAGCTTATCTGCATGCCCATTTGAGGAGGTAATGCCATGTACTTCTGAAGTTGTAACAGACTATAGTGTGGTGCCTGCTGCAGTTCTACTCTTCTGGCATGCAATATAACACCTGTAAATGTGTTTTCTTGTCATAAAAAATGCCTGTAAAAGTTTTTTCCCAAAAAGGTTTCAAAAAGTGGCGTAGCTCTCTAGTAAAACACTCGCCTGCCATGCCAGAAGCATGGGTTCGAATCTGCATCGAACCCCATTTCTTTTTTTTTTTAAATATGCGAGATAGCTGCAATGAAAACCTGCGGTGGTGGACAACTACACAACCAAAATTGGCTGTTGTAAGCCCATAACAGTGTACTCTGTAAAGCTACAAGGCAGCTCAAGAAAGGTGCCACTGAAGCGTATATAAATGCAGTTGTTGGTGTTAGTGCCACCACTGCACCGTTTTTCAGCACTTTCTCGGCCGAATAGCTACTGTCCAGACAATGTGCTTCCAAAATTTGTCTGATTTGCAATCCATATTGCCGACGAGCTCTTTCGTGTTGGCCAACCAAAGCGAAGTCGATACTGCTCGCTTGCAGGGTTGGCTACAATGTCAAGAAACTGTTCAAGGAGGAAGACCTGTACATGGACAGGGAGAGCCAAATCAATGCCATCAACAAGACCTTTGAAGAGGCCCAAAAGCCAGTACGCCTTTTTCGTTTTTTTTTTTTTCGCTTTTAGCAGCGCTGGTGCATTTTACAAAGACATTAGCCACCCTTGTAATTAGAAACACAACCAGTATTTCTGTAGGTGGCGTTGAAGTATGTGCTTCTCCGATGGCGGGCCGAGACTGGCACACTCTAGTTTCAAAGACTGTCTCCACTAGCATTATTCGCCATAGCTTATTGATGAAATGCATATGTACTATGTGATTATCATTTTGAATGCCTTGATTTACTTTTTGTTGATGAGGTTTTTCAGCGGAGTTGGTGCAAAAAAGGTCTACAGTACTCACCAATTGAAACTGTGACATCGTTTTTTCAGTATAACAACTATGACCAAATAGCTCATGATAAGTGCATAGTGTCACTGTAACATTGGCTCTTTTGTGAGTGTTCTAGCCAAAATCGCACCATATTACATGAACTGTAGATTGTGAAAACAACAGTAATACTATGTGCATTACTTTTCATGGCCAATGCAACAATGGTTTTTGCCCAACAAAAAAGTTGGCTAACGAATTAGGCTCGGTGGTTAGTTGCAAATAAACTCTACCTTTAACTCGTCTCTCTGTGTCTGTTCACTGCTGCTTATCTTGAACAACTTATGCTGTTTGTCTACGCTGTGAAGCACTTTGACTTAATCTTACTTTGCCCAACTTGTCGTTCAAGCTTATTGGTCATGCAACCTTGGCTTGGTGACTTTTTTTTTTTACCCGCTTGCCTTTCTTCTAGATTGAAAGCCATTACAGCAAGCCCAATGTCAAGCCCGTGGAGGTGTTGCCACTGTTCCCCGACTCAGACGTGAGTTACGTGCACGCAATTTGATAGTTGGTGCACGAACCATGGCATCACACCTCGCATTACACTTACACCATAGATACTGAGGCCTTTACAGTCGGAAAGCAGTGAAAAAACGTGAACTGCCACCTCTCCGCGTACACGACGCCTGAAGAAGGCGGTATCGAGTAAAGAGCTAATGCAGGCACCTGATATTTTTGCTAGTTGAGATTACGAGAGAAAGTGGGATATTGCATGCCGGGAACGTTTACAGCAGACAACTGGTAGAGCGCATGCCAATAAAGATTGTGGCTGATCAGTCTTTTCAGGAATCGGTATAACATAAAGTGAAACGTGTCCTCGCAGAGGTAGTTGAGCGTTCATTGTGCATTGTTTCCCCACAAGAGCGAAGGAGTGGATGCTGCAGCGACAAGTTGCAATGTCATGCGAGGACGGCAAGCAGCTCAAAACTTGCCGTGCACACCTCAAGCAGATAGCAGCCGCGAAATGAGCACACACAGGACGAGCGCGGACAAACAATTGTCACAGCTCGACATTTAAAGCATGCTGCTTAAAGAGAAAGAAAGACACACAAAATGAACGCTCGGATATACACAGGATGTGCGCGTACAATCGTCACAGTTCTTACTTTGTTATCTTTGAGCAGCGCGCTCCTCTCGTTAATGTGGCCCCGGCAGCGAGCGAAGTGACTGTGCCCATTTATTTGCAACAAATGTTTTCTGCCTGCTCTTTTTAATAATCTTTTTTGAATGCTTTTTCAGTTAATGTTGGGTAACAGTTTACTATCAAGGTAATCGATGCTTACTAGGCTAATGTAGGTTGGCAGTTGACTGTCAAGATAATGGAATGTTATTAGGCTAAAGTCGGGTAACGGCGGACTGGTCAAGATAATGAAGGTTATTGAGCTACTGCAGGGATAACAGTTCACTTTATTAAGGTAATTGAAAGTTATTACAGTAAGTAAAGGTGGCACTAACGCATTCCCCTTGCATTTCCCACTGGGTTGCCACTGAACTTCCATTCCTTTCCTTTGCTCTAGTTATGGAAATACCCATTCGCACAAGTCATGTTTGACTCTGACCCTGCTCCCATCACGCAATTGGAAGAAATGTCTCAGGCTATGATCAGGTAAGGGATCCTGTTCTCTCGTGGAACTTTCGAAACATAATTCGTTAGTATCTTGTGTAGTCTTATTTCATTCGTGCTCATCTCATATGTTACTAATACTTAAATTTACCTTTTGCTTTACTGCTCGTTCTAAATGTTTGTTTCAGTGTGTTTGTTATTATTTCTGCAAGCCATGCTGTTTGCCACAGCTAATTGCATACATATTATGTGTAACCCAATTTGTACAGATTGCTATTTCGTATGGTAAAATAACCTCTGGATATGACCTTGCTGATATTATCATTACGATTGACTATATTAACAAATGTGTAACGGCGTAAATAGTTCTTTTATGTGGAATTACTCTAGAATTACGACTACTGTCGAAACTCAGCGGTAAACAATGCAAAAGGTTGCATTCGTAACATCAATTGTTTTTGAACAAGGAACTGCCCTGCATGGCTGGTCGTAGGTTTTTTAAATTGTAGAATTGACAATATTAACAAATAAGTGAACACGATAAATAATTATTTAGTGTGGAATCACTCTGGAATTACGGACTGCTGCCGAAATGCAGCGTTACACGCAAAAAAAGGTACATTCGTGAAATCGGCGTTTTTAAATAAAGAACTGCTCGACATGCCTGGTGGTAGGTTTCTTGAATGCAGAGTACTCGCCGGCTGAAACGCAAACATTTAGGGCTAAGTAATTTGTGCACTTTCCTTTTCAGCCTCTGCACTTCATGTCACGCTCAAGTAATTTAGACTTGAACACTACATGAGAGCAAACAATATGGTTAGGAACCAGATTTGTTGCCACATTAGATAGTTTTCGCCAGCAACTGCTCATAGCGGCTGTTAGACATAAAAGAAATGAAGTTCTGTTTGAATATGCGAGTACTGTATAGCTTTGTTTCAGGCGGCCATTGTGGCAGCACAAATTCAGTTGTGTACTGTTAAATCTCTTCGATACATCTCGCAGAATACTTTACAATGAAGAGTACACCACGTCATATTAAACAGACTTTGCCAGCCTGTAGACAAACAAGAGCGTAAATAGATAACTGGGCCAGTTGGTATGAATCCATTGTAGCAATCAGCGCAAAAGTCAAGATTGACACAGAGGAAGAAAAGACAAAAACAAGCGTAAAACGACCAGTCCGCAGCGTGCATATAATATGAGGCACTCATCCAGGCAGGCATGACAGCATAGTCAAACACCTTGCAGAATGCGCCGCTGTACACACGATATCGAAGTGCACTAGAGCAAACAGTCTATGTAAATGCAGCAATTCGCTGTAATTTTTGAAGTCCTTTGAAGCGTGTTGGCTTGTGTGCCATTTGAAAAATGTAATTTTTTGGAAACTTGGTTTGATGAAGATGTAACAAACGAATCCACAAAAACATCTGAAGGCACTGATTACATACTACTGATCATTTTCATAAAACAGTGGATGACTTCAATACCATGGTCTTTTTAGTAATTTTTACAGTAAGGTGTGTAATTGGGGGGGGGGGGGGGGTTAAATGCCATAGCTGCTGAATGACTGAAAAGTGATAAACTGCTGGGAATGTCAGAACCCCCTCAACTCCCGCATAGTTACGGCTTTGGACGTGTAGACTCTTGATAAATGGTAAGTCACGTAACATGGCTCAGTCTGCAGAGGGACCTCTGTGCCCGGAGTTAGCAGCATCTCAGACACTATTTTCACAGTGTGCAGAACACATTCTTGCAAACCCTGTTGCGAGTTGCAGTTTTCAGTTGCGGCAGCACCGTGTGCAAGAGAACCGGCTCCGGCGAGTTTATGTGGCCCTCGGTGATGCGCAGGTCACACCCTTGATGGGCTATTCTCCGGCAATTGACGCGTTCTGAATTGTGGGCTGGTCGGTGATCATCTGTTCCTAATATTCGCCGCGAGGGCCTCCACTAGAGGGGCCAGCACCGCGATCGTTTTGACGTCACAGATAGGATTGTAGTTGTGGAATACAGCAGCTTTGCTTTCACGACACCACTTACAGCATCCCCCATGGCTGCACCGGTTCTTAGTCGCAATATTACGATGCAAATTACAAATTAGAAACGAGAGTGCCAACGACCGATTCATAGTTTGCTTGCCCGTATTATCAGGTCTTACCGCTTCTTTAAGCACTGAGCTTCAAAACAAAGGGAAGCACTGCACGGTGTCCACAGCAAAAGCGCAGGACAATGCAGGTGTTCCTAGCAGACAACACAACCCTGGCATCCTATGAGTGACGTCATCATGTAGGTGGCGCCACAGTATGTCCTCGAGGCCAATGTCAAGTATGATCTATCCAGGGAAAAGTCATATTCAGCAATTGTTTCATGTCCGTCACAGTCATACTCAAGCAACAATTTCATGCTGCCACATGACATTGTTGCTTGATTATGACTGTGGCGAATGAATTCTCGGCACTGCTAAGCACGCGAACGAAGGTCTGGTTTGCGGCATGGAGAAACAAAAAAGAGTTGGGAGGGAATATTGCGCAATGCAGTAGGAATAAAGAAATGTAGGTGAGACTGGCGCACACCATACTTTGCTCACCCCCCTCCCCCTTTTTTTTTTCCTGTAAGAGAAGGCCTCAGAATTGTTTTTTATGATGCATTTCTTTGCAGAGGTGTGATGGATGAAAGCGGAGAGCAGTTTGTCGCCTACTTCCTGCCGACTGAAGACACCATCAAGAAACGGAAGAGGGATGCCGAGGAGGGCATGGATTACATGGACGATGACGAGTGAGTTTGGAATACCTCCAGCAGTTTTAATCGTGTGGTGCTAACGTTTCACGTTTTGTTGACAATGTTGCAGCGAATCGGGTGCCTCTATGTAAGTACCCAAGCTTGCACCTGAGCCGATGTACACGTAAACATGTATCTCGAACAGATATGCTACAGCACTACTCTAGCCCACATGACATAGAACACCAGACTATGCTCGGTTACAACCTAAGACCAAATCCAATCTCCGCGCGTATGATCACGGTGCGCCCAGATGTGCTAGAGCACTGCATCACCTCATATGACATCGAACATCAAACTATGCTTGGTTACAACCTAAGACAAAACGTAATCTCTGCCCGTATAATCACATTGTGCCCAGATGTGCTAGAGCAGAGCAGCATCACCGCACATGACAGAACATTAGACTCTGCCCGGTTACAACCTAAGGCAAAACGTAATCTCCACCCGTATATTTGAGGTGCGGCTGCCCTGCACCTGTGAAAGACATTTGTGCTCGGTGGTTTCCACTTGACGTTGAGCCATCGCAAATTTTGTGTCACGCTGAAACACAATTCAATGCGTTTTTGCGTCAGCTGTGTGAATTTAGCATGGCCATCTTATCATGGCACCTGATGGTGTGCTCATTTTATAGACAGTTCACAATACAGAAGCTCAGTATAGTTCACGCAACTTTAATAACCTCTATGAAAGCTAGGCATTCAACTCTGAAACCTAATAGGTAAGCTACAATACTGTAAAATTGCTTTGTAATGAAGTCTTGGTGACCTCCAGACCACTTAGTTTAAATGTGACATCGTTAGTAAAGGTCATGCACTGTAATGTTTGAAATATAGCCAGCTTGTACAAAATTCTTCGTTATACATCACCACATCAAAGAAGCATCAATTTGTACTTTCGTAGCCAATAAATGTCATCGCCTTTCATGTACACTGGAATTCTTCCATGTACAGTCAGCATAAGCACAAACAAGAATATGAGTGCATTAGAGTGGCATTAAAGTACCACTATAATGCAGTATTCTATTTCTCTGTTAACCTATGCTCATAGAAGAGACATAAATTCATATAGAAAAATGCATGCTTATGAATACCCCACCTTTAGGAAACAGCCGCTCTGTTATGGTGTGGTGCTTGTGTAATGTGTTCTGAAGAGTTACTTTCAGTTGAAATCTTACATTTGCTACTGACGGCACATCTGGATGTCTTAATCACGTCTCTGTGGAATGTAAATTTGATGTCACAGAAGCGTAGAGTTCTTCAGCATTTCCTTGAGCTAATGTATACGTTGTATACAGTAATTCTTCAGACATTTTTGTCACTTGCTAACCTGAACAGTGTAGATGTGAACATTTCTGTTTGCATTCATTCTGCTTTAGTGTTTTGGTGCTACTATTGGCAGCATGTACTAAGGAAAAATTTGGTACAGCTATTCTCTTCAATCTTTTTCAAGCATTGCATAAACGCAAAGGCAGCGTGTCTGAGAAAAACTCTTCACGTGCGCTTACAGGTACGAGTACCGCATGGCTCGTGAGTACAACTGGAATGTGAAGAACAAGGCGTCCAAGGGGTACGAAGAAAACTACTTCTTCGTCTTCCGGGATGATGGAGTGTACTACAACGAGCTTGAAACGAGGTAACAGCATTTTCTATTTGAAAATGTCTGCGATCTGTTGCATTGTAGGATTAGCCACGTCATCCTGAAAGGTTTACAGATATGAACGATCGTGGTATTATTGGCCGTGGTATCTTATTCGATGTCCAACTGTGCGTGCACTTCCTAAGAGCATGTATTTCACATTTGAAATGCCTTAATGCAGCCTAATTAGGTAGTGCGATTCTTTGGCCAGTGGGTCAAAAATATTTTTAAGTCGCCGCTGCTAGTGCAGGAATGACAATATGCATTTCATTTGTAAGGTAAAAATGTGCACTTGGAAGCATACATATGGAAGATTTGTCCGTTTTCTAAAGTAAAATGAGTGACTGATGCTTAAGCAAAAACAAAGTAGTGTTGTTGCAGTTCACAAAATGCCGAGATGGGCTAATTGCTGTATTGTAAAATGAAAAAAAAAAAAAAACTACCTGAAAACAAAAACTGCTTTAGTAGTTCAGTTGCCATATAGTTTCATAGTTTTTTTTTTGTTGGATATGTAGATGTTTTATTGTAACTGGGAATGGAAGTATTCTGGGTGAACTCTTACTGCATTGAAATGAACGAATATTTCATACACTATAATAAAACAAGAAAGTAGAAACTTGCACAGTGTAGCAGGATAGAGCTGAGAATGATTGACTTATGAGCAAACATGCATACAAATAAAGCTGTTGAAGACTTAGCAGCAACACGTATTAAAAAGCGCCGCTATGTGGGAAGTCGATGCACCACTTGCAATGAACAATGTGCCGCCGCATTTCAGGGTGAGACTGACGAAGCGTCGTCTCAAACCTGGCGTCCAGCCGAACAACTCCAAGTTGGTGGTGCGACACCGACCTCTCAACGAGATGGAGCACAAGACTCAGGTGAGTGTACTTGCTCTGAATATATATATATATATATATATATATATATATATATATATATATATATATATATCTTCCCTCCGTTATCCTAAACAGCTCACGCCTACAGTGGCTCTGCTACACTTTGCCGAGTGAGAATGAAATAGTCTACTATTAGCGCATGGCATTTGACAAATCACACGCAGCAAGAATTTTTCGAATCTGCCAAGTATGAGCAGAGCTACAATTGTTTGTAGGATGCTTCAAATGCTTCCTCTCTCTCCTTTTGTGTCAGAAAGCATGCCGAAAGCTATGCAGGGAAGAGGAGACAAGGGGGCAAGATAATGCGCTCCTTTGTCAGTGCGCCTCATGGCCTCGAGCAGTTTCTATTCTTGTTTTGCTTTAGGTGTGCTCCTCACTTTCAGCGCGTGCGGGTACGTAGTAGTATCTTGTGGGGGCCACTTTAAATATGTGGGTATGTGGCATTATTTGTAGACAAGAAGGGATCGATCTATACCTGCTTTTGAGAATTACTTGTAAGTTTTAGGCTGCCTGCCGCATTATATTATAGTTTAATTTGCCTGTTCTCAGGAGGCTCGACTACCAATTGGCAACGTTTTCTGGCCACGCTGAAAAGTGTTGCAGGGCTCCTTTAAAATTAGATATCAGAAATTCCTTGCACTCACCGTTGCTCTGTCATGTTGGTCAGCTGGAGATTCATTACAAAAGAAAGATATTCTTAGCGTGAAGTCGAACAGCCAGTGCCCGAGCTCGATCCAACTTGACATGGGACGGGCGACACGAGATGGTTTAACCGGTAGATAATGTCACTTCTTATTTTGTGAGCCTTGCAGCTAACACATGCAAACTGCACTGAGCGATCGGTTTTCTAGCGTTTTCCCTGCTTTGTCTGTTGCCGTGGATTGCTTCACACGTGCACGTCGTATTACAGCAAGCCAGGCTCACCCAACTGGAGCAGCCTCAAGAAGAGGAGGAGGAAGAGGAAGCCGAGGAGGAAGAAGAAGAGGAGGAGGAGGAAGCCGAAAAGGAAGAGGAAGCTGCCGAGGAGGAGAAAGGTGAGACACTGTCGCGGCCAAACAGGAGAAGCAAAAATTTCGCCCTCATTCTACAAAGTAAACCCATACTTCGTAGGAGCATACTTTGTTTCATTTCTCCTCCATTGTTCAATGAGCACCGAGTCATGTTGGTCGCCAAAACAATACCCTCCTCACTGTACTTAGCACATACTGCTAAGTGCGGTAAGTTTCCGTTCCAGCGAATCACCAGCTGTGGTGACCATGTCATTAGCAGTGTCTCTTGCACTGAGGCCCTTCCATTATTCAAAGTGAATGCTTCTCCATCAACCTGATTCTTTTTGTTGTGCCAAGTTTTATTGCCAGGCTTCGTACATTCGTGTTGCAAACCATCAAAGTTTGCGCACATGCGCTCACTCATGAAAGCTCAACAGTTTCATTTACAAGGTAAAGCATTCATGGCAGTGCATTAAACAGGTTCATAGTATTATCAGCTCTGTAAATTGAAGGAACAGGAACACATTTCGTTAGATGACCAGTGTTGGCTTGTGCAGAGTGATTTCGCTCCAGTTTTTCAAAGAGTAACTAAGTTTCAAGAGCCTGTGCCTTGTTGTTAACACGAGTTTTGTTTTAATACATACAGCTTCACGCACGAATGATCACCATTAATGTTTTTTCTATGGTTTACTGCAGGCTCAGAAGCGGAATCGGAGGCAGAGGAGAAGTCGGAGGCAGAGAGCGAGGCCGAGGAGGAGAATGGAGAACAGAGCCCCGCCCGATCAAGAAAAAGGTCGGCTTCGTCGTCGTCATCCGCATCAGGGTCTTCGTCGAGCGAAGAGGAAGAAAAGAAAAGGCGTGACGAAGAGGAGATCTTTGGCAGTGGGAGCGACAGTGACTGAGTGTGTGCTTGCGACAGTGAAACTTTTTTCTACCGCGCTGTACATAGAGCTTTTTCCTGCTACCTCACCTTAATAAATAGTCTCCCTCACCATTTTTATTTATTCTTGGCATCATTTATTGGTGCCTTATACATGTCACAAATGAACAATGTCGGAAATCCTTACTTTATAGGAAAGAAATTGGTGTAAGGGAAGCTCATGTGTGCCTGACGTGCTACTTTTGAAGACGATAGTCATGCTTAGGATGCTTGGAACACAAAAATTTTGACAAGTCTGTTTATCTGTCTGTCAAAAGAAACAGTTCAGCCACCTGGCCAAGGTCTAAGCACTTGCTCAACGCCCAGCCATTTTGAACTGGTGGGTGTGTCCATACTTGCAAACATAGTCGATCAAAAGCAAATATTACGCATGCCTGAGGCATAAAATCAATATGTAAGTATTCAGTAATATGTTTCCTTTACTAGGAAATTCATAGATATGTTATTCAAAAAACGCTAGTGCTTCTTAGGCTGCGCTGAAAATGCAACGCCGTACATGAAAGAAAGTCGGCGGAAGACTACTGTCTTTCGACGACATTTGCAGCGAAGCACGCAGATACACGGCCCATTTTTCTTTCAATCCTTCTTTCTATCTATCACATCACGCAAAGAGAGCACCAATTATTGGAAAATGGCACATGCTAATATGCGTGTGCTTAGCATACATTTGAGGGTTGCATCGCCTGCACATGACTTTTCGCTCACAACACCACCACTGAAATATGCGAGTTATCTGCAAGCTTTGCTTAAAGTCTGGTGTCCAGCGCTGGCAACCAGTCATTGCGATCATCTGTGATGAAATAATTTAACAGTGTTATCACAAGCGTCAGAACAAAAAGTAAAAATGAAGAATGAAAAACGATACTCTTGACAAAAAGTAAAATGGAACTGAAACATTACCTAGTATTTCATTTTAAAGTAAAATTGAAATATTTGTACCGTATTTGCTCGCATCACGAATTCACCTTTTTTTTTTTTTTTTCAGAAAAGTTAGTGCCGATTCGTGGGTAGGGTTCTTTACGTGGGAGAAAAAAAGTCACAGAAGTTATAACAGCGAAAATTTGGTATGATGGTTTTGCTTGTTTTGGCCAGTGAAATGCGTGACATATTTTTTTGTATCCCGGAGCTCTTTTTGTTTCCTTCCAAAACAAAAGCGCACGGACTGACTCCGGAGTGTCATTCAGCTGCTCAGTTCCGATGCTCCAGCACACGCTGTTTGTAACCAGTCGTCCTACTAGCGTACCGCCAAACGCGCCCTGCGCAGCAGGTGTTCCAACTAAGTTTACAACGAGGAACCCAACAACGAAAATGCAGCGTCAGATGACGGCGCATAAACGTTGCGGTAGACGTTGCGGGTGCACAACGTGCCGTCGGCGTGGTGGATACAATTGTGCTTTGCATGGCCTCCGAGATGGCCATTCAAAGCGCGTTGCCCGCCACTTTTGAGGTCACACGCTTTGTTTTTTGCTTTTTGTGCCGCTGTGCTCGCGTGAAGCTATCAGCAAGAAGGTTTCTCCTGCATTTGACAGATGGCGCTTTGCCGCAAAAGGAGCGACTTTCAAATTTTGATTGACGGCTACGCCCGCGCTGCTCCCAACTGTTTAGCATGGTTGCGGAACTGTGTTTTGGATTTTATTGTGTTGTTACTTTGTGATATAGTGGCTTGATTTAACGTTGTTTCGATCGTCAACAACACTAGCTATAATACCGAAAATATGAACAGATACATTAAAAATGTTTTTTTCCTTTCTTCAAGGGCCAAGGTGAAGGGCTGGGTTCATTACGTGTGTAAATACTGGTAATCTGTTTTTGGATGAGAGCAAAAGTTGGTGAACCAGAACCACTGAGGTCATGCATTTTGAACATTAATGCATATCTCAGAAGACCAGGCTTGTGCGAAATATTCGACGAACGAATATCACAGTATTATTATTCGCTTAGACTTGAATTTGTTATTGGAAATTTCAATCGAAATGAACGAAATGCGTGTATGTTAGTTGGTGTGTAGGTGGTAAAGGTGGTTTTACTGCAGGTGCGACGATGCCAGTCACACAGGCCAGTGTGCAGAGAACATTCTTAGTACTGAAGTTAGTTATTATTAGAATAGTGGTCCCGCATATCAAAGATTACACTTGATAACATGCTACTTTTAAGAGCATGTTCACTCTCTTGATGCGTATCATTCAGCCTCTTCAGAAAATTCATAATTCACATCGCAAAGAAAATAGTGTTTTTATCTACAATTTTTTATAGTTGCCCTAACTTGAATTTTTTTTTGTACACTGATCAAAACTGCAACGAAACGTTATAAAACATTCCTTTTTTTCCAGAACAGAAATGGAATGGAATGTTTTTTCGGTAGAATGAAACTAACACATCTACAAAAAAAAGACCTTCAGCATTCAAAGCATTAACTTTCTAAATGATGTTTTTTAAGGCGAAGCTGTCGCACTTCATCCTAATGGAATTTGACCCACTATTGTTGATAAGAGCAACTTCGGAAATGAGCATTTTTCACATAACAAAATATCATCATGCATTTGAACGAAGCCAGTTTTTAGAAATGGTTAAATATGGCATAAAGCATATGCTGCCATTAGCTCGAGTTATTTCCCGTCTTTTACAACATTTCAACCGACCATAGCGTATTCGGCCATTGAATGTTGAACCCAAAGCTTAGAATCCGGTATGATACCTGTCAGGTTAATGCCATTGCAATTCTGAAGCATATTTTGCTATTGTGCTACTAGTGGGAAATAACACGATATGTAGTAAAAATCATGTATAAAATATTTTTGACACGGTAGATGCTTTTTTAAATGTTTCATGTGTACTGCACTGAGAGAGTGCGATTCTGAATCGAATGAGTTCAGTGAAGTCATTCGTCGGCAAATGCATTTGACTTGCCCGAGTGGCTGTGCGTAATGGCACTAAATCTAAGGCACTGGGAAGTTAAAGGGACCCTGAAATCGTTTTCTTCACAGTTTTGGGAGCGTTTAGGCTAGAGCATCATCAAACCATTCGCACCACAAGTTTAGTGACATGTCGTGTACCAAGGCGGCTACGGGCAATTATATCATACGCTTCTTCCCACCCCTGCATGGCCTCCTCAACTCATGAGGCACGCTGGCATCACTGGCGATAGCATCGCTCTCATGAGTGCACTCGATGATTTGAGTTTTTACCAGTCTAGACCTCTGAAATCTCATGCCGACAGGTTGCACGCAGTCTCGAAGGCCATCACGCAGTGAGCCTGACAGCATGCACGTCCGTCTGGCAACAGAGTACTAAGGTCGCGGAGTGGTTCACATCTGCTGCAACAAGTGCCGCCACCCGACCAGCCGATCTTACTTTCATGCATTCTACAGCAAATCAGATAAGCAGCCATGGTGATGTAAAGTGGCCAGAGCATGTCGCCCTGTGAATGGGCAGTTGAAAATGCATTTGGCCGAGTTGCAGCGATCCGTACCGATCTGCAGCGATCGGCAATATTAAAGTGTGGTAATAAATTACACAGTTTGCGCAGATACCTTCAATCGGTCTCTAAATGACCCTTGTGACTAGTCTAGCAGCCCAATGTGTTTGTACAAAATTGCCCAAATTCAGGTTCCCTTTAATGGCATTTTCTAGGCCAATGTGACACATCTATAAAACCAAAAGACAAACATTTGCCCCGTACCTGCATGTCCCACTGCAAATGTCGTCGAAAGACGATAGCCTTGCACCTGGAGAGAGTGAACAAAACGTTTATTTGGTGTTTTATGCGAGAAAATTGGTGAATGGTATCCTGGAGGTGCTGCGTTAGTGTGCCTCAATGCGTGCAACGGAAGCGAACGCACACATCGAGATACGTGAGACATGAGCGCTATCTGGCAGTGATCTTGGAAAACGAAGTGTGCAGCGTGTGTGCTGGTCTTGGAGCCAATAAGGTGAAGGATGCAAAGCGACGGGTAGGTGCCACCACCGTGTCGTCCTAGCGAAGTGTTGAAAACACTTTTCATTTCGTGCATAGCGTTGTATTGTCAGCGCAGCCTGTTAAACGCTACGGTCCTTAGAATTACTTATGTACGACTTTTCTAGTATAAAGTAACACACAACAGAATATTGACATGTTGATATTGTGTTTCAGGTATGCACAATATTTGCTTTTTAATCGACAATCGCACAAGTATGAATGCCGAAACTTGAGAAATATTGGTGGGCGCAGTGGATGGGGTTGGATTTTGGCCGTTTTCAGTATCCTTTTAGGGGACAAACAGACATGTCCACAGACCAGAAAGACAGACCATAATTATGGTGTCGAAAATCTCAAGAAAAATTATCGACTTTAAAAACATTTCGTTCTGACACCCTGGTTATTGCAGCATGGTCTCTAGCACCAAAGGCAGGTAAACGTCAGTATTGTATCTGCAAGAACAATTTATACCAACACAAAGCTTGAATTGGTTGTTTATGTAAGCGTACACTGATTGAAAGCTTGTGAAGCAGATTCTGGAGTATCACTGACAGCAAAACGACAATGCTCGCTACAGTGGTAAAGTTCTTTGACAGGTGCCTAAATGAGTGTACGAGAACACATCTTCGATTTACTGCCATTCAAATGTGGGCAATACATAATCTTCTAGCTTAGCCACATAAGACCACAGACAATTAGCGACTAAGTAAAGCCTCACACAGAAAAACATTGCATCATGAAGGCAACACCATAAGGCAGCACTTTTGCCAGCCGTTTACGTAAAAAATAGATTAAGGTTGTGGGCCAATATTATAATAGTAACCCTGCCAGAAACAATAGACTTTTTTCACAATAAGAAGCACAGTCAAACCCTGATATATTGAATCCGAGAGAGACCACATGAAGTTCTATATATTGGTAGTTATATATATAAAATGTATTATATATCGAAAAGAGAATTGAGAGAGAAGCACACAACTGTTCAATACGCAAATTAATACGTTATATGTGCATTTAATATTTGCGAATTCGATTGTAATATGAGAAAAGGGATAGCGGAAAACACTCAAACTTCACCACAGTGAATTATGGATTATAGTGATGAAAATAAAACAGTCTTGACTTCAATAAAATTTCAGAGTCACCCGTTAACATGTTTTATTGCGATAGCAATTATATGGACACTTTCGGCTGGATTTCGCCGCGGGCATTGTCGTCACTCGCCATATATTATCTGTATCTGTATATGAAAATGCAAGAGAGAAAAATAGTTAATAAAAAGACTTCGGCGTGTGGAATAGAATGTGGGGCCTCTGAATCGTGAGTGCAAGGCGTTGACCACTTAGCCACGTAGGAGCACCTCCAACGTTCAAACAGCAAGCTAATTATATCTACCACTTACCGCTGGTGACGGGCATCTCGGGGGAGCTATCATGTTTTCAGCATTACCAGCAAGATGGCACAATGAGAGCCCATCGCCACATTGTCACAACGGGGCAGCGGGCACTCTCATCTCCGACGCGCACTTTGCCCTGTGGAGAGAAAGCTAGGGTGGACGCTAACGGGCGCGCTTATCTCGTGGTGCAGACAATCGTACGTCTTGGCTGGCCTTGGGCTTACACCAGAACAATTCTGTTTAGTTACTGGGTGCACAAAGGTCACTGCAATCGTTGGACAGCCTCAGTTTGTGGAAAGGGTGTGCTTTTCAGACACAGTAAAGTTACAACTGACATGCCTATTAACGTTCATCTGTACCTGTGAGTATGTTTCCTGCATCATTTGTGCGTGAGAAACGTGGGGCGCGTTTCGATCTGGTTGCCATTTTGCACGTGACCTTCCAATTTGCTGCTATCGCATTCATTGCTTCGCCTTTGCGGCAAAGCTGTGACTTTTTTTACACAGGTAAGCCATTTCATGTCAGACGAAACTTCATCATGACAGAGCTCGACTGTATTTCAATGGAAATGACGGAACACAAAAACAGCCATTATTAGTAAGCAGTCCATTTAATCAATGTCATAATGACACCTTAGATGACGCTTTTAGTCCATGTTCAGAGTTTGGCCTATCCTCCAGGTGCATTCGCTTAATCTTCAAATAGCCCACAGGTGCAAAGGCATCGTCAGAGTGAATCACAACTTCACTTTCATCTCTGAAAGCATAAAGACAAGCGAAGGACAAAATGAGCCAGCAACAAGGCTATTTGACCTAGACAGAACACAGCTGGTTCATGCCTAGTAGTCATGCATACAGAGCCGAAAGAACACCAGGGATGAGGCAGAGATACACACAGGACAAAGTCTTTCTAACAACTGGTTTTATACCGGAAAGCTAAGACTCTATCCAAACAGATCTGCACAGAGCGATTCTCACACATTAGCAGACATGACGAGGCTTCTGCAAACATTAAAGTGCTTCGAATATTCCAAAAAATATCATAGCATTCAAATTTGCTTATTTGAATTTAAATTATTGAGAATTTCTATGTATTTGAAATTAAACAAATAGATGCATATTAATCCGCATGGAACCCCTGTAGAGATTTCACTGCAGTGAAGGGTCATTAGGCCTTGAAAACACCTATTTAGAGGATATTCGCACTGCCGTGAAGCCCCACTTAAGGATAATGAACATATCACCCTCACATCGATTCATCATTCTTTAAAGTTATATACTCCAAGTATAGAAACATTTCAAAATGCACAATATTTTACATGTTATCAGTGGCATTCTACCAAAAGTCAAGTCCTGTAACTATTCAGAGTTATTTCCACTTCATTTGAATAAAAAAAAACGACATTTGTACAAGCCTTGCTTGAAATTTTGAAAAATATTGTGCATGTTTGTGGGGTCACAACAAATATGCTCATTTTGCTTTATAATATTGTCACAGGGTGGTGTCGTTAACAAAGGAAGCAGGATGGGATGTTCGGATGAAAACTGTTTATTTGGGCCGCACTTGTGGCCGGTGAACGTAAAGTCAGATGACAGCAACACAGTAGCACAGATAGTGGCTAACAGAGTGTTCGCTATTGATACACTGAGAAGCGATGAGGCACGTCGGCATTTATACATGTGCCATCGAATATCCCAGCGCTATCACCACCGGCGACGTAAGTTCCAGAAGAATCTGTAATGTTCACGTCGTGGTCGCAATCGCACCTGAAGGTTCTACGATTATCACGATGGTTCTTTAGTCAATGGGTGTGGTTGTGCAAGGCATTACACGTGTAATGCGGTGATGGGAAAAACTTGAGAAAAGAGCCTCGCAATATGTGATACTATATACTATTCAAATTCGATTCGAACTACCAAAATAACTATCCACTCTGAATTCACTTTGAACCTTTAATTCCTTATTCGCACAAGCGTACACATGACGACACCCCGTGGAAGGATGTATCATTCACGAAAATGCAGACAGTAGTGACGTCTCTGTCTGATATGGCAATGAACCGATCATACACACACTCATCTTTGTGCTGTGAAATGAAAAAAGCTTCCATGATTCCTCTAAATGTTGCTTTATTATGTTTGCAAACAGTGACAGTGTTATCTAAGCAGGATGGTGCACATACATTGCCAGTAATAAAACCAGTTGCTACAAAGCGCTAGTCCTGTGTGTCTCGATTTCATCCACATTTCCCGCATTCCATAAGCATGAGTCAGCATAAGCAACAGCGCAATTTAACACAAAGCATGAGAGTTGATTCTTTACTTAAAAACATTTACTTACAGTGTAGAAGAAACAAATACAATACCTAGTGCTGATGAAGCATGACACAACATGAGCACTGTTCAACTCAATACTGCTAAACCTCAACACAACGAACACAAGAAAAAATTCTGAGGTTCATTGACGATCCACTTATGCATTCGTTACACTCTGATACAGTTAAACTCAAAATGTAATATTACAGTCAATATCTCTGTCAGTGCAGCAAGTATTTCTTTTGTTGAATGAGATGTTTTGCCAGTGGCTTTGACACAAATGGCCAACATGGAGGTGGCCGTAAGCCAGCATTTATATCAAGTTGATTGCATGATTGTGTGCTTCCAGACTAGTCCACACCCACTGGATGAATCACGCTTTCATAATTTTTTTGTATGAATCGCAATGCGCCTTCTCTCTTCACTAACGTCAGCATGTACACTTTCCACAAATATTAGGCATCACCAAGGTATTCATTAATTTGATGTAGCCTTTGTGATAGCCACATTAGAGTGTTTATTAAAACTTGTTTGGCTAGTTGTTAACTCATCACATAGGAAGTGACTTAGCGCAACTTGGTAATCCCGGTGTGTGGTGTGTGCTTCACGGGAGTGAAGTGTGAGTGAACGTGTGGGTGTTTCGAAGGGTTGACCAAGTTGCGTTAAATTACTTACGAAAATTGGGGCACCCTCTGGCTTCGCCTTTCAGAGTTGAACGCGATAGCTGATATTCTGTTACTAGGTGCATACTTCAAACACTTGGTGTATGAAATCATTTCGAACTAGCTATGCACCCATTACGTGGCCTTAAGGGTGCAGTAGCGCATGTGCCTTTTTGTAGTGGGAGACTGGCTTTATACTATAAGTCATGATAATCCCATGTTCTGATGCCAGATAGATATGTACGCTTGTACTACGCATTATTACGACAATATTTCATGTTGTATTGTGAAGCATGTATATAGGACGCGTGTGTTTGGTAAAGCATGAAAGCTACTTTCATTGCATTTTCAAGCACAGGAAGTTATTGTCACTGTATTCACAAGCAGAAGGTGTGGCTGTGTGGTAGAAGACCCACAGACAGAGGTGTGTCTGTGTAGTAGAACACCCACTTTTCACACAAACAACTCAGGTTCGAACCCCCGACAAACCTAGAATTTTTATGTTTTATTTTATTTGCATCTTTCTCAATTTTTTCGGTCACACCAAGATAATTTTTCACTCACAACCAACAACACCGATGCTGAACTTTCTGGGAAACGAGCTCTTCAACGAAATTGCGTTAATATGACATTATGATCTAGTGCTGGCTGTAACGTGAACACTCACACGACAATCCGTTTGCGAAACAGCGGGCAGTCCAAAGTGGCCTGTCTCGTATTCTCCGCCTTCACCACAAACATTAAGGCCGTACTTCTTTTCCTGGCAAATGTTGGAAGGTAAAATTATAGCTTCAATATTACAAAACTATTCTTATGAAGTGCACTCGTTTAGAACTCATTCCCAATTACCAAAGGGATAGATGTCTGCATGAGACATTTCAGAGAGTACTAAATAAGCTGCCATGGCATATTTGCCACAACAGCTCTTTACTCAAAGTACAGAGCACACATTTATCATGTTAGAACCAGGGCGATGAGGATTTAAAAACAAAAAAGCACGAAGCACATTCAATGAACTATGGAGTGCGTCTCACGAATTTAGAAGAGCTGTCATAGGAGTGTAAATTTAAACTAGTACTAGCATTACATTTCTGATTAAGTAATTTTCTGGCACTACATAATGTGAGCGATGTCTAGCCTGGCATTTCAGGACAAATTCTGGTGCTCATTAAGGGTTAGTCAAGTTTGCCGACCTGACCAAGATTAAGCAACAGCGCTGTTGTGTTTACATCTGTGTCAAAATTATTTTCATGCTGTAGGTTTAAGCACTGCAGTAGGAACAAGCCCATGCATCCCATCTTTTGAAATGCATCTGTTTAATAGCATATATCGTATTATAATTTCTTTATGTATTAATGAACCTTAACTGTTGGCTTTCACTCAAGAATTTTTCAGTGACAAACCGCTTTCCATTGCTTCCAGGCATAGCTAAGGTGTGCCCTTTAACAATGCAGTTGAAGATAATGCTGCTTGTAATTACTGCAGGCAATAAGGAAACTATCGAATATGCTCTTTGCCACTGTCCTCACGACTCTGCTGGCTCGTTTTCGAAGGAATGCTTCTCAAGAAGGACAGTCGCAGATGCTGGTTTAATTACAGTTGACTCTCATTAAACAGAACCAGAAAGGACCAGGGAAGTGTGCTTCATATAACAGGAGTCCCATTTACTCAGAGATGAACAAGGGTGCCGAATGCAAGCACGAAACCAATCTGGTCAGAAGCACATGTTTCATTTTAAGGGACACTAAAGAGGTGCAATGACTTGAATCAGATTTACAAACTGCACTCTGAGAACTCTAATGCCATATGTTTCACTATCATAAGTTCATTATTAGCGAAGAAAATCGAGGTCAAAGTTTCACTTTCAAATTTTGCACCAAAATCTTTGAGCGCGACGTAAGAAATCTCAAAATTTATTTTTATATTTTTGTGGCATCGGCTCGATAAAATTTTTCGCAAACTTTGTATGCTATGTCTGTGGCGTCCATAGATTACAGTGTACTTCATTTTTATCGATTGTAATCTACGTGGGACCACAGTAGATTCTTTCAAAATTTTTGACTCGCGGTGTTTGATTCGGGAATTTCAAGGTAACGTCGCCACCCGCATTTTCTTTTCGCACATTTTCTTGCTTACTAAGAGTCGTGTTGCGGTAAAAGTGGTGTTTTTGGGATGGTGAAATTGTACTTCACTAATACGCAAAACATTATTTCGCTCTTTAGTGTCCCTTTGAGCAGCAGTTCTGTTCGAGAGATTTTCATTCAGCGAGAGTCTGCTGCAGTGATTAAACAACAAGTCAGGTGACAGCTTTTACGTTTGAGTGTTCCATTAGAAGGACTGCAAATCCATCATACCATTCCTGCTCTGTCTTTTATTTTGCAAATTGGATATGTTTTGTCCATCCATTCTTTGTTTCTTCCATTCAACCTTTGCCTTCCTATATATTATAATGTAGCAAACCAAAAGCCTCCCTTCCAGTAAGCATCCCCGAGTTTCCCATTTAGTTTGGCTCTCCCTCTCTCTTTCACTTTGTTTAAGGCACTACCTTTTGAAATTATTCATCAAAACCATTTTACGTCAACCAGTCACTCACGTGAAACGTACCATAGAAATCATGTGGTCATAGATCTCTGCCAAAGTCTTCCCTAAGTGCTTGTGAGGATCCAGGCCTAGTCGTGGAGGGCGAAAAACGCATGTGCAATCAATAAATCGATCAATCAATCATTCAATCAATCAATGTAGGTTTCATAGTGCAACCCATTAACCAATATACAGCAAGAAGTCAGCCAGAAAAACTGCCTTAGCAAAAGGTCACACTGCAAGGCTCCAAAAAACAGGTACAGTACATCCTGTATTAATATTACATAGAATAAAAAATAAGATAGCAAGGGTGCAGTAACCTTTTAAATGAACGAGCCGTTAATTTTTTTATACGAGCAGGTATGGCAAATTCAAATGCCTGATTTTGGCAATGTTGCAAGGACACACTGCTGTCACAGAAATGTGCCTTCAAGTATTGTCAGTGACCAAATTCGGTGGAATGAGAACTAGTTTCGGGATTCCTATTACTTTTACTTAAATGTGCAAGAGAAAGCCCACCCATTACTGCATAAGTTCAGAGAAAGATAAAATCAAATTAGAAACTTAACAAGAAGGAAGCCCCCAAGTGAACAGTATGTGTAACTGTTCTTCCTTATTGACAAGTACGGCTTTGAATGCTGAAAAACTCTTTCAAGGAAGTTCAAGAGCACAGCGTGCACAGAGAAGTTTCGTTGCGGCCGCTGCACTCCACCGTTACCATGCATTAAAGGTGACAAAAAATGACATCGTAGTAGCATCTGTCAACTGGTTGACAAACATACTGCTGTAACTAACGAAGACTGTATTCCTCAGTTAAATTTTTTATTACCAGTGTTGCAACTATAGGAGGGTGGGGGACAAGGGGGTACAAGTGTCTCATGCACCACTTGGGAGAGGGGCCGCCAAGCCAGATCCGCACATGCGTTCAGGGACTTCCCGAGGACCCAAACGGGGCACTAGCGCTCTGGGCCCATAGAAAGGTCGCCCCTACAGGATCAAAACTGGTGGGGCCATGCCGCCACACTTCTGGTGTGTCATATCATGCATACAATGTGCAAGAAAGCTTTAGTTCACTGTAGTGACGAATTGAGAAATGCTGATTCACTTGCACAAAAGAGCCAGACGACTTCGTTGTACACAAATAATATAATATTAATAATCACAATCATTATCAGATGACTGGGGTGGAATTATATTTGCCATGGGCACCATCCTGTCTAGTTACGCCACTGCCAGTGTCACATAAGCACTCTTCAACGACCATCCAGTCGATGGCCTTCGGAACACCACGACTGAGTATTATTTGTTAATAATAAAAGTTTATTCTCTCTTATTCTCTGAGTAGACTAAACGGAGCTTCAGCGCGGCTACATGGCAATTGTAAATGGCCGTTCAGTGGTTCAGGCATTGGCCAGAACAATTATGCCATGTTATGAATCTTTATTTTTGTGTCAGTAAGATTTAAATACCCTAAGTACCATAAAAAACACCAAATTTTTCTCTTATTCTTGCTTGAACACTTTAGTAAAAGGTTTACACGCTGTTATACTTAGGTTTTAATTTGTTGAGCAGTAAAACTGTCGCAACGTTTTTGCTATTTAATGTGGCTAACACATCCTCTCGACAAGAGAGGCACATCGCTGTTGTTGAGAGCATGTTCGCTTTGCCCATTTCAGATGGCAGAAGTAGTTTAAAAAATTATGAACTCATGTGTACTACTTTTAGATTATGGTGAATTGACTTTTTTTTCTAATCGAGAGTACAAGCACACTGTGAACTAGAGGGCGTGTTTGTGCTGTTTTTAACGTTTAAGCCTTTTTAACGTTCACAATGTTTCTAATTCGTTGTCGTACAAATTGAAGAATCTGGATGACTTTTCCAACTCCACTGGAATGAGGCCATAACAGCATGGAAACCGAAACTGGTGAAATCGGATGCTGTGGCCACAGAATTACTGAGCACAAGTGCTAAAGAGAAATTACCCAAGGCGGCAACCTTTATGAGGATGGCGTGGATGCCGCAGTCCACCATCTCTCTCAATAGCTGGGACTGGTCACAGTGCCAAAGATAGGCCAGCATTGTGACACCCAGTCGGTCACACCTGCAACAACACAGGGCAGTCAAATTGTGTTGCCTTGCTTGTGACATTAATTTACCTATGAGGCAATCTGTACATTTAAAAAGACCCAACGTACAACAATGACTCTGTTTAGATTGATAAATTGTACCCTACGAACTAATGCAGTTAATATCACTATGGTAGGTCAATTAATAGATTATAAAATCAAGGTCGAAGTTTCATTTTTAACCTTTGTGCCAAAACCTTTATAGTACATGAATTTCGGATTCTGAAGTGTATTTTTCATAAAGATGAAATGTTATGCCTGAACAGCTATTCCTCGTATAGTCCTTCAGGCCTGACTGAATGACAGGTATCTTATGCTATATGTGATCTTGTTGTGTACTGGCAATAGCTACACCATTCTTAAGATATTATTATGAAAGCACAGTCTATAGTGATTGCCTTGCAGGTTATAGTTCTTGAGAAGTTGTTTATTAGGGGTGCCCCAAATTTGTGGCCAATAAACTTAGTGTTGAAACTGCAGCGAAACGAAATCAAGCAAGTGCAAGCTTCAATGTACAAACACGGTAGGTGTTTCAGTAAACATGGCGAAATATCTATGACGTAGTTTAGCTGCATTCTCCGTTTATCTCTACAATTAAGAGATGAGTGACTAGTGTAGTGGCGCTTGAGAAATTTTTAAACACCTCGCATGTTTTACACAGGCAACTAAAGTTTAAATTGCTGTCCCAAAGCCCCTTTTACCAACAGTGAATGCCACTTTTGCACAGTTTGCATTAGAAGGTGCAGAACCACTACTGCACCGTGCAACCATCAACAACCAGTGTGGGCGGTTCAGAATTGTACAACCCAGCAAAAAAAAAAAACATTTTGAGCCCCTTCAACTATCCTTATGCTTAAAAACCACGTTACATGCACAACACAATGAGCTATAGCTGGGCGCAACTTTAGAAGGCATGACGATAGTTATAGCGCGAGAGTAGAACCACGACACAGAGACAAGAAGGACACGAGCGCTAACAGTTAGCGCACATGCCCTTCGTGTCCTTCTTGTCTCTGTGTCGTCGTTCTGTTCTCGCGCTATAACTATCGTCATGCCATACAAAGTAGCCTAAGCTGCCACACTTTCTAAAGTTAGAAGGCAGCCTCATTCGCACATCAAAACTCGATTAACACAAGGTTGTACCAATAAGTGTGTTGCTGATCTGGGCAAAGCTTCTCCTGTCTAAAGTTAATAATAGTAATAATATTTGTTGGTGTTTAAAGGGCCAGTAACAGGCTCTGGCTTTTTTTTTCACCCCCCTCACAAGCTCGCCAATTCGTACAGTATGACTGCAGCAATCACATTTAAAGAACTATTACAATGCTGCGCACTGCGCAGACCCTGCATTTTGAAAAGGTATTCGTGAACTTACCTTCTTTGCATGACCAATGCCCCTTATAACCGCAGTGACGCAAGCTTGCCCATGGGCAACTTTAGGTACCATACCAGCTTATCGATTGGTCTTTTGCCCGACTGAAATGCTGCATTGGCCCTGCAGTGATGTAATTTCGGTCGTGCAGTCCCCATATTCATTTTCTTGTGCCGCCCTCTGCCGTTTCGCAGAGCCCGAGACTACCAGGAGAAGCGGTATTGCCAGAACAAAAGCCTCCGAGATAAAGGCTGCTCCTCAAACTGCTCTTCCTCCCTGCACTGTCACGACACATGCTCATGTCGGAATGCCCTGCTTGGTCAGTGGCTGTGCGACGATGATGTGTCGCTGACGTCGTGTCACGTTGGCGAAGTGGGTGGAGTCACTGACGGCGGGCTATGCCTTCCCCCTCCCTATGGTCGAGAAGGGTGGCGAGGTTGCATGAAAATCTTAAACCAGCTCAAACGGATGTCCTAAACCCTGGAACATTCTTATTATAGCACATATTTGCAAAACTTTTTGAGGCAGCATATTCACATAGAAAGAGTGTGCATATTTTTCTTCATCACAATTTTTGAACCTCGGGGGTTGTTTACTGGCCCTTTAACATCCCAGAACTACGATATGATTATCAGAGACGCCGTTGTCGAAGTCTCTAGAAATACTGACAGCCTGGTTACTTTCACGCTTTTTCAAGTTGTACCCGACTATAGAAACAAGATGGAATCAGTAGGTAGCTTACACATTAAGAACACGTACACGCTGGTAGTCCGAAAATATGGCACCGACTGACACCGCTTCGTAGTCAACAGCCTCCTAAGAAAAGGGTGGAGTTCCGGGGCAGAACAAAAAGAAAAAAATAACATATACAGCACCATCACCAATGGCTGCATTTAGAGCATCTTTAAATGCAGCCATGGCGTTGCAAGTGTGAGCAATGTGCTGCATGGTCAACTCACTTTGGCCCTGGTCATCAACTCGAAAAGATCTTCAACTTCGTCGCCTTCTGTCACCTCATATTCACTCTCTTGGTTGTACGGCTTGCCCACAATGTGCCCCTGAACAATGGCAGTCCCATGGCTTCAGCGTAGTGGTCGATGATTTCGTGACCTACAGACTGGTACATGTAGCTGTCGAGCTCATCTATGAAAGACAACAGAAGACAGCTTCCGTTAGCTTTGTCAATGCACACCTAACTAGACGGGGTGAAACGCACAGATGTAATTGCATTCTAAACCATGAGCAAGTCCACAGACAAGCGACGAATGTGAGTTTGATCTCGAACTGATGAAGTTGCATGACTGAGCAACTGCCTGGAAAGCACATCTCTTTCATATGCAGCTTGTGAAAAACCCTTTGCTGTTTCCGTTTGGAGATGTTTAGCAGTATGCACAGATGTAGCGATAATGATTTCTAAAGCTTCATCCAGTGTGTGATAGATAGACAAATAGACAAGGTAGATAGACAAGATAGATAAGGTGATAAATAGACGCTGCCTGTTAGACATTCCTGCCACTTGGGTCTGATGGTGTAGGTGGCTAATGCATGATGCAGTGTTGGGGGTTGTAACGATTCTCAATCAAACGATGCAATTTTTGTTCTTTCTTATGGCATTAACACTAGTGCTTTGAAGGAGCCATAACCTTCTTCAAAAAAGAAACATGTTGGTGTCAGCACAGGGCACACTAGCGTTGGTCATTGACGTGCCTGGCCTCGGCAGTAGTGACACGAGCACAACAGCAAAAGCACTGAAGATGCACTGCAATACGGTGACATACGAGGCTGGTGCCCTAGTAAGAAGGGCTAACCACCGACACTGGTGCTCTTGCTATCGTGCAAGATCTTCAGTGCTCTTGCTATTGTGTCACTACTGCCAAGGACAGGAGCATCAATGACTAACGCTAGTGTGCCCAGCGCTGACACCAACATGATCCTCTTTTGAAAGAATATTATGGCTTATTCAAAGCAGTACAAACCAGTATGCACCACAAAAAAACACAGCCGACATAACTTCACAGCAACTGCTTATTGCTGCGTCTGGGTGTAGCGCTACAAACACATAAAATTGGTAAAGCTACACAAAGTATATTCAGCAATGAGTGATTTCATGACGTCAACCTAGATGCCACAACCTATCAGCCAATCAAAGTTGAGAAATTTTGTCCAGGTCGATCTCGATACCAACTGAAAGTGCCCGATGTGATTGCAGTATCATAGTACATTCATTATTAAGTTGATTAGAGGTCATGAAAGAGTGCTAATTATTTCAGATTACTACTGTGCATCAAGAGATATATTGCCTAATCGTAAAGAGTCTGCTTCATTACTTGCGTGGGTTTCAAAAGCTGAACATCAAAATGAACGGTTTTATCCTGACCAAACAACATCACTACCGAAGACACCCAAAACTGTAATTGAACATTTGGATTGTGCCAGTTCAAGTCAGCCATGGGACACATGGGCAGCAAAAGCACACATCGTGTTTTAAACTGTTTTTTTTTTTTTGCTATGTTCTGGGCGGGAAATTATGTAGGTGTAATATGCTGATCACTTGGATGCTACCAGGCCAAAGTTCATTCAAACATTTATTCAGAGGACAGGCCAAAACCAAAATGCCACATCAAAGCAATTTTATATGTGAAAGACATAAGGAGATATTGCTTTGAGTGAAAGCATTGAAAATAAGTTAATTGTCCCCCTGACGGACTCCGCGACTGCAAAAAAACAGGATGCGTCCTTGGAAATTGCCTCTGATTTCTTTAACGAAAGTATCAGAAAGAAAACAAGGAAACATACCCGCATCTTTCGGCTTCAAGTGGGCGAGAGCGACTATTTCGTGGCCGTCCTCAACACACTTCATCATGTTGAAACAACTGTCCTTGCCACCGCTGCAGTATATATAAAAAAAACAAAAATGAAATAAGGCGGCGACGTTTACTACGCGTTGAACTAATGCATTCACCGCGCGAAAGACAGTACAATTCCTACGCCATTACCTAACCAACGCCAACACCTTCATGATGCGCGCGGTCGATGTCACGAAGCGAAAGCGTCTTGAAGGATCAGCGAAAATCACAAATTGATTCCGAGCACATACGATCACACCGCTACTGCCGAAACGTTAAGCAATCACGTTGACAGCAGTGATTGAAATAACTCCCAAACCGGTAACTGACGTCGACGCGCGATGTTTTTTGGCGCGTTTTCCCGCTACTTATCCTTACTAGCGAAGCGAAACTAATGCATGTGCACTGAGTATTTTGTTGCGCGAACAAGCACGCACACACGCCCACACGCACGCACACTAAATTTAAAAATGGCGACACATCAGTGTTTGAAACTTTCAACCAAAACTAACGACAAGTTTAAGCGAAACTATAGTTAATATTAGTTAAAAAAAGAAAGAGCATTTGTCTTGACTATTTAGGAATCAAAGTGATACGCCAAAGCACGGGTAGCAATTAGACATTGCTTATTGTTATGAAATTATTTTATCGAAGTGGTTTGTACGGGTACGAAACTGCAAAGCGACACGTATGAAGAGTCTTGCCTGTTTCGTCTTTGCATTGGAAACCAAGTGAATCGAGTGATCGAGTGCATTCTTCGGAACTGTGTGGTCGCAAACGAGAACTTGTTCGCGTTAAAAAAAAATGTTACCGCGTTATCTAGGCTTTCGCGTTGCACGATAGTGACGCCGACCGCTTCTACGTGCGACCGTGTCAAGCATCAACAGATCGGGTCAAGGATAAAGAAGCCCTGCGCCGACGTTCACTTGCCCAGCCGAGGTAAGCGCGACTTTTCGCCCCTTGTTTACAGCATGTCCACGCCTACATTTGCCACGGTTCCATTGGTCATCGATTAAAACGTGACGCTTTGAGCTTCTGACAGCGCTTGCGGCTGAGTCCTTAACGCAGTTTCGACGGCGATCCTGATTAGTGGCGCGTCGTAAAGATTGCCGTGTTCGCCGGCGCGTAGCGACTTCTTGTGTTACAGACAAAAAAAAAAAAAAAAAAAAACGAAGATCGCGATTCGAATCGTAATTGCAACTCGAATCGAATCGTGTTTAGAACTGTCACGTAGTGCAACACACCAGTGAGAGGCTAGCGTTCGTCAAAAGTGGTTAATACGCAAGCACCAGCTCTGTCTGTGCCCTTAGCAACTTTAGCGAAGTATTTTAAAGGGAAAAGTTAATGCCATCGCGGAACGGCGATATATGATCGCGCGTGTGCAGTCGCAGCTGCGTTCCTTGTCAAAATATTTTCGTCATCCGCGCATTTCCCCCAAGTTCACAATCGCTGTTGACTTAAAAGCAATTGCGACCTCAAAAGTTTATGCTAATCATTGTGCTCACCAAAAGTTTTAATTAGCAGACATTATCAAACGGTGTCATTCGTTAAAGGCTACTCATCAAATGGCATTTGATGAGTAGCTTGTCAAAGGGTGTTCTTAGTTAAAAAGGTGTTTATTGTGAAGAGAGGTGTCAAAAGGGGGTTAAAAATATGTTGTCAAAGGGTGTTCTTCATAGACGCTTGTCGACAGATGTGTATAATAATGAATACGCAATTATTTTTGAACTACAATGTTTTCTGGTTTGTTTTAGCATTTTGCGCAGGTTACTGAAATATTTATTTCCATGTAAAATTGGGATTTTGTGGTACCAATTGAAAAAGAAAAAAAAAGCACCTTATGCAGTTATTGAACCCTGGGCAATGAAAATTAATTTTGGGGTTCTTCCACTAATGGGCATCTTTACAATCAAACCATAGTTCTAGCAGCATAAGTACTCCAGCCATTTATATCAACGTAAATAGAGATACGAAAATGGCACAATAGAAAGGAAAATGAACATTTATACCATTTTCATAGTGCTATTTGGGATGATACTAACCTTTGCACACCAACCCATTTAACTGTGATGACAGAAAAAAAGATTCCACCATTAGATGTAGAACCAGCACTTTTTTCTATTCTTTCTTTCCTAAAACAATAAGAGATTTGAATAATTGAACAGATTACTTAGTAAATATAACAGATAATGATTTCTTTTATGTTGTGATATTGCTGAATTAACAAATGTGTGTACCAGTCTTGAAAATGTATCTGTTAAGCAATATTTATATTATTTTCGATAATGTTACCGTGATCTTTGTGTCGCATGTGTGTAGCAACATATATGTATGTATGTGTATATATGCAACATGTTCTTTTTTCCCTAATTATGTTTTTGTTGCCCCCCTCCCTTCCCAATGTAATGCCTCCATGGTGACGTTACGAATAATCTGCATCTAAATAAATAGACTTTGACTCTCTTATGGAACTCCACGATTAAATAAATCGTTTTCCTCCATTTCACAGGAAAGCAATGTCCTGGTTCAGTGACATTGCGAGCCGAGCGGAAGACCTTCTCACGAAGGTTGATCAGACAGCCTGCATCGGCACTTCAGAAACCAGCTCCTGCCCAATACGAAGACCGGTTTCATGTCGTACACCAAAAGTCCTGGCAGGAGTCCACAACCAGACCCGCCCAGCATCCCAGCCTTTGACTGCCGGTGGATTCACACGTAGCCCAAAAGCCGTCCAGAGGCCTGTCGCTAACTCCAAGCTCGACCTGGTGTCAAGCCGAAGCGAGTCGAAAAGCAAGCCAGCGATGAAAAGTTGATGGAATATCTAAACAGCTCGGAGCCCGCGCCATCAGCTCCGAAAACGCAGTTCGTCTCAGCTGAAAATTGATGTAGAGTCGTCGCCGGCTGAAGCTGGAGATGTCATTGGAACAAGCAGTGTCTCGTCATCAAAGCTCCAAGGTAACTGTTCTTTGACAAAGGAAGCAGTTTTCAATAAGTGCTCTGATTTTTAAAAGTGGTGGTTCACAGCAGATTGAAACAGTTGTTGTCAGAAGAAAAGTGCATTTTTTTACTGCACAGTAGTATCACTTACGCAATTCTCAACCACTACTGACCTGACACCGTTGAGGTTCATAGCGTGCTGCGGTGTGCAATCAGGGAGTGAGAAGAGATAGATCTGCAGCACAAGTGGCGTTTTGCAGTTGGTCATAACGTCATTTTTCTGTAGCTGGCCACTGCCCTGCAAGCCTGTTAACTCAAATTCATGCTCCTTGTAGCATGCTCCTGTGTTTGCTTGTCAAACTGACTTTGCTCAGGCTGGAGAACAACTTGCTTCAATATTGCCCTTTCAAAAGTTATCATGGGATAACTTTGCAGCCTGATCGATTCGGTCATTTGGTTGCTGCGCCTTATGTGGTGGCTCAGTGTATTTGCTGTAAAGCGATTCCGCCATCACGGAGCATATTAATTGCTTCGTTAAACAGGCTGAATTGCTGTGGTGGGTTTTGTTGTGGTATTCACAGTACATTGAAAAGGTAGGAATCTGCATACCATGTGAAGTGCTTCGTTGCACGGACTTTTTCATAGTAGAAGCATTTTGTTGTAGTGAAGTTTCAGTGTTTTATGGTTTTGGCACATTAGTATGGCAACATTACGCTGTACTTTTCCCATCAAACATTAAAATGCAGATGCAACGATGTCACAAGCGGAAACGGTAATCTCGCCAGAAGTCAGTACAACGACGACAGCCCAAGGAGAAGCAAGCACTTCGGTGGTTGCAGATCAAACACCTTCAAGTTCGCGAAGGTCTTCCATTCAGCACCAGGAACTTCAAACAGCTTCTTCCTTCTCGAGAAGTGATGTGCCTGAAGTGACACAGGGCAGTAGCCTTGAAGAAGAAAACAGAATGCTTCGAAAAGAGGTGTCCACTCTAAACCAGGAGATGGCATCTGTTCTCCAGAGGATCAAGAATGCTGACGCAGGTGAGCGTTAATAATCATTTATAGTAAAAAAATCCTGTCTCCAAAATATTTGACGTACTTCTAGCAAGCGCCTGCGTGGCCACCCTACAACGAAGAGCTCACGTGACCGTGTGGTGATGTCATGGGATAATGTCATGTGACGCTATCCCATTACAATATATCATATGATGATAGTGACATTACGTCGTGTGGTAATGTTTAAAGTTTCTATATGCTATAAATATCTAAGTTTTGGTGAAGCCTACGTTGCTGAGGCAGAAACTTTGCAGTTTGCTCGGCCAGGCTTGGTCGCGCACTGTATCTCATACCTTTGTACGGGTTTTTGTACTCATATCTTTGTTTATTGATTTATTGTGGGGTTTAACGTCCTAAAACCACGCTATGATTATGAGAGATGCTGTAGCAAAGGGCTCCGGAAATTTCAACCACCTGGGGTTCTTTAACATGCACTCCTCCTCCGTGCAGTGGGGATGTAAAGAAATGCAAACATGTGGCATCTACATTTTCTGTGCTGTTTAGTGCTTGATTTCAGGCGGTTGATTTCAGGTGACGAAAAGCCATTAGCATCATCTATGATATAATCGTTGACCATCCAGCATCTTTTTATTGCCACCAAGGTCAGAGTGTGATGAAAAGAGCACACTGTGCTATTTACATTTTTTCCGTTCCCTTTCTACAAGTTGTTCTCGCCATTTGTCTTGCAGTGAAGTGAAAGCAATAAAGTAGCTTTGCTCGCTGCAGGGGCCTGCATTTCATTGCGCAGGCATTGAAGTTACTGCAGGTTGTATGCCAAAGGACTTAGCTGGTAGCCTTACTTCATGTAACATTTTACCTTGTTTATATTGCATTCATTGCTTTGTACTTGTGATGAAATTGCAACTTTTTATCGTGGGATTTCTGCCGAGTCTTCTCTAACGCTCGTGGTCCAAAACCTTTACCCACTTTCCACCTGTTTCAGCTCGGAACTAAAAAATGCAAAGCTGAAGTAAAAGAAGTTTACTTGCTTTTTTAAAAAATTGGGCATAATGCAGTGAAACAATGTGCACAAATAGATCATGAAAGAGCTTGTTTAGCAGTGCCTCACAATGAACCGCTGAGGCTGTGCTGTTTTTTTTTTTTTTTTGAGGTCCCTGAAGACAGACCGCAGAAAGTTAAGATGATACGCTTCTAGCTATTAACGGTTGATATTGAAAGTGGCATCTCGACTGTTGGGTCACATTTGCAGAGAAGCAGCGGCTGCAGAACCGCCTCGATCACTGGTCCAGCCAGGTGTCAGCCAGCGACTCGACCTTCCGCGAACTGCAAGCACGTGAACGTGACCTCACATCAGCCTTGGAGGCAAAGGACTCACAGCTGGCTGTGTTGCGTGTGCGGCTTCAGGAGGCAGATCAGGAACTGACCACCAAGCGCCGCCTGGTGGACGACCTTAGGAATGAGAACCAGAGGTGTGTGTTCTTTGATGCAAGAAAACATTTTGGGTTACCACTGCCCACTTTGATCTGGAAAGTTATCTGGCCTCAATAAAATGACCACATGAAAATTAATAACAAAGTCTGTACTCTGTTCATACACAGCCGTCACTGTTGTGTAGGCTTGCAAGATCCTCGCAGTAGGTGTGTTTGCATCAGAGAATTGTTCGTTCTTGTTTCACATCCACAATTTTTTTAGTGTGTTAACGTAGGCGGTCCCGCCTGTGGTTTTCAACCTTGGATCCTCAACCTGTATATTTACCTATGCTCCATTCTCTTGATTTGTTTCTAATAAAGATGGATTGATTTAAAGCAGCAAAGCTATCACATGCTTTGTAATATACCATACAGTCCTGCTATAGTGAGAGTTGAATGAAGGTATGTAGGTTATATGAATCATGTCGCATAACATTGGGCACTTGTCTAAAAAAAAGGACCAGGAAAAGTTTAACCAGCACAAAGCTGTCAACCAATGACTTATTATCATTGTGATATAGTGAATAGAGCTAGGATCACTCGCTGAAAGTGTGCCTTGGAACAACTGCATTCATTAATTCGTGTCGTGGCACAGGCTGACAAGGGACCAGACGGACTTGTCCCAAGTCCAGGGCAAGACTGTTGAGACACTGCGCGACAAGTTGGCCCATGCGGAAGAGGCCCTCCGAAAGGAACAAGAGAGCCATCGACACGCTCAGGTGCGTAATTTGGCAGTGACGCTCAACATAAGCACGTTTAGTGCATGCATTAAAAAGCTAAAAGTATCTTCGACAGATCGTGGAGGCACTGCACCAAGGTAAGGTGGATGAATTGGTTATTTTTGCTAAAGAAAGGCATGCTAAAAGAACAGAACAAACAGACAAGAAGGCAACTATAAACAGCCAAATGTTTTTAGTATTCAAGAAGCCCAACTTAATAGTGAATAGTATCCAAATATCTGTTCCTGTTAAATGCCATCTTTAGGAGGTGGATAAATAACTGCTATAATGTTGCAATAATCTTTGTCAATGTATCGTAATCTTGTCAATGTCATCGTAAATGTTATCATGAACTTAAATGTCACTGTAATGTTCTTTTACAGGCCGAATTCATGCAGAGGCAGTTGAAAATGGAGGAAGAATTGGCAAACCTGTCAGAGAGTTTGACATTGGCACAGAAGCAGCTAGCTGAACAAAAGGGTACGCTGTCTGCTACGAAGCCACTTCTGAACGTGCTTAGGCAATTGCCATTTCATGTGCAACTATGACTTTGCACTTCTTCTCATCTCGCAAACCTGCCATCTTGTCTGTGCCTTTTGCTGGGTGTGGACTTTCTGGGAGTTTCACAAATATTCACAATATTCACAAAGATTCACAAATAAATGTGCAATACTGGGTTCAGGACAGAACAACTGATGCCTTATTATCCTATATGCGGCATTTGAAACTGATCGCATTGTGAAATCTTCCCTTGAAAATCATAAAAGCTGTGGAGCTTTTATTCGTGTTTAGATGTAGTGTAAATTTTCTTATTACAGACAATCAGCTGAGCTAAACCAGATCCTGTGAAAATGCGAGAAGCCTGTGGGACTCATGGTTACATGCAAATGTTGGCATAACGAACATGGATATAATTAATCATTAGTTATAACAAAGCCGAAGAACAATAGCTTTGTCAAAAATACAGTGTTGCGAATTTACATTTATAACACATTTGATATAACGAAGTATCTTCATGGCAGATGCGACTTTGTTATAATGAGGTTTGAATGTATAACTTTACGAAAGCGGTGATACTGGTAAGACATTACTGTTTGGCGAGTCGGCTCTTAATAAGAGCAATAGATTTTCTGTTTCAAGACCACAATCCGTCAGTTTAGTTTACGCATTTTCGTCAAGTGTGTCTTCAGTCATTTGCATTACTGATTTGTTGTCCACATTTTCTTGTTTGTTTGCCTGTAACAGCGCATGCAAAGGAGTCGGGCAGCCAAGTGTCGTCATTGCGTTGCAGTCTAGATCTGGCACGTCAAGAGCTTGCCGATTACAAGCAGAAAGCACAGAGGATTCTGCAGGTAAGGGAACACTTGTAAAAAGAAAAAGGCTAACTGGCTCACATTCCCTCTCCCTCTATTGCTCTGGGCTAATCAGTCAGTGATTAGGTCGATCAGCCTGCAAATATAGCTCTAAACAAGCCATCGTTTGTACTAATCATTTGTACCATCATTTGTACTAATCATTTGTACCATCATTTGTACCAAGCAGTTACACTAATCTAATTAATGGGATAATAAATTAAGCCATTCATGTATGGAACTGTAATACAATCAAACCTTATCATAATGAAGTCTCATTTAATGCCAAAATAGCTTCATTATAAGCAGAAATTCATTATAACCATAACTTCATAGGACTACTATTCATACACTTTAATGTAACAGCATATTCATTATATCCACGTCTGTCATGTCAAGGTATGAGTCTACGGCATGGCATGTAAATTATATACATGTATATCTTGTTTAATTATATACTGAAATGACAGTATAACAGCTGTGAACATCTAGGATGGTTCATGTTCGCGAATGTTCCACTTAGGTTTTAATAAATCCTTTTCTGACACAGTCAAAGGAGAAGCTGATTGCAAGCCTGAAAGATGCGGCCAATGCGAGTGGGTCATCCCTGGATGGCTCGGAAGTTGACGGCAGCCGGCTGAGTGCTGCTTCTGCAGCCGAGCTGGAGGCCATGACGACAGGAGTGCGAGCACCTCCGTAACGAGCTAAGGAAGACTCAGGCCCACGCCGATGCCCTGTCAGCAGAGTTGCACGAGCAGGAGAGCTCCCTGCGTAGGTGAGTGGTGTGATTCCAGCTTCTGCTGTTACGATTCGTCTATACCCTCATGCACAACAGGTAGCAAAAAATAAACTTAAGTAATGTGTTTTGGACACAGCTAGATAACTGCTTTGACAGGGCAGTCTCTCTGCAAGTGGTACTGCTGTGTTTACTTTTTTCTTTCACTGTCCGTGCTTTTAGCAAAGTAGTCACTTACAAAGAAGTACGTTTTGGTACAGTCTGCCTTTGATGTCGACTTGAGTGTTTCCATACTCCCACTGTTCCAGGTGTCGTTGATTTGTACGCTTCTATACTTTCACGATCTCCGGTATCACCAACTTCATGAGGTCTCCGTACCGTATTTGCTTTCGGTGTCATCGACGCGTACATTCCTATTCTGTCTCTTTTTCTAGTGTCCTCTACTTCTGCATGTTTCCATACTGTTCTCGTTTATGGTGTCATCGATTTGATTGTTCTACCATGCAGTGTATGTTTTCGGTGTCACCGATTCGTACATTTTTATAATGTCAGTGTTTCTAGTGTCATCGACTCATACATTTCTGTACTGGCACCATTCTCGGAGTGACCGACGTCACTAGGTTTTCATACAATTGCCATTTTTTATCTCACCAACTAGAAGCAAATCTTCGTTTTTTTTTTTCACTGGACAGGGAGCTGGAATCCCTACAAGAGCAACAGCGTGACCTCCTGAAGGACTTGAAGCAGGAAAGGCATCAGCGGCAAGAGGTCGAGCTCGAGGCACGACAAGCAACAGAGGCGAGTGCAGATCGTTGTGGTCAAAGGATGGGTCAGTCAGTACTGCGTGGTTGAAGTTAAATGAACGGCTAGAACCACAGCCTAGACGGGCAAATAGCGTATCTCATAATCACATTGTGGTTTTGGGACGTCAAACTTCAACAATTATTACATATGCAAATAAAAAAAAAAATGGCAAGCTAAAGCTGAACTATTTGTGGGAAGGTGACAGGATCAAGTTGGCGAATGCAGCTTTATCATGCCTTTTTTTCTTGTTATAGTATGTATTTATCTGGCAAATCACTTTTATGTTAGTTAAGATCCTCTCACAGATGCCATTGGCGGCCACTCACTGACATTCAAGATTGCACTTGGCAGATGAAACAGGATATTGTACTTTTTGAAACTGTGCCATCGCTGCACACCCTTGCACATACGAAGACGAGAACCCTGTTGAGTCTGTAGTAAAAATTCTAAACTATATAATTCATCACAAAAGCTGCAGTGAATATTAATAGAGCAGAAAAACACTGTAAATGCTGTCAAAGAATAATGTCAGAGTTTCTGGTAGTGGCTACGCAACTTTTTTTTAATCGAGTGACTTCTGTAAATATAACAGCACCAGCTAATAACTTCAATTGTGGTTCACTGCAAGCACTGGCAAGCTCTGCAGTACTACCTAGACTTCGTGCCCATCTTCTGGAGTTATTTAACAAAGACGTGATAGTATACAGCTTAGGTCACTCATGCCTCTGCAAAATTGGTTCTTAATTTTCCAGGAGATCACATTCCTGAAAGAAGAGCTTCGACGCAACAAAGAGGCCCTGCAGCAGAGGCTAAGCGAGCGCGAATCTGAGCTGGAAAAACTGCGGAAACAGGCTGGTTTCTTTTGTCTCATTTCTCAACAGCAAATCAATAATGAGCACTGGTAAGAGAGCTCGAGCAAAGTAACATGCACTGCTTCTTGCATTGTTGTACCGTAGCAAAAGGTGACGCGTTTGGACATCTTCATACATTAATGACATGCTGACACTCTGGTCACAGTACATGAAGTGGACATCGAAAAAAAAAATTAAACCTTGAGATTTGTATGGAATGTCTTCCTTGAGGTTTGTATGCAATGTAATACATGACTGTATTAATTTGTTGCTCCCATCAGATATTAGTGGACAAATTCTTGTCCCTATCAGATTCGCACACTCGTGGTTTATGCACTCGGGAAATAATTCGTGTGAGACGGTAGGTATGAACATGATCACATCGAAAATTGTACATCGAAAATTGTACATCGAAAACTGTACACACTTCTTCTCTGCTTTAATTAAATATAGATTACATCGGCTGTGGCCGTTAGACGACAACATTGACATGGTCACTAAACCCTATAATCGAGTCAGCCTCTATTTTTAAATGTTTAATAAAGTAAACTCCTGCTGCATTCAAATCTACACACTTTGCACATACCTGTTACGGCTTTTGCTTTTAAAAAGTCTGTGATGAGTGCATTCAAAAAGTCCCTATACAAAAAAAAAAAAAAAGGGAAAGTTCATTTTCGCATTGAGATTTCAATGTGTTTGTACCATCGTGATAGATCATGACCAAGTCGATGAGCTCGACAAGCGAGGAAGAGCTCGAGGCTCGGCTACATGCCCTCACCGAGAACCTCATCCAGAAGCAGACCCTGGTCGAAGCCCTGAGCACCGAAAAGAACTCACTTGTCCTCCAGCTGGAAAGACTCGAGGTAGGAGTGCATCTTTATTTTTTTTATGCTGAAAGTACAAGGTGTGTAGCGAGACTAGCATATTCAAACTACTATGCTCCGTCAGGTTCGATGCTGTGGAAGCTTGCGAGACTTCGTGCACTAAGTGCATTTGCACCAAAAATAGTTCAATGATTTTTGCCACTCACATTGTAATTTTTTCTAGACTTAAGAAAAAAAAGGGTAACATTATAGCTATGATTGTAACATTCATGTGACTGTGACTGAGAATAGAATGTCTTTTCTCAGTTTTAAGTCACTGGTTGGAATTATCTTTGTGGTTTGACCGTAACTGATGGATCCAATGCTTTTTTGTTGTCTTCTTTTACAGCGTCAGCTGAAGGAATCCCAAGTTCACACCTCCAAACCGCACACAGCGATAGCCGGATTCGGACAGCCAGATGAGTGTAAGTGAACAAAGAGGCCTATGCTTGTATGGCCCACCGTATAATGGTGTGGTCCTTTCTCAAATGGAGTATCAGAGCATTATTTGTAAATGTTTCCGTGACGAAAGTAATGAAGAAAAAAAATGTACCAAAAGAAAGTACATTACTTGAGCGATTCTCAGCACGCTTTGAGTACACATTATATTCCTTGGAATGGGCGGGAAGAACAAATTTCCCAGCAAAAGTTTCGAGTTTGGCCAACTTCACTTGCGCAATCAAAACATGTATTCCAATTTGTCTAGAGATTAACGTGTAAAATAACGTCAATATTTGCGTTAAAAATAAAATGTTTGATCTCTGCTACTGCTCTGAACCTCCTACCGTATGAGCTACATTTTTGTCTCTCTCCTGTTTTTTAAAGTCTGAGACAGTCGCTGCAGATGCTGTAAGGACTGCATGCTGTAGGTTATGTCAAAACTATTGCATACTGTAGTGTGTCACGGCGTGCACCGACATGTAGATTTGGGCGCGACATGTTTTGCATGCAAGGTGTAAACGCGAACGGGCGGGAAACGGGCATGCAGCGTAGCTGTTCGCGTTGCACGTGCTCAATTGTACGTCTCTCTCGTTTCAAAATGTCTGACAAACTTTTGTGTCCCTCCCTACGCTTATGTCCTTTCAGCTGATGAGTCGGGTAAGTGCCCCTAGCTACACTCTAGACATGCCTGACAGTGATTTGCTCACTGACGCTGAACACGTCTTTGCACCTCTCTTCTTCCAGATCCTAGGGCGAGGCTTCCGGGAATGTTTGTCGAATCTCCCTTCGACGGCACCGTGACCAGGAAGGTCAAGAGAGCATATGGTGTCATTGACTCCTTTAGGTAAGCTGCCATGTCTTCGTGCCTCTTCTTTCGAAGTTTCTAGGCGTTAGCACGAAAAGGAATTTTATGAAAGAGCTACTGAACTAGAACCTCTGCATCACTGTAAATTGTGGTAACTTTTTGTACATGGCCTTTGCCACATTTTGATGGATTGTTGCCAAGACTTGATGCTGTACATGCGTCAAGTGTGGGTCGAGGCCAAACAAAACAACAGATTTCTCCTGTCGAACAACTTGATGCTTCATTTTCAAGGCATTCTATGTTTCCGGGTTTTGTGTTTTTAACAATATACATGTATACTGCATATATTGTGTGCAAGGATGTGTAAGTTTCTCTTAAAATGTAGAAAAGTGATCTTTATGGGGCTTTGCTATTAAGGCAACATGTGATATGGATCATAAACATGCAACACTTGACACTGTCAATAGTCGTAAGCATTGAAGTAAAAAAAAACAGTGACGGTTACATGTGTCGCTATGCCGGCAGGCAGAAAAAAGGCGTTCCAAGCTTGCCTTGATGTCTTCTAGAGGCTCTGGCTAACACTTCTCAGTATAACAGCACATATATACCCCATAAAGTGTACAGGGGGACGATTGTCACTGTATCCCAGTCGGTACAGCATCAGACGTGGATTATTTGAAGATCGCAGCTTCGTTCCCTGCGAGCGGCAGGTTATCTTTGTGTCCAATTTGCTTTCTTGGCATTAATGTCATAGTTATACAGATATCATCCCCTATACTTTCCTTGGCTTTCTTGTCTGTTAGTTCCAATTAATGTTGTGATTGTATAGGTTACTTTATTGTGATTGTGCTGTTAGTGTGGTACTAATAATAACAATATTAATTGCCGAACTGTATCCTCCTTCCCACTTTTACAGCATACGTGCTGGCATCTTTCTGAGGCGCTACCCACTTGCCCGGATATTCATTCTCATTTATATGGTAAGGATGTCACAGGAATGGTACATTCACTCCTCATCTTCCATCTAGTTTTCAGCATTTGCCTTTTCATCATGAAAGCAAGTGAAAGGAACTGCACTTGGGCAGGCCATGTAATGAATTGAGCTTACTGGTAGCCCATACGAGACCGTATGCCTAGAGGTCCATATGAGAATAATGGAATGGGCAAATGACGATTAGTTCCATATTTACACATTCAATTCATGCATAGTGCAGAATCGAAGCAGCCTCGGTGGTTTACAGCTGCTGTTTTGGCAAAAGCATGCAGAGTTGTGGAGTGCAGAGATGTTGTTTGGAAAGAGGGCAGTAATGCTCTGTCTATGCACAGTGGCGAAGGCTACAACTTTCACTGTCAGTGTTTTATATACGATATATTGTATTTCCAGATTTCTTTATATGCAGCAGCATATTGTCACTAGTCTCGTATTGTCATACCGCATATTGTCACAGGCTGAATTATTCTGGGAGTTGTAAATGGGTGGTTAATAATGGCGTCCCTGCGTACTGTATTAGGTAATTTGCATACTGGCGGTGCAGATGGGCACTGGCCAACGCTAGCTTGCTACTTACTATTGCTTGTAATACAACACTGTTGCAGCGTCGGCTAAGGGATGGTGTTAGCTCTTCATTGTTATAACAAACATTTTTCCCGGTCAATTGCAGTCCAGTGATCAAGTTGCATACCAATTTGATGCGCATTTGAGATCTTTGAGATAAGTCTTACACTTCAGCTGTCATTATCCAATTCTCACTGTCGCAAGAATAATGAATAAGGTGAATGTTGAGTAATGACGTGAGACATAGTCTCGCATACGCGCCAGAATCTGTATACTGCGTCATACACATTGACAACCCAAGGTAGTTCTGCTAGAATGTTTTAGAATATGCTAACATGACGCTGGGGTCATTTGTTTTGTCAGTGTGTTGCACATGGCTGTCCGAACACTATGTTTACAATTGTGATGCGACATGCGTGGCATTTCTAACGGTCACGTGTGCATGCGTCTTGTTCTACTGCAGGGCCTGATGCACTTTTGGGTCATGATTGTGCTGCTGACCTACGAGCCGGAGATCCACGGTCCACACATCAAGCCGAGCGCGAACGCTATCTCCAAGACTCTCACCTGACCGTGGATTTGCAAGTCTTCCCTGTACATTGTGTTTATACGGCATGTATCTTTTTTCTTAGAGCTTTCAGTTTGGAAATAAATTCTAAGGGGGCAATGGAATGCCTGTTATATTTGAAAGTGCCTGTATGGTCACAAGTGTATCATTGTTGCCTGTACTCTGTTTATGCATCTGTTACAACACTAAGAAATGCCTTAACTTCCATAACAGTAGATATGTAAAGTATTTTCATCATTTCGAGGTACGAAACTTTTTTTGCTTGATGCCCAAAATTTTTCCGAGACAATTGAAACAATAAATGACAGCCACGAATGCTCACTTGTTCAAATGACACAAAAAAATCCGCACTAAACCCAAAGCAGCACTGGCTGAGCAATTAACCCAAACAAACACTTTATTAGCAATCTGTGGTGTTTGACTTGTTGAAACCATGATATTATCGAGAGACATCTCATAGAAGAGAGCTCTGAGAAATTCTGACCATCTGGGTTTTTTTCAGCATGCACCTAAATTGAAGTAAACGGGCCCCTAGTGTTCTTCCATCTATCGAAAAATCTGCTGCCATGGCGGAGGTAGAACCCACGTCTTTCAGGTTGGCAGTTGAGCAACATGGCCACTGCAATGCCGTGGCAGCTAAAGGAACACCTAGCCAAGTCAGAGCTCCGGAATGTATAGCGATACAGCAAAATTACTGACACGACTGGCATTGTATGATTAGAAAGTAGCAAGCAGCGGGTTTCCAACCAAGGAAGTGCAAGCAATTTGAATGACACTGGTCATGTAACTAATGCACCCTTCGTAGGTTATAGCAGTTTTGAGAACATATATCTTTCAGAAAAGAAACACTTTCATCCACATAAAAGTTAAAAAAAAGCAATAAAAGAAAAAAGAACAACCTGGTTTACACCCAAGAATGCATTACGCACTCCTCAAAAGATACGTAGTTTACTTGTAGCAATGTTTGTCTTCTACTTTAGGATAACGCACTAAGAAACAGATGACGCCAATGCTGTCTGTTCTTTCATGCTTTGCCCTTTACCAACAAGCCCAAGCCACCATCACTGTAAATGTTCTGTGCCTATGACCAAGTGCAAGGCAGCCCATACATCAAGTTCTCAATCTGCAATGTGTGAATTTTCTCTGTGCAGTGCTTGCAATCAAAGGTTGAAGCATTCCAAAGCTGTCGTATAAAACTGCTGGAACAGTGTCATCGAAATATATCCCCCTCAGGCGTGAATGATGCACCGTCCACAAATGTGCCAAATTCACATGCCATAATTCGAGGGCACTCAATATTACATTCAAAGACAGAAAACGAAGTAATGCACTGTTTTGTAAGAGTTCTTGAAATGAATTATAATTAGCATGAAGTTAAATATTTCATTCTTGTGTCAAGGGTCATGTTTCATTTTAACAAATAACGAATGAAACCATAGGCTCCAAATGTGTGTATGATAAGTTTTATAGTTGCATTCACTTTCAGAAAAGCAAGGTAATATTCTTTACGTTGGTTGTGGAACACGGCACGTCGAACAACTTGTCACAGTAATGCATTCGAGTAAGTAGTCGGCTACAGTCATATGCAGCATATTGAGTTTAAGTGAAATCGTACTGACTATGCAGAACGTTAAATTCATCCAATGAGCCATGAATCTTGCTTTGATGTGGCTACGGGATTACACAACTAGCATGAAAAAAAAAATATGGGCTATCTACCTTAAGAGAACCGTAATGGGATGCGAAGCAGCAGCGGTGCGCACGCCGTTGACCCAGCTAAAATGGACGTCGAAGCGGGTGCTAGAAAAACGGTTTAAAGTGAAACTCTGTGTAGCCTTTACTTGAGTAAACATTTCTTTGAAACGCAGACACGAGAGGCGAGTTGGGTTTTGTGTAAGTTTTATGGCAGATAAACGAGCCGAAAGAGTGTTTACACTCGATATGCGCTCGAACGTTGCGAGCGATGGAGAGGGTGAAGTGAGATGACACGCAGCGAGCGGTAACAGGCTAGATAGAGACGTCGACACCCGCAGACTACGAAGTAATGTGTGACCTACTTGACACCGCCCCAACACCTGCGGCCAGGGGAACGTGGCGCGAACGGAAGGCAGCATTACACACACTAGTGAAAGAGCTGCTTCGCATCTAAAAGTTGCATACAAAAATGTAGCCACTGTTGCTGAAATGGAAATTCAAACTAGGTAAAAGTTCTGGACAAGATAGGATTATGAAACGATGAACAAGCCAAGCAGTCTTGCCTTCCTCAAGCAGTGACAGCCTTGAATCCTTGTTCAAGGATCTTTCATAGTCATCACCACACTTCGGTTGACCAATGACTCATTCACAGTGTCAATGAGCCAGCTTTAAAAGCGTATAGGTTCGAGCTTCTTATTACAGCTTCATCTATGCAAAACAGCACAAAAAACAAGGAGACAAGGAAACATACAGGACGAAGCGCAGACTAGCTTTCACCCCCAGAGGTATAGCGTCTTGGACAAGAATGTCTACATTTCAGACCAGAGGTTAAGCATACCAAGGCTCTTGCAACAGAATAACACTAAAGTGCCACTGTGCAGTGGTATTGCGCATCGCGTTATGGTTCATTCACGCTGGTGGTGAAAGCCATGCGACCATTAGTGATTGGTGAATGAGAAGTGGCTCGTGGCAACCGATGTTCACACTGCCCAACTTCACATCCCGTTGCAACACGAAAAAATCTTGCAATAGGTCCCGTAGACATCTGCTCGTACTACCATGGCCTGTAAAACATTCAGACATCGCATTTCCTGTATGTCCGATTGACTCGCAAGCTTTGAAAATAATCCAACGCGGCCAGATAAGGACATAAACAACCAGTGGCATGGTTGCACAACCGCAGGGAGCCTTCAAATGGGCCTTCACCCAGCACGGTTTTCAGTTGGCAAATGAAAATAGTTAGGCAGTCACTAGAAGCTGTAGTTTCTTTCTAAGCAATGCATCAAGGCCAGTGAGACTTAACCACACGAAAGAAGCTCTGCAACACTTTTCCAATGCAGTCAGAAAATGCTAGTTCATCTGTGACAACAATGGTATATTGAGTTTAATGGTGCGAGTGCCAAGAGATATATGATGGAAATATGCTGGTCTAATGCAGAATTGTGTACTTGTGAGCTCAATAGATCTGTGTTCAAGGCTTCTGTAGACCTCTTGCAAAAACAACAGCAACACTGAGTGGCGGCGTCCATGATAAAGGAAGAAACGACAACAAAAAGCGAGCGTCCTCCGGGCTTCGTTCTTGTATAGTATTCTGTCTTCGTTATGTCATCGACGTCTCACGTGATTCTATGCTGAACTTGTAGCTACGGCCCCATGAGCGCTCTGTGGTCGACTTCCTTGGGTAAAACTCAACTAGCCTGTCTTCATTTAGAGGCGGAAGGCAAAAAAGATCACTTTCCACACAGACGTGGGGAAAACAATCGCGTGGAACTCCACTTCCATAACGAAGGCGGAATGGACAAGAACGGAGCCCAGCGGACGCACGCTTTTTGTGGTCGTTTCTTCCTTTACCATGGACGCCGCCGCCCAGTGTTGCCGTCGTTTCTGCAAGGGGTCTATATTGTTACGTTGCACCTGAGCAGGTAATTTGAAATTTCAAGTCGGACAGCCAAAAATCACTAGTTCCCTCATCAACAAGCTACACAGGAGGTAGGTTGGCTGATTTCACGGAACAGTGCACTAGCGGGCAATCTCATTGTGCCGCGTCATGTAGGCACCGTGATTACCAGCGGTGTACTATCGTGCAGTTGAACCACTAGATGGTGATGATTGATATGTGGAGTTAATGTCCCCAAACCACCATATGATTATGAGAGACGCCGTGGTGGAGGACTACAGAAATTTCGATCACTTGGGGTTCTTTAACGTGCACCCAAATCTGAGCACACGCAGCTACAGCATTTTAGCCTGCATCGAAAATGCAGCTGCCACGGCCGGGATTCGGTCCCATGACCTGCGGGTCAGCAGTCACTAGACCACCGCGGCAGGGCAGTTGAACCACGAGTAGCAGCCAACTTGTTCCAAGATAAAAGAAGTAAATGCCGACGTGCATAGCACTTTTTTAGAGCAAACAACAATAGACATGCTACGCCCTTTACATGTGGCATCGTAACTTCTCATAGCATACTGCCACCTTGACACCTCGCCCTACACAGCTTCCAGCAATGTTGGGGTGACAAAGGTAGACTTATAGGGTTTACTTTGAGCAGTAACTTAACCCCTACTTCATGGATCTAAAGCCATTTTTCTGGCAAGAGTCTTCAGAGACAACCGAGTCCCAGTGCATGGTTGTTTTACAATAACGTGGCCTAGCCATTTAATGTGTACAACCTATGTGTTTGGCTGGATTGAAGATAAGCATCGAGACAAGTAAATAACGCAGACTGAGATAACATTCTTTAATAGATATCAATATGTGCCCAAAGCCAAGACTCCACACAGCCAACATATATGCTCTGTCGGGCAGTGTCGTTGACCACAACAGGCAGATCTGAAAGAAGTGTCTGAAAGTAAGAATCGCCAACATCATTTTTGCATGAAGGTACAACCAAGCTTGCAATGGAATGTGGAGCAGAGTCCCATTGACTTTTGCAGAGTCCACACCCGCTTGCAATTATCTGTTATAGATAGCAACGGCCTCGGAATTCCATGCAGCCACCACTGGATCAGAACATCATGTTAACAATGAGCGAACCATTAAGCTTTGTATTCTAAGCTGCTCAAGCTCAACCTGTGTTCAGCAGGCCTTAATTACATGCATCAACTGCAAAACCCTGAACATTCCTGCAACCTTAATTTGTGTTGCAAACACACACAAAGAAAGAACAAATTCGAACGAGGCTTCTCTTGCCGTGGTTACAATGGCCTCCAGCAGTAACTGCATGAAACTCTTATCTCGGTTATGACCATGGCGTGGGTGTTAATGAAATGCGTGTCCTAAATAAGGCATACATACATTTCACAGGTCTATACGCTATCAGCACTGAAAATGTATCTGCACTACAGATGAAAAAAGCGTGACAGGAAAAGTTGTTACACTTCGGGAAGGAAACGCTATGACAGGTGAATACGGCAATGATAGCTTGTGCATATATAGCCTTTTTTTTTTTTACATTATTTACACCATGAAACCAGAAACGATAAGGCTTAACTGCAACCTGCAAAGCCCTACATGACGCTCTCGAGAACAGCTCATATAAGCATGTGGTATAGTTGTTTGCTAATGGGAAAGTTTCAACGCTCTTGTTTGCGGACATGCTGAACACTTTTCCGCACTAGACATGAAGACAAGTGACGATATATTGCACGAAATGTTTCACGTGTGCGAAGTACACAGTTTGACATGAACACAGTACAACCAGGAGCTAGTGCCTAGAGCGGAAAGTAAGTCTCGACAAACATTAAAGTGACCTCTAGCCCATTCATTTCAGTCTTCAATGAGTTGTCTCAATATGTCTCCTACACTTACAGTAGGGACTGTAGTCAAATAAGGAAACCAGGAAAGGAAGCAACATGTCTTGAGTCACTGTTTTGAGAAGAGCAAGTCTTACTGAAGACTAGTTTTTGCTGCGGTCAAACTCGGTTTGCACAAGACGAAGATGTCAGTCATCTTATCCAGAACACTGGAACGGCACTCAAGCTTCTCCTCAACATTTCACTTAGCTTCCACACAGCCTTCACTTTGTAAGCACTTTTAAAAGCTCCGTTACTGTAGTTGTTACGTTACCTGCAAATGCTGTCTATTATACCACCCATACATATTCACATGGTATAAACCAATGTGGTTTATTGTTACTACTTATATACTGCCTGCTACTACTAAACTATCATTATAGCGTCGACAGGCCCATTGTCAACATGTAGTCAGCAATTCTGAAATATTGCGACGGCAAGGATGTTTGGAAAAGAGATCATTATGCTGAAGAGCAAAGAACCAAGGAAGACTCCACGAATGGCATCCTAAGATGAGCCATGTCATCAAAGTTAACGAACACCTGCACACAATACGTGATCCGCAAGCATTACGAAAATTTCAGAACTAGACCAGCCTCTGTTGGTCTTGATGGAAACTAAAGATATCAATGACATAAAAGTTGCAAAATGTATTCAAATCTTTAGCACTTAGGAACATGAACAATGGGACGACCAATGCAACTGTGACACGAAATTCAGTTGCCAAGCTAAGCCATAACTTGTTGGATGCAAGACAAGACAACACTCATAATTGCTGCAACATTTGATAGTCGCATCACAGCATCATTTCAAATACACTGCTCATTCGTAAAACAAGCCTTAACATGTTGAATGTAAAATCACGTAACTAAGCAAGCTTTCTACAAAGCCCAATACGACTTTTGGGTGTCGTATGGAACTATACAAATGTTTTTGTAAGGAAATGGAGACAACTGTCAAATTACTAAGCCTATCACGTGCAAATTATTATTTGCACAATACCAGACACAATGAGATTATCAGCACTGGCAATGCGACCTTGTGACGACGAGTCCAACTTTCACCATTAGACTATCATTACAACAATAGGCTTTGTGCCACTTGGCTACCGGCCATAATGAAATTGCCAACAAGAATGTAATAATAAAAATGTAGTGATGAATCTACATTCTTTAAGCACACACATAGTGAAACGTGATTTTTTCTGACACACTGCCACAAGCTACCATTGAAGGCAGTCATTTATGCCTCAAATGTCCAATAAGCCGAGACATGTAGTGGACAAGCAAAACACAAAGGAAAATGACTGCTATTGCAGAATTGGTCAATTGGTATGTGGTATAATTCATCCAACATCTCTCTTGCTTGCCCACAATTTTCCATGTAAGTTGATTATGAGTCAAGCTCCGTGCAACTTGGACTAACCCTAAAGCCACACTTTGAAAGGCTTTTTCACAACATTAACCAGCAAAAAAGAAAGAGCACACTGCATAACCGTTTTCATGCGACTCCCTCTGCTGTCGACTATGTACAAGAAAGACAATGAGGACGTACAGTCGGCTATATAAGTTTACAGGACATGACTCTCGACAAACCTCAAGCATTCCGCGAAGGAGCGACACACAGTCTCGAATACTAGTGTTATTTTGCACTTTACGCAACCAAATAGAACCACACCTCCTCAATGGAGCGAAACCATTTGTTGCAGAGCCAGTGTTCTGCAAACTTTCTTGACCAACTGTATTTCCCGCAAGAGAGAATATCTCATTTTGTAAGGAACGACACACAAACATGCAATAGCACTGATTCGATGTTAAGTCTAGCATCAGTTATTTGTGCTCTGCGTGCCAAACATCGTAAGATGTCGTCACACTGCGATAGCCAGCTTTACTAGTCACCGATATTGGCATCTTAATAACAGAAGTACACCTTGCATTTATGCACATATATGCACTGGTGCATATAAATCTTATCTCCACTTTTTTCCTTCTTTTCCAAGATACATGTACCTTGCAAAATCTCACTGCCATGAATTTCCCCGAATGTGACATTTCTGAAGCTGACTGCGTAAAGCTGCCCTAAACCTTCCGCTATCGTCACTTACTGCATCGAACACAAAATGGTGAACCCAAATGTAGTTCCGACTTGTTTTGCCAGTGAGGACGACAGGTCGATTAGATGCAAAAGTAAAGCTCAGACTGAAAATACGTTTCGATCAGAGTACCTAAGCCTCCCCAACTATCATTTTCATGTACTTTTTGCCTCCATGCTTCACATATTCAGGTTCTTCGTGAAAAGGCTATCTGCCACTCGTCAGCTGGCCACCCTGGCTATGCACAAACCCATCTTCACAGCAGGCAGACAACACAAAATACAATTCAACACTTCTTAAATTCTGGTCTTAGCAGGGACTTCATAGCACCAATACAAGCTGTGGAGTTCAGTTGAGATTGAAAAGCTTACTCGGTTGTGTAATGCGAGAAATGGAAACTGGCTAGACACTGATATGCAATAGACATCTACTACATTTATTACGAATGGCCTGTCGGTATTTGAAGCGAAGCAAGGGCAACAAGCTTAATTGTAAGCGACACTGACTGCCGGTGCTTCTTTGAGTAGGAATGTCGTCATTCCTCATGGCGAAAATGCCCCAGCAAGAGGCTCATTTCTATGTTCTACGGAGGCAGCTCAGCCATACCTAGAAAAAAAGTATCTGGGGCAACCGTAAAAGTGAACACAAAGGTAAGTTCTTCTTTAAATACAATCCCCACGCTTTAGGTGCAGAAGAAAGTACAAGATCGGGGCAACATTGTACATAGTTTATGGCGAACTAACCGAAATATGACGGAAACCGCCAATTCCTTAAACTCCATGTTTTACACTGCTCTTCGTGAAATTAAGTACACTCTGTAGCGACTCGAAATGTGGTCTAGCCTGGGCATGTCAACAGGAAACCGTTGCTCCACTAGTGCCAAGTCTGACTTTTCCAAGTTTAGTACATGAATTTTTACCTGTACTCCTGAAATAAAAAGAGCGTGCCAAATCACATTGTAGTGTCGTAAATACAATAACTACCATTGCCATACATGTACAGCAGAAGTTCACATTACTGCCATGAGATATGCAACGAGAAACCTTTTACCCACCCGGTCATAAGTGACACGCAACATAAACGTAACACAGTTATTCAACAAGGCGCATTTATTGTCACTTGCTTTGTCCTCACCACTTTAAATAATGTAACACCTCTTATTAGCATTGGCATCATGGATTCAGTGAAGGTTGCAGAAAATAGAAAAAAGCTTAACAATGCAAACAGGTAAATAATAAACTGACTAAAATATTACTAATACCCAGGTATGCAATGATCTATTTGTCAAATAAACCTTTTTAACAGCATCAATAAAGCTGCCAAACAAAATCGAGCCCGGTACCATTTGCAGCTTTTAATAAACATGCTTATCAAACAACCCCGATATTGTAGTGATGTGGTAATGATTCACCTATAACAGCAATTCAGTCAAATAAAATAACGTATTGAAAACACCTTCGCAGATCTGTAAGTGTAATGTCAAAAATTTCAACATAGCGAAACGTGTATGGTTCAAGTTTACTGCCCTGAGTGTCAAAATCTGTCATAATGTGGGCGAGAATAAGTTATATCAGCGTGCAAAACACTGCCAACACATAGTTGCCATAACTCCTGGCCGTAGAGGAGATCCACAGTTTCCAAAAAAGGAATAGGAGCCAGATCTCTCAAACATCGTAATTTAGGACAAGTGGCAGCATCCAGCTTGCCAAGCACACAAACTTAGTCATTCTGTCAGATGAGTGGTACAACCGAACCAACAGACATCTCTGCGTGTGCTGTGATAGATGTCACAATCAAGGCGATGCAGCTGACCAGATGCATTAGTGCCATGAACATGAGTCAATTGACCCTAGTCAGTAGCATCACATTGACTATGTTAAACTGACCAAAGTCAGTATGTCACATTGACTATGAGTCAACTGACCTGAGTCAGTAACAGTCACATTGACCAGGAATCAAGTGACCAGAGTCAGTAGTGTCACATTGACCATGAGTCGATTGACCTCAGTGCGTCACATTGATCATGAGTCAACTGACCCGAGACAGTAGTGTCACATTGACCACGAGCCACCTGACCTGAGTCAGCAGCATCACACTGACCATGAGTCAACTGACCTGAGTCAGTAGCATCACATTGACCAATAGTCAATTGTCCTGAGTCAGTAGCATCACACTAACCATGAGTCATGACCCGAGAGAGAGTCGCATCAAGTGAACGAAACGAGCAAGTTTTATTGGGTATCTGGAACACCACAGTTTTTAACAAGTGGCGACGCACAAGTCACAGCAACACACAGATGACTGTTACGGCTAGGCTGGCACAAGAGGCTTCACAGATGCCACAACACAAGTTGATGAATGATCTGGCACGACTGGACTCTGCAGAACTCGTTCACCGCCAAGTTCTGCTGTGCATGTGCACTCTGTCATACAATATTTATGCACTATCTGAAAAGTGGATCGACGAAGGGTTTATAACAACAGCTCACACCTGAGCTGCAAAACAAGAGAAAACATTCATTGTTTCAAACTTCTTAGTTTTATCTTTTACAAAGTGCCAATGGCAACAAAAAGTACCACCTCTCCATTTTTTCCCTTACGCTTGTGAATGCAGTTCTCAGCCTCTTATGCTTTCATCACTTTTAGCTTGCGACGAAAAAAACAAACAAACCCTCCGTCATTGCACTCATGAAAAGCACGAGAAGGAACAGTTCAGGCCACTATTTCCTCGCTTGTTCAGCTTTCGAACTCAAATGACTTAACGGAAGTGAAAAAAAAAAAAGCTGCTGAGACAGCAGGGACAGATGGAACAGACAGAAAGACTTGTCTAGGGACATCACATCTGCTTATTTCTCTCTCTTTTTTTGTCCTTATGTTTGACCCAACCCCGTCACGAAATCTTCTTTAACGTAGGTCGGGCGTCTCCTGCAAAGTCTTCTTGATACGGAGGAGAATGACTGTGTACCACTGGTCGAGCCGAGAGATGGAGTCGTACTCCTTCACAGTGTCCGTGAAGCCCTCGACATCCTGGTCTTCCAACTTGGTGATCAGGGCCTACAAAGTATTTGTTTACAGGACTGAACATATAAAAACAACAGGTTTTTTTTTTTTCAGCACTGTTGATTTTCTACACAGTAAGTATGCAAATACTGTTGTTGCGATCGGCACATCACTATTTTCGATATAATATGTGGGGTTTTACATTCCAAAAACACGAATTATGAGATGCCGTAGTGGAGGGCTCCGGAAGTTTTGACCACCTGGTGTTCTTTACCGTGCACTGGTTTCGCATGGTACACAGCTCTCTATCATTTCGGCTATGTCGACATGCGACCGTCGCGGCTGCGATCGAACCCGCAACTTTTGGGGCAGTAGTCGAGTATCCTAGCCACTTATTCACCAAGGTGACCGACCGCTATCTTGATATAAAAGACCTGCATCAGCCACTCTGATAATATCATTATGTTCCACATTAATAATGTTATCACTTTACTGTATGCACTGCACAACTCATGCAGCTAAAATGTCCTCAGAAAATGGTACATTTAATGCAGAATCGAACTACCACAGGGTAAATGATTATGGTGTTACTGTCATAGCTAAAATAAGAGTGCCCCGATGTGGCTGTGTTGGTGATTATGGTGAAGAGCTTTGAATTTATAACAACTATTTCATATTCTTTGATGTACCCATAACCACAAGTAAATTACAAATCACAAGCTCGCAGAAGTTCTAAGGTGACGTGGGGGTGCATTTCAACCTACAACACTTGTATCAGTCACCGCAATCATTGCATTTTACCATACACATCGAGTAACATGCACAGTTGAAATGCATGAAATCATGGTGCATTTAACACAGCATCTTAATACCATCACGTAAATGGCACAGTATAGGTATCACTACTAAAATTTCCTGATGTGATTGATTGATTGATTTGTGGGGTTTAACGTCCCAAAACCACCATTTGATTATGAGAGACGCCGTAGTGGAGGGCTCCGGAAATTTTCACCACCTGGGGTTCTTTAACGTGCACCCAAATCTGAGTACACGGGCCTACAACATATCCGCCTCCATCGGAAATGCAGCCGCCACAGCCAGGATTTGATCCCGCGACCTGCGGGTCAGCAGCCGAGTACCTTAGCCACTAGACCACCGTGGCGGGGAAAAAATTTCCTGATGTGGCCTATGTGAGTGACTGTGGTGTTGAGCTTTGGATTTATCTGAACAATTTTGGACTTTTTTTAATATGCCCTTAATCACACCTGGATTACCAATTATAGGTCATCAAAGGAGCACGTAAGGTGACTTATGGGGACATGCTTTGGCACAATATTCTTTTTAAATAGTTTATTAGGTGCGTTAGAAGAAATTGAGGTGGCCGTGACCACACCTTCAGAAGGCAAGCTTTATCGCCAACAGACGGGTCGTTTAGTTTTATGTGTGTGTGTGTGTGTGTGTGTGTGTACACACACACACACACACACACACACACACACACTAGTAATAAGATGCTAAAATGTACCCTGAACAATCAAAATGTCTCTCCCATGAGTATTTGTCATGTACACGTTTTTCTAAATGTGTTAACAATGTGGCAAGCAAAACTGAAAATCAGCGGCAAGCTGCCGTACTACTTGCGGAGCAACACGAATGTGCGGAAGCCCCGCTTCCTCAGCCATCCTTCCATGTGACGATGAGTTGTCGCCCAATATCGCAACGGTGGCGCACAACGAAAGCTGCCAAGCTATTGGCCGCAAATGGCCGCTTTGGTCGTAATGCAGCTGCTTTGGCGGAGTGCTCGCTGCTTCGATTTTTCAGTCCCACGACTGCAGTTGCTAAACTCTGAGCCAATCACACGGGCAGGAACAGGATGTCAGCTTGTTTTATAAAGCAATGGCAATGTGGGCTGTATATGAGCAGATGTGAATTCTTTGTGGCGATGCATATAGGTGGCACGCAGATGTGAACATCGGTGGCTTTGAGCTGTTTTTACAGTGAAAGCTGTTATGAGATCAAAACATGGGTCACGTTGAAGACGTAGTTGCTCACCTGCCACAGCCCCCAGTGTTTGTAACCACTACCACACGAAATTAAAAAAAAAAAAAGCCAGTAAATAAAAAACAAGAACACAATGAGATTCCAACCCGGATCCACATTGTGCCAGCCCAGTACATTGTACTGCTGAGCCATGCTGCTGCTTGGAACTCCTTTGCAAACTAGCCTTACGCAGGCTTGATGTCAGGAAAGGAATCACGTTATTATGAGTAATAAAGCGTTTTAGAACAGCAAAGGAACAACCAGGTGTCACATAATCTGATTTGCATGAGTGGGTCGTCGAATGCTCTAACCCTTAACAAAAGCTTAATGCTCAGCTATTTATTATGGTGCATACCCACTGTGGGGGATTAAAGGGATTACAAAAGCTTATGGCATAACTCTACATCGTTGTCAGACACAGCACGCACCAAACGAAATTCATCAAGTTTCCTGCTAGTGCGCAGCGAGTACCCGCTTCTCCAAAGAATGACGATGGATGGCATAGTGACTGCCTGCCTACTACACAATGATTAATGGCGTAGTGGACACCCTGCTAGTGTGCTTGCAGCGGCTACCCAAAGAGTGTTAAAAAAAGGGCTCTGAAAGGACTATGGTGTTAATGTGCATAGACGTTGCATTGTACACGGGCCTCTAGCAATGTCCCTCCATCAAAGCGCGATCGCCAAGGCCAGAATCGAAACCAGTCGCGCACCCTGACCACTACATCATAGTGGCAGAATCAACATCAATGTTGTCATAACTAAAATTAGAAAAACATTAAACAATACTTCTATTTCTGTTCAGAAGCATGCACTATGTGCAAAGTAATCCTGAAAGAGTGTGCCTACACAGTGCAACCCATAAAGTGCACTTTGTGCGGAATTTTTCGGTGTATCGTGACATTGCAGTACTGTGCAAAGGGGTCCGCGTATGTCAATGCCTAAGAAAAAATTACCTCTACTTTCAAACACTGGGAAATGATGCGCATTCTCACCTTGACTAGTTTGTATTCCCGGGAGTCAATGAACGAGGGGCACATCTCTTCATATTTGGCCAGTGCATGCTGTAAAGATGGTTCAGAAAAGAGACATTGAGCTGATCACACAGAGTGTGATGTACGGATGCTCCTATTCAACGGTAAGAGATGAAAAGCACGTGACAGCGATACGATAATGTTCTCAACAAATTGACAACATAATGATGACGTGGTGGTGACGAAAGCAACGCGACACTGACAGTGACAACGCGAGAGCGCCCAAGCAACACTAAAGTGACACAGCCACAAAAATGGCAGCGACTAGTTGATAGGGTCGCCAAAATTGACTGACCCAGTGGCAATGCCACATCCTGAAACTGTGTCACAAGAGTCCGAAACATTTTATTGTGGCCCTGACACACTTTTTCAGCATGGTAAGAAAACGCTGCGGGCCGGTAGTCGAGGCTCCCGAGAACAGACATGCGAAATATAGCGCAGCACACGGCCTGAAATTTACTACAATAGTTCCTCAATGTCGACTGAAAATCACTGCCTCCTCTCTCGACTAATGACGCTACAGGCTCAAAATTACTGCGTCCCAGGCCTAGTAGTATCGGCCATTGCCTAATTTGAGCTCAGTCGTAACTGGCCACCGGGGAAGGCCGGGACTTGTCCACGAGCCCGCGTGCGATTGTACTAAAAAACTGCTCATTAGAACAAAAAAAGAGAGAGAGGAGAGAAAGAAAGTGCTCAAGATCACAGGGCACCCGTGACATATTTTCATTTCCCGTGCAACATTTCCCTGCTTAGCTCTTGGCGCTTTCGTCGAGACAAGAAAAGAGAAAATACAATTGGATCGTGTGGTAAATTGTTGACACTCCACTCGTACGGGATAGATTCTGAAAATTTCTTTTGTGATGCATTCGTGAAGCAATAAGCTCCTTTCGTAAATCCATATTATGGCTACTATAAAAAGAATTGCAGAGACCCTTAACAGTATCAAAAAGTGACAGTGAAACCGTACTCACAAAAGTGACAGAGGCCACGTAATAGTCTCATAAAAGTGACAGTGGCATGACAATGTCACAGAAATGACAAGACATTACGAAAGCGTCACTAAAAAATGCAATACAAAAGCATCATCAAAAGTGATTGCGACACCAGCATAACATCATAATTGTGAATAATATGGCTGTCCTAAAAGACAGTTAGAAGCTAGCAAAATCACAATAGTGACAATGATTTTCTTAACAAAACAGAGACAGTGACAACAGTTCCAGAACAATGAAATCTTTACAGTCATCACAATCTCTATTGGTGTTTGCCAAGTGCTTGAGCTGCTAGCCTCATTTAAAAGAAACCCTGAAGGGGTTTCTTTAGGTTTTGTCAGGCTTTAGGCTAGGGCATCATCAAATCATTTCCACCACAAGTTTAGCGAGATGCTGTGTACCAAGGACACTACAGACAATTGTACCTGTGCCCTCCTTGTCACTGATGCCTTGCCTCCTCAACTCATGAGACATGCTAGCATCCCTGGCAATTGCAGCCCTCTCATAAGGGCACTTGACGATTTGAGCTTTGCCTAGTCATGACGTGCAAGATTGCACGCAATTGTGGAAGCTATGGTCCACTGTGCGTGGCAGCATGTACGCCGCCTGGCAACAAAGACGAAGATTGCAAAGTGGTTGATATCTGCTCCAACAGGTGCCGCCGCACAACCAGCCGGTATTATTTGATTCTCCTGTACAGTGACAATCTGCAAGGGCATGGGAACAAACGAAAAAAATTCGAGAGCGACGCCTGATAAGCGTGAACTCTGGCATCGTGGTCAGTGGTAGAGTTACAGCCGCAGACACATGGATTAAAGCGTTGACCGGACAGCGAGAGCGCGACGCTGAATGCAGCGACAAGCTAAAACGACAAGCTAAAACGATTGCAGCGACAAGCTAAAACGAGCGTAATGCTGTACGCCAGACGGCGTACAAGCATTACGCCAAGTCGCAGCTTTAGAAGTCATTGACTGCTAGATATGTGGTAGACAACACAATTGGCAAACTCATTGTTTCCAAGAAGAGATACCTCAAGATGGACACAGTTGCTCAGCTCACGTCAACACGGAGCACATTGTAACACAAGCAGATGATGCCCGTTGCCCTCGGTAGGTTCGGCGACATAGACCGAGGTTCACATGTCTAAATTCTTACAATAAATTCACAGTTGACACTTAGAATAGGTCTTTAAACGATCCTTAGGGCCCACTTTACCGGCTCAACGCGTTTAAACAAAATCGTCGAAACCGTTTCAGGGTCCCTTTCAGAGTAACAGAATGGGTTCTAAGAAAGGCAAGTAAGTAAAGGAGAAACGGCGAGTTGTGTGAGCAGACGAGACTACGAATTTCGCAGTGATAACACGGCCGCAGAAAGCACACAAACAGGTGAACCAGACACACACAGCAAAAACCTTCCCTTGCCCTTCAGTAGACAGCAGACCGGAAGTTGGTTTGACCCAATGTGCTTTCCCTGTACCCTCCGATTAAAACCAGCTTTCGGTCGTTGGTGGAATTTACGTGCTCACCTGTGCGTTGAGAACGTCGACACACAAGTGGCAGAGTGCAGCGCGGAACAAGTATTCCTTGGCGCTGTACTTGAGCAGCTGGTTGTCTAGCGACGATGCTGCCACCTGCACAATGGCGGTTCCTAATTCGTAAACGCCTCCAGAATCCTGTGCTGCGCGACGCTATTACTTTTTTATGCTCGCTACTGCCATTAGCAGCCAGCCATGGTGAAAAATTTCCGGGTCATACCTTCCGACCAATGGCAGACGGCTAATGGCGGCAAAAGGCATAAAAAAAAAAAGTAATAGAATCTCTCTGTGATAACAGCCTACCTACAATGACAACGCCACTAAGTGAACATGTCACACACCCAACAGCACTTATCTTTTACACCAGAAACAAGCATAATCATGCTATTATGACATTGCATTCTACCATAAAACATAGAATTCCTTACAACAAAGGCAGTGTTAACAGGGTCATGACAGCAGTATTAAACATCCTAGTTACAATGTTAGCTATTGTTCAATACTCATTTATTTCAAATACGACAAGCCGTGTTTCACAAACATACGAGCAAGGCCAGATGAGGCGATATATCTCATTCAGGCGTGAATTATAATGCACTGTCGATGAATGCATCAAACTCACATAACACAATTCCAAGACACTAGATATTACATTCCAAAACAGAAAATGAAGCATAATGTGTTGTTTCGTGGGAGTTTCAGCAATCAAGTGTAATTTCTATATTGAAATACTTCATCACTTTGCGGTCTGTCATATTTCCTTCTGACATTTAAAGAATGAAATCATAAGCTCCTGATGTGAGCACAATTAGTTTTTCTTAGCCCTATTTTGACGAAAAGTAATGTTTTTGAGACTGGGTCTGGAACGCGGCACGTCGAACGGCTCATCGAAAGGCTCATCGAACATCGTAGTGCCTTCAGCAAAGTTATCGGCTCCGGTCACACCCAGCAGACTAAGGTTAAGTTATGTCATATTGACTATGCAGAAGGTTCAATTTATCTAATGGACAATGTATTTTGTTATTTTTTGGACACAAGCTGACACAGCCCATATAAAAAGACTTCATAAACAAATATAACCATTGCCACTGAAGGGAATATTATTGTATAGGTTAGGGCTGTGTCGTTTGTAATGCTATGCTTATGTTCATGCCTGCATAGTATTTGCACTCCCTGCAGGTGTTTTTTTTTTTGAAGGGGGGAAAAGCTCACTATACATTTATTTGTTATCGATAGTAAACACTCACCCTAACTTTGAAATTAATGTCATAGTTACATATGTATCCCACTCCCTCAACAGCGTTATAGAGATGCCGTAGTGGAGGACTTCAGAAGTGTTAACTATCCGGTGTTCTTTAATGTGGACCAACCTCGTACAGCACATGGGCATCTAGCATTTTCACCTCTACTTAAATGCGACTGCCACGACAGGAATCAAACCCGCGACCTTCGAGTCAGCAACTGATCACCGTAACCACTTGACCAAAGAGGCGCACTGGCCTTACATATAGCACAAGCAGTAGGTCGGTATGTAAGAAGAAAGATAAAACCATGCAGAGAAGCGAAATGTCCCGACCACGAACAAAGGTTGCCAAAAGACAGTTTCATGATGTTGAACAGCGCAAGTGACAAGAGACATTCTAAAAAAAAAAAAAAAAACTTGTTATTTGTCATTTGTGCAGTTCAATCTGAAGATTCAGTAACCACTTGCACAAGTTTCCACTTCAAAAGACACTGCACAAATAGCAAGCCCCTTTTTTATACAGCAAAGCATTCAACAATTGTGAAAAGAAAAGGAACATCAATTCCTGTTCCCACCTGTTCATAAATGTCAACAGCCTTCTCGTACTGCTCCAGCTGAGCAGCATACCGAGCCACGTTCAGCATACACTTGTTCGCAGAGCTGCACAGACCAGAGTTCGTCATTACGACCAGCACAATCGCCAGAGTTGTTGTCATTATGGCCGTTAGCAATCAATTATTGTTACCAGCACACTACGATGATGATCGACCAACTTTTTGCTCAATTTAGGTCGAGCCATGTACTCTTAAAAAGTTGGGTGCGCAAACGTACCTTGTAGACTCCTCGCCCTTGAAATAGTCTGCTGCCTGCTCGAAGTGGGACATGGCCTACAACAGGAATGACAACGCAGCACGTCAGCAAATGGGACAAACAGTTTGGGACACAGCATCGACAATGAGTGGACAGAGTTTCAAGATTCTACAGAGCTAGGAAGTAAAGAATCACCCAACTCAAGCATCACAAGTTTTGTGAAGACGCTTGAAAGAAGCAGTAGCTTAATATATCTAGTCATTTTTGAAAATGTTTCTTGATTTAAACAAATTCATGTTGCTCAAACACGAATATATGGTAAAAGCATGACTACATTGTAAACCAAAAATATGCAGTAATACTTTTTGAAATAACCTTCGGGGTAGTCTTCTCTCTGTTCATTATGTCTGTCTCAGTGCATAAATTACATTACTTGCAGACTTTCCCAATGTATCATTCATTCTTGTATCATTCATTCTAATGCTTGGCCACACAATCCCAAACAACAGTGAAATTTGTTTAAATGATGAGCCTTAAAAAGTATATTTGCAGAAAAATTGTGAATAAGTCGAGAAAAAAAATGCAACTAGCGGCCGAAAATTCATCAAGCGACTAGGTCAACTAAGTGGCTAAAGGAACGGACCAGGCAGATGAACATGGGCTCACACAAGAGATTTGGTTTATTGACAAATCAATCATGCGACATGTAACACGTGTCGAAACACTTCAGTGGCTAGCATTCACTCAGTGATTGATTACGGCACACATGACCTAACACTACATCACTTCCCAAAGCATGGGCACTGGCCTGAAAACATTGTCATGTTGCTCACTTCGCTCTAGGTGAATAACTAACAGATTGAACTAAGCAACTGCTCTAAGATTTTCAATTTGAGTAAGTTGGGCTGACCTGAAGATGGCTGCTGAGAGGTAAAGGTGTTGCGTTTCGCCATGAGTGCCATATTTACTCAAATGTAACGAGAATGTTTTCCACGATTTCCTGACCTATTTCGGTGGCCTGTGTTGTAATCAAAATGCCTCGAAATTTACCTCGGCAGTGTTGCAACACAGGTTCCTTCGAATGGCTAAAACGATTCTCGCAATCTTTCAATCTTGCACCAGCAACATATACGTGCTGGAAACATCCAATCCCATGCAATCTCCACTCTTGTTGCGACGTGTGTGCGACTTGCTGGGCCATGTGCCTGGGTTTTGCGCGCTGCTATTGTGTGCCTCCGCGACTTTGGACGCCACATCGTACGGATTCCTGCACAATATGGTGGTTCACGCGTTTAGGAAGTACTTATATTCAATCACTGTGAGTGCACGGAAGAAGACCTCATCTGGCCAGAAGAAATCGAAAGAGGGCTCAACCACGGGCAACGATGGACGATGCAAGCTAGCGAAATTCAGGGTTGGCGAGTGCGGCGAGCGAGCGAAACTCATTTTATATTTAAAAACTGGCAGGTGTTGGCTGTATGCATTTCAAATATGGGTACTTTGTTTTGCCCTTCACTTCACTCATGTTATATTGACGCTCTTTTTTTTCTTTTGAACACAGTGAAATGTCACTCATCACATTACAATTACAATGGGGGTCGCACTACAATCGAGAAAATACGACACTTGATATTTATTTCTAAAAATAGCAACCGTGACTTGGCTTCCAGCAAGTTCGTTAACCAAGACTCAGGATCGAGTAAGCGCTACGCTGAAGCTGTACGGAAGTCATAAATTGAAACGTGACATAGTTTTCTTTTCTTAACGATTACTATAAGCAATTGCTCGGGATAACCACGTCATAGTGTACGAAATCTCGCTGCGCCGAGTAACCTAGGCTCCGACGTAAATGTCCGAGTCAAAATTACGCCGATGTGGCCTCAATTGCAGCGGCTGGCAAACGAAAGTACACTAAAACCTCATTATAACGAAGTCATACCTTGCATGAAAATAAGCTCGTTATATCCAGAACTTTGTTATAAATGTGTATTACTAACATTGTATATATAGCAAAATTATTCTACATTTACTTCGTTCAAACCGATATTTCGTTACATCTTGGTTCATGATATCAATGTTTTGGTGTACATTACACAGCCCTAGAACTTTTGTGCTTTGTTCCGTGATTACTGTAGATGCCTTAGCCACTAGAGTAACACACCAGACACGCCTGGGCCATCCCCGAGTGGTGTGCGAACTCCGGCCCGCATCTTCTGTTACTACTATGTGTCAGTTCGGTCGGACTTGCCTAAATGTGTCAAGATCAGCCCCGTTTCAGTGACAAAATAAAAATACTTTCAGCCACGCTTGGTAAACCTAAGCACCAACATTACACTGTCCTGAGTGTGTATATGTGCTCACCTATGCCATAGAACGAACAAAACGTCACATACCTTTTCGATGTCAACGATTTCAGACTCGTATATCTCTGCTATTGTCATGTGATGCTTTGCTGCTATGGTGAAGCGGCCCTGTGAGCAGAAGAGAGTCATCCTTTGGCATGAGAGCAGTCATGAGAGCAGTCATGAGAGCAGTTTAACATAACAAACACGAATCTAGCAAATTACTGAATACAACGATTAATTTAAAGGCAACAACAAATACTGAAGGCAACAATCAATTTCTTTTTATCTTTTCATGACAACCAAGCATCCGATGTCCCCCACAATGCCTCAGCATTTGTACGCCCATTTGCCACCGGATTTTCTCAACTTTAGGCCATAGTTACAGGTATGAAATGGCATTAATCAAAGCCACCACCACCTCAACGTTACAGACGGAGAAAATAAAGACTGTGAACAAATATATAAAAAATGAGCTTGTTTAAAATAAGATGAGGCATCAAAGTCGGGATTGTTTTAATGTCCTAGTGTTAACACTGGCCTAACAGTACGAGAGTTTAAATTGATAACGCACCACCCAAAATGTAACAAAAAGCACAATCTGATGTGCTAGCTGACTTGAGAGTGATCTTTATAACTGTTCACGAGGGCCAATAATTTTACATACAGGATGCAACAAAGCTTTCAAAACCGCGCTAAACCGGCCTAAAATCAAGAAAACTTTCTTTACTTGACCACCGCGTCCTTTACTGTCAGACCGGAACAGACAGAAAGCGGGAAAAAGGCTTAGTACCACAGAGCATGACAAACTTTAGGCTGCATTTTTTCGCCCTGAAAAATCACTTGTAATGCAAAAAATCTTACCATGTCTGTGTAGATTTCAATAGCCTTCAGGTGGCAGTTGACAGCCTCTGTACAAGAATAAGGGGAAGAAATATAATGGACCGTCACCATAACCATCAACATGAAAACGGCATCTCCAATGACTTCTTACAGTTCATGATCAACAGCACCCTAGATTCAGTGGGGCCCCTCATAACATTCATCTGCACATACCATAGGAGCAGCTTCAATGTCAATTGCAACTAAAGAACAAAGCATGGAGAAGGTACTATGTGTACATACAATATGCATACCTTCTGCGTTATTCGCACCGTCCTTTTATAGTGCCACTGTATTAGCACCACCGTGTCAAGCTTTTTTTCCCTTTTAATATTCATATTGTATAATGCCACAGTTCTGATTAGATGAGTAGGGTTATAATAATAATAACTGGGGTTTTTACGTGCCAAAGCCACAACATGATTATGCGCAACGCCGTAGTAGAAGGCTCCAGAAATTTCGACCACCTGATGTTCTTTAATGTGCACTGACATCACACAGTGCAAGAGCCTCTACCAAAATGCGACCGCCGCGGCCGAGATCGAACTCGCGACCGTCAGGTCACCAGCCGAGCACCTAAGCAGCTGATCCACCGTGGCAAACTACATGAATAGGGTTAGGATACTTCGCAAGATAGGTCTGCTATTATATGTTTTATCATTACCGGTATTGCATTTCCACTGCTCTGTGTGAATTAGTTAACAAGAAAGTTGAGTCATTATCATGCGGTGCATACTGTGGTGTTTGTATGTACCATGCATTCAATGAATAACAGACGCTCACTTTCATGTAGTGCCCCCGTTACACGATGCCTCATCTGAAGCCTGTAAGGTGTGCTCAAGTAAATCAAGAAATAAGCACGCTTCTTCCATTTATTCGCTTGGTTGTTTCAAAAGCCCAACAGTTGGGAGCCTGGTGAAACATTCTTCAATGTGCTGAAGAACATTCTTCAGTTCTTTTATTTTTTTTTTTGTCAGACAAAACTGAAATTTTCGGGGCAACACGGCAACAATGAAAAAAAGCTTCGTACCTTGTGGGTCCGACTTCTTGTAGCATGTGCCCGCATCAACAAAGCAGGTCGCAGCATCGTGTCGACTGCCATTCTTCAGGTGAAGGTTTGCGGCTTCGCAGAAAGCGCTCCCGGCCGCTGCGTTCATTCAGACGTGCCAATCAAGTATAATGATGTCTTAGTGCTTCATGCGCCAAAACCACAATATGCTTATACAAGAAACGTCATAACGAGGGACTCTGGACGAATTTCGGCCAGCTGGAGTTTAAAGGTGCACATATACTTTACGCATGTGAACATTCTATTCCTACATTTTTCCCATTTCATCTCTGCAGTAATGTAGCTGAGTGGCACAACATAAAATTGACGCCAATGTGCTCAGTGGTGCGAAACCACAGCTCCTGCCCTGGGAATTTGAACATTGTCACTCATGAAAATCAATATCAAATCTAACCACACTTCTGAAATCTTCATCTTTGCATTTAACTGAAATATTCTTGACACAATCTGCTGAAACATGCAAGCACATATATGCTGAAGTCACCAAAACTTTTCCTTATTCAGTGTGGGCCTGAGTAGCAAGATGCATTCAAATACCACTGCTACTTACGAAAATATTTTTACTAAACCTATAACAGATACAATGCTTCACTTTATTGTTTATGTTAAGGACAGGTGATAGCTGATGATTGATTGATTTGTGGGGTTTAACGTCCCAAAACCACCATATGATTATGAGACGCCGTAGTGGAGGGCTCCAGGAATTTTGACCACCTGGGGTTCTTTAACGTGCACCCAAATCTGAGTACATGGGCCTACAACATTTCCGCCTCCATCGGAAATGCAGCCGCCACAGTTGGGACTCGATCCTGTGACCCACGGGTCTGCAGCCGAGTACCTTAGCCACTAGACCACCGTGGCAGGGCGAGGTGATAGCTGATGATAACAACATGAAATGCTATGAACCTCAGTGTGAAATCAATCTTGATATGCCTGATGCTGGATATAGGACCAAACGAGAGTTGCCGTGTCTAAAATTTGGCATGACAGCTGCAATGGTAAGAACTAAAACTGTCGCACCAGAGCTGCTTGCTCAAGCCAGCATTATCTTTTATTCTACAAGAATGAAAAAAATTCTACAGAATTCGCTTATAATAATTCGTTCTCTAGCATAGCAGGCCACATGAAAATTGAACACAGTGATTATGAAAGACTCGCCATCAGTGGTGAAATTCACCAAAAAAAGAGCAGAATAGAACAAATAAATAGACCAATAAATAAATAAAAAAAGATGATATACTGGACATACCACTCCACTTTTTGGCCATCTTGAACATGTTGGCTGCGCGTGCGTACATTTCGCATGCTTCTTCCAGTTTAGATGAGCTCCTGCGCACGAGAAAATTGAAATAAGAGGAACCGCGAAAAAGAAGGCTGGCATGTTAAGGGCCAAAATATACAATCATTTCACTTTAGGGAAATTGGTAATGACGAGGATGTGCAGATTTTATCTGCGCACTGACCAGACCCAATTGCAAAATGCCACACAAGTTTTGGACAGTTGTCGTGATGACGTAGTGGTTGCATACAGCAAGAGCCGAAAAAATCGAATTCAGATACTTTTTCTCTTTCTTTCTTAACGAGCCAAAGCCACAATAGAGTTATAAAGGATGTTGTAGTTAGAGGCTCCAGATTAACTCTGGCCACATGTGGTCCCTACGAGCACGCTTAAATTCACAGTGTTTTAAAGCATTCTGCCTTCACTGAGATGTCGCCACCATGTCCGGTAATGAGGCCACATGATGTCGATGGCCCTGACTTGGATGGTGCCAATTTGACATACTGTACATTTGCCGCTATTCATACGATGAATTCATGGTTGGTATGGAGCCCTTGCGAGTCTTGTTAGAAAGATCGATTGGGATGGGTTTGTGTGCATGCATGCAAGTTTGCCGAACTGCATTTAACTACATTACAGTAAAATCTTGTTAATTAGGATTTCACAAGAGCAAAAAAAAAAAATGTCCAAATTAACAGACTACTGAATTATTGAAAGCATCAAAAAACAATTAGCAAATGCCCGTGCCATCAATGCGCCTTCATCTCCTTGGGGAACACGTAAACCGAGTTTTTGCATGACAGCCGAGCAAAAGCTACAATTTTTGTCACCTGCGACTACATTCACAATGTGAACGCAACTCAGGACCCCATGTCTTGTCTTAAACCAAAACAGGCTCTGCATACTAACATGATTTTGGGTGGCGACCCTATCTTTCTGCAGGCACTGGACAATTTCGGCTGCCCGTGAATGCTGTTTTTGCTGCTTCAAGTCTGATTTACGTGGTACCTGGCGCGCTTCAAGGATCATCCGAATTAACCGGATTCAGCAAATATGGCTCAACTAACGACATTTTGATGCCACTGAACAATGTATATGCTGGCCAGGACCAGATGCAAATTGAGTGTCAAATTAACATGTTTTTATTATACTAGACTGATGAACTTAACAGGCAGTGTCACTTCTAAAGATCTTCTAAGGAAGTGTCACTATCGGCTCCTTCGTGTCCTCTTTCAATCGCATCAGGCTTTTCACGGTAAAATTGGCTTTATCGGTCATGTAGAGGGATAATCTGTCCTATAGTGCCAAAGTTATTCGTTCTATTTGGAGCCACGTCAAATGCTGACAAGAGTAATAAGCTTGACAATCCAAATGCAGCGCCTACAAGCGTGACGTAACAGAGCCATTGTGTGTCTGCAGCTGGCCCGACACCTGTCATTCCCCCCCTCCCTCCCCACACTTTTTTTTTACGTTCTTTTAGTAGTTCAATGAGATGAAAGATACACTATGATGAATAAACACTCATCCCGATGCATGTGGCTAAAATCAACGGTCTAGCATCATGAAAATAAACTTGATTTACGTCATCTGTGCTAGATATATCAATCTTCTCACACCCACTGGATTAACCTGAAGAGAAACCGCTACTTGCAAAGCAGGTGATGCAGTGATGCTAGCTAATTAGGTAGCTTTCGTTAATTGACTGCTTTCATAATGTTCAAGCACATGCCCGAACTGTGGGAGTGAAGTAATGACCACATGGAAGAAGCCCTTAGTCCGGCATCAGTTTCAAGAAGTAAGAGGCCTCCGAACCCGCCACAAAATGTGCTGCTGTTCATTTAGCAGCACATAACTTATTAGATTGGCAAGAGGTTGCACAAACATCCACAGCACAACCATAGCAGTAACAGAATAGGAAGGAATCAAACAACATGACACACACATACACATCTAGTGTAGTATTACAACATCATAGAAAACGTATAGACACTTGCCTCCCCCCCACACACAAATACGTACGCAAATGCACATAAATATATCCGAACATACATCCCTTATAATAAGAATGATGATTATGCCAAGTCTTATCCGATCATGTAACTCTTTCCTTTGCTTTGTCAGATGCTTGCGGCACCTTTCAGTGCACCGTGCCTGCAGCTGTCAATGTAGGAACGTTTCGCAAGCACAGATAGGCCAGGTTATCTCGTTTTCCCGCTATGCACACAGGCGCTAGATTTCCCACGTTAGCAATCGTATGATCATGCACTATGCACAAATAAAATGCCCTAAAACAGGTCTTTTCTTTGCATTTGTACCCATAAAGTCAACATCACTGTTGGATTTTTAACACGAGAGCGTTAAAGAGCTCGTTTTGCAGCAATTCTGGTGTCGGCGTCATTATTTGTCAGCAAAAAATCATCATTTTATGAGTGCCCGCAAAATCGAGGACAATGCAAATATAATTAATAAAGGATAGAAAAAGAACCCTGGAGCAGAGTGAGGACCGAACCAGGGTTAGTCGGAGTTCGAGTGGGTATCGAACTCTGGTCGTTTGCGTGGCGAAGAGGATGTTCTACTACACAGCCACGCCTCTGCTTGTAAAAACAGTGGAAAGAACTTCCTCTGCTTGAAAATGCAGTGAAAGTAGATTTCATGCTTCACAAACACATGCGTCCTATATACATACTTCACAATGCAACATGAAATATTGACTGTATTAATGCGTGGTCAAGTGTCTATTGCCAACAGGCATCAGAATATGAGAGTATTATAATGGCTCCGTGGTTGAAAACCAGAACCCCACCACAAATGGCACACACGCCACCTGCCTATTCCCTTAAGGCCAGCAGTGGGTGCATAGCAAATTCGAACAGGTTTCATGCAATAAGTGTTTCAAGTACACACTACAAACAGGATGACTGAGCGAAGCAGTGGGATCGTTCTGTGTTAGGGTAAATCACCCACGACATTCCCTACCCACGCAGGTTAATGAGTGCCAAGGGATGCACAGTTATATACAATGTTTATTGGTCCCAAATGGTATGTTGTGTGGAGTTGTGAACTTCATTTTGCCTTCATAATTACTGCTTCGAAGTATCGGATGTAGCCTGAAGTTGGCAAAGATAACATCTGGCCACATTTCCTTGATGGTTGTTGGTTATTTCCAGTAATAGGAAATGCATAGAAGAACATATTGAGACGTTTTTTACTGCAAAAGCCGGTAGTCCACGTCGTCATCATTTTCATCCTCATCGTCATGGCAGAAAGAGAATGTTTGGTCTGGAACGTGCTTGTTCATTGTCATGATGTATAGTGGGTACCTTGCATGTGCTGTGATGGCAGATAGAGAATGTGTGGTCTGGAGCGTGCTAGTTCATCTTCATGATGAATAGTGGGTACCTTGAATGTGCTGTGCCGTGATGGCAGAAAGAGAATGTGTGGTCTGGAACACTTTTGTCCATTGTCATGATGCATAGTAGGTTCCTTGCATGTACTGTGCTGCGATGGCAGAAAGAAAATGTGTGGTCTGGAACTTGTTCTTTATCGTCATAAGTATAGTGAGTACTTTGCATGGGCTGTGCTGTGATGGCAAAAAAAGAATGTGAAGTCTAAAACTTGTTCTTTATCGTCATAAGTATAGTGAGTACCTTGCATGGGCTGTGATGGCAAAAAGAGAATGTGTGGTCTGGAATGTGCTTGTTCATGATCATGATGTATAGTGGGTACCTTGCATGTGCTGTGCCATGATAGCAAAAGAGAATGTGTGGTCTGGTACGTGCTTCTTTGTCATGATGTATAGTGGGTACCTTGCATGTGCAGTGCAGTGAGGACAAAAGAGAATGTGTGGTCTGGAAAGTGCTTGTTAGTGGTCATGAAGTATAGTGGATACCTTGCATGTGCTGTGATCGCAGGAGGAGAGTGTGTGGTCATGAGGTATAGTGGGTACCTTGCACGTAATGTGATGTCATGGCAGAAAGAGAATGTGTGGTCTGGTAAGTGCGTGTTCATTGTCATGATATATAGCGGGCACCTTGCATGTGAAGTGATGGCAAAAAGAGAATGTGGGGTCAGGAATGCACTTGTTCTTGATCGTTATGAGGTATAGTGGGCACCTTGCATGTACTGAGTCGTGATGGCAAAACGAAAATGTTTGGTTAGGAACGTGCTTGTTTGTAATAGTCATGAGGTATAGTGGGCACTTTGCATGTACTGTGCTAGCAAAAAGAGAATGTATGGTCTAGAACATGCTTATTCATGGTCATGATGTATAGTGGGTACCTTGAATGTACCGTGCCGTGGTGAAAGATAGAGAATAAGTGGTCAGGAACGCACTTGTTCTTCATTGTCATGATGTATAGTGGGTACCTTGCATGTACTGTGCTATGATGACAGAAAAATATTGTGTGGTCAGGAATGTTTGAAACGATTCCACTCCAGAAAAGCAGCAGTCACTTAGCAGAAATTTCAAAGCGAAAGTTTGGAGATTCTTACTCATGCATGAGAATTTGCAGTCATGTAATAAAAGTGCCTCGCTTATTGGTAGCAAAGAGTTCAGACTCTGACTGTGGGCAAAGCGAAATCTCATCAGATGTGCATCCTGTCAAACTGACATAGGCTCTTAATGACAACTATAATGTTGCACATTTGGTCAGACACTGTGCTTTGCTTCAATACTGTCACTTCTACTCCAGACGAGACATAACTGTATGTATTTCAGTAAATATCACCTTTTGTGTTTTCTAATTTAAAGGAGGAAAGTTTAAGCGGAAGGACAGGGAGGGTAGCCAGTTCTTAGACCGGCTGGCTACCCTCTAATTTAAGAGATTTATTCATTCAAGATGGCTTTTTGTGAACATTGCTGAATGTATCAAATATAAGCGACAACTTCATAAAATTAAAATTTCATGTGCAGAACTTTTTGGTCCTTGCTTAAAAATTCAGAAACATTCTATACGGGACTTGTAGTCGGAAAGTTGTTTACTATTTCCGTTCCTACAGTGCAATCAGGAAATTACAGACTGATTAAACTATCCAAGCAGTTGACTGACAAGCTGTTTCAAAGTAAGACACATTGTAATCTGCGTATACCTTAAACGATAATTTTATCACATACCAGCAACAAATTCAGGCTCACAAGTACTATGAAAATGATGCTTAGTAAGCTTGTTTATTAATTACACTTAGAAGTGAGCACTCCCATCGTAAATTTTACTGTGCATACATCTCCCAAAACAGTCTCGGGATGTGTGAAGTGCGGTTTACTATGTTTTGCCATTGATAGCTATCTTATCTCTTCCTGGTAATACTTGTATTTCCCGCTTGCTCTGTAAAACAGAAAGGCGTGCCGCCTACAGAACAAGTTCATCTGTACGTCTCAGTTTCCTGCCAATTATTTTTGTTATTTTTTGGTCTCCTGAATCATGGAAACACACACACAAATACAAAAGATGCAGCAATATTATGCCAGCAGGCACCAACAGCTGATCTACTGCCACACAACAGCTCAGACTGCTCATCTTTTTTATATTATTCCTGCAAAATATCGGCACAACTGGGCTTCTTGATTGACAGATAAGATCATAGCACGACCATAAGTACGCTCGATAATAGGCTATCAATAGACAAAACGCGACACACTGTTCAAATAACAAAGTATACGAGCCATCACACCAAACTTAAGGATAGCATACAGTAAAACATCCTTTGTTTTTATTTCGATAGGTTTGGCTTTGCCTTCTCTGACGACAAAGAGGTTTATAGAGGTGGCAGTTTTGAAACGACGGACAATAACCAACCTCGTTTTTGACAAAAATGTACGGTCAGCGATTCGATCGATAGAACACCCTTTACTTCGGAGGCACTGCCTTTCGTCTCGGATGGCAGTTAAACAAGCGAAGGATATTTATCTGCCAGCAAACAGTCCTTTGTGTGATAGCACGAAGAACGCACCTCGATAAATTATTCGATTGTGCGTACCTATTGGCGACGACTCAAATGAAAAAAAAAAAAAGGGGGGGGCGGAACTTCAGAGAATGTGGAATAACGCTACGTAGGCGCATTCGCGGTATTTTATTCCCCCCCCCCCCCAAAAAAAAGGGGGGGCATAACGCGGACAAGTTGAATGGATTATGACACGCGGAGCTGATGATAGGCGACGACTTAAAATCGTGATGCTTTGGACTTCTCCCAGGCTACTCGGGCAGGACAAGTCACTGCACGATGAGGTCAATCATCCTCCATACCTCACCGTGTAGTGCAGAAACCGGACGATGAACGAATAACTCGGCGCCAAACGTTCGGACACCGTTGCAACGTCACAAAGCGCGCATTTCGGGGGTCACAGACGGTCCACAACAACGGTTACCCAACTCGCAAGACGAACACTGCACCTTGAAAGTGCGAGTCGACGACGGTTTTAGCAGGCTTGCGAATTATTCGAGTTGAAATTGAGATGTAATCATGTCAACGATTCCACCGCCTTTATTAAACCGGCGCACTTATGATATTCATTGATATAAGCGGTGGGAAGTCGTAGGCGCTGTGCAAAGCGAACGACCCAAACCGAAAGAATGCGGATGCCTTGTCAGTGATTGCTGCGGACTTGACGCAACACCGCCGCAAGAAACTGCTGCAAGCCGGGGCTACGATTTGAAGGGGCTTAGACACCGTTAAAAAGAAAGTGATGTAGTCCATATTGTGTAATTACAGGCACCGAAATGGGCCCATAAGTTGTGCGAGGTTTCGGGCGATCACACCACTGCGGTAAACAGCCACCGACGTAGACAGGAAAACTCCGCACCGCCTTGTAGTACAAGCGATGCGGTTGCACGCCTGGCCGTAAACACAACAAACCCTGCACGACACATAGCATCTGACCTGACAGCTAACCCTCGCTAATGTTGTGGCAGACCTCTCCTGCTGCAAACTCACCCGAATAACGATCCGAGAAACCCATGAGCCGACTTGATTTTCTTCTCGGCATCGGCCACGAGCTGCATCGCTTTTTGCTCGTTGTCCGCCATCGTATTCTGGGGGCGCACTTCTGTCGTGGAAAGCTTTAGACGAGCACTAGGAGGCTTGAAACACGCACCACCGGCTAGAAGCGAAGTTTGCGTTTGCGGAGGCTCTTCGGTTTTGTTTTGTTTTATCACACGGGTCTTTGCAGCATAGCCAGCAGACCTACCGTGTGTGTATCGACTTGACTCAGCGCTCCCGTACGTGTGCTGTGTGCGCGCTTCCGCCGGAAGTCGTCGGAATCACGTGTTCTGTGCGTCAAAGGATTACAGCCGTCGATTTTGCAGCAATAAAAAAAAAGTACTTATGTTCTCAGCGTTGTGCGAGCGCGCGACATTTGGCGCGTCATTTACCAAAGTTTTTTTTAGCACACAATTGCGAAAATTTAAGAGAGATCTTAGTAACCACGCGTTTTGGATGAAACGCGCGCGCGGGACGCTTCGTTAGGTTTCGTATCCGGCCAGGGGGCTTCCCCTTCTCTCTAACATTAATCGCTTGGTGGCTGAAAATTTTTTTCTTCGTTAAGTCCCTCTTCGCTGAGACTCGTGAATCCGAAAGAGGCAAGTGCTTTCTCGTTTTCGTTTCCCACGCCGTCGCTACGCTTGAATCTCAACGGCGTGAAGCCGTCGGCGGTGTTTTAGCATCGCATAGGTGCTCAGACATTCGAGAGCTTCCCCTCACCCCCGCCGCTTGTGTTTCCGAGTCCCCCCTCCCCGTTCCCCCCCTCTTCGTACTACCAGCGAGAGCGCTCCAAAAGGGATAAGCAACAACTCACGAAGAGAAAGAGACGTCGCCAAGGGGAAAGGCGAAAGAAAAGATGATTTATTCGCATCCTCGCTTGGTGTTCCTCGACCGTTCCCAGTCACCGATCGGCGCAAAGCCGGTCGCGATCACGGAACATCGTAGCGCGAACCGACGCCACCGAAGGCCCTAAATCTCCGAAGCCTGTGCCCCTTCCAACAGCAGGTCGCGATGTGCGCCCCTTGGCGTCGCGTACCTACGAGCGGGAAGGCGCCCGAGACGTCAAGTTTGCGGCCCTGTTGAAGCGAGAGATCATCCGCGTGACAAGTCCTCGAAGCTCGTCCAAAGATAAGAGAAGGTTCGTTCCCAGCGACGAGCCCGCGGTGTTCCCCAATGGCCCACAGGCCAGAGGCGGCGCGATCCGCAAAATGACGTTCAAAGTGGGCGACTACGGCTGGGTCTGGGACGGCATCCAGTGGACCTCTTGGCGATCTTTCAACCCCGACCGGGAACACCAGCAAAAGAAGCCGCTTCTGGGTTTCACTCTCTTCATTTGGATCAAGCGGCTGAAACTAGACGAGGCCGAACTCCTGCGCAACATACAAGTGCTCGGCGGTCGCGTGTCCGAGTTTCTGGACGAAGCGGTCAGTTTCGTGGTCACCGACCAGGACCCGACCAAGGTAACCGCGGCGCCCAAAGCTTGCGAAGAGAAAGCGCCGCGATCGCGCGGACAGTTGATACTGAGCCGCGCGCAAAAGGAAGGAGGAGCCGCGGAGGACTGCGTCATTGACAGAGTGCGAGAGGCGCGCATCCGATTGTGGAACATCAGCCAGTTCTTGCGCTGGGTCGAGGTGCAGCTCAACATCCAACCCGCCGCTTCGCCAGACACACCAGCGGCGGCGACGTCCCGCAAGCGCAAAGCGTCCCGCCTGCCGCGACCGCTCGTGAAGGTCGAAGACTTCGAGCAGGAGTTCAAGCCGGTGTACAAGGTCTTCAAGTCCGACACTTCGCTCTACATCAACTCCCTCTACCCGTCCAGTCCGTTCGACGACCCTGCCATTCAGGAGCGCTACGTGCAGCTCAAGAAGTCCTGGGTGTGGAGTGCTCACCCCCTCCGGCGACTCGGACTGCGCCGACAAGGAGACCAGCATCACTGCGACAGCTATCAAGCCGTCGCAACAACAGGGAGCAGCCGCCAACGCCACGACAGCAGCGCCACCACAGCCAAAGCATCAGTACTGCGAATGCTGCAATGCCTACTTCTACAGCCTCCAGCAGCACATAGGCCCCGACGGTGCGCACCACCGAGAGTTTGCGCTGCGTGACGACAACTTCGAGTGTGTTAAGGAGCTCATTGACTGTTTCCCTAACCTGGACGACTTTGTGGGCAACGTGGACCATGGCCTAGATAAGACACTTGGAGACATGCATCCCTCGGCATACCACTTTGCTATGCTCAACGCAGCTGGCACGCAGGCGTCGGCTGCCGCGTATCACAGGCCACCACCCATGCCGTTTCCGACAAGGCCTGCCTTTGACCCGGGTCAGGTGATGGTGAAGCAGGAACCTCAGGAAGACTCACCCCCCAGCACCATGCACCATTCGGGACTGCTCTCCGGCGTGGGCGAGGCCGGTGCAGCCGTTCCCCTGGACTTCTCGCGGACAAGTCAACTGTCCGAGATCTGCGGCCAGAGCTTCCCGAGAGAGTACGTCCACCATCACGGCCCGCCGCCGCCACTCATTCCGCACCCTCCGTACCTTCCGGACAAGACTGAGGAGCAACAGTCGTGCTGGATGGGAGGAGGCAGTGCCAAGATGGATCCGACCGAAAGTGGAGCTGCAGCCACAACGGCAGCCATGCCTCCTCCGCCGCTGCACCTGTCGCACCACTCGCAGGGTGTGCCACCGGCGTCCAGTTCACACCACCTGCCGCTCGAAAACCTCAGCTTCCTCGACCCTCCACAGCAGGATGCGATGTTCACGAGCGAGCTTCCGCAGCCGGACTTCTCGTTTGGCCTGCAGAACCTCCTGCACAGCATCTGCGACGAGACCGAGGACGAGAACAGTCAAAGGAGGAGCGGCGCCTTGCGGGGCATCGATGGCCACAAGGAGAACCTCGAAAAGGCTGTAGAGGGTGCTACCACTGCAGCGTCCTTAATACCGCAGCCTCAACAGCCACAGCAGCCATATTCTATGTGGTCCTTCTCAGACCCTGCAATAATGGCCGCCGACAATGCAAGGTGTCAGCAGCAGCCGTCCATGGAAAACTCGTCTTCGTCGCCGCTCGAGCTGACAGCGCATACACCCTCTGAGGCACCACCGTCATCTGCATCCTCGAAGCAGACGGCGGCACGGCGAAGACACAGCCGCGACGACGAGGACGCGACGAGCAATGGCATGTCTGAGAGCAACCCCAATCGTTGGACTGTCGAGCGGACGCGGCGGGGCGTGGGGCTGAAACTCAAGTTCACGCCGGCGCGCAAGCAGAGCTCTTCACTGATGAGTCCTCCCACGCCGGCTCCCATTACCCCACGGACACCAAAAGCAGCCAAGAGTGCTGGAGGCGGCGCTTCGTCCTCATTCGACGTCTACGACTGGAACGAGGAGGAGGAAGGTGAGTGTTCGGAGTTTGTGAAAGTTCAGTGGCGAGTCATGCACACTGAGGACACAAAGGTGATTCTGTGCCGAACTAAACAGTTTCGCGCTCCCGCGTAAGCATGGCAAAAGCGTGGGAAGCGGCAAGCAGCTTGTCTACTGATGCACGCTGTGGACTGCCTGAACTAGTGCGCAGTTGTCTCACGTGTCGGGGTTGCCGCTTTTTCACCTCGAGGGATACGATGTTGGTGCAATGCTGGACCTCCGACGAGTGCAGCGTTGGGGCAGCGGCGTAACCACCGAAAATGCAATATCATCGGTGTATAAGTCAGCGACTGCCCTTTTCTTGGTCACAGAGCCATGGGTGGAGCATCCACGATGGACTTGCCAAGATACGTACGTCTTCAAGCATCTTCCCTTTTCTCCATTCTCATCGTTGTCATCCGTCAAGTCTGCATCTTGCCCGCTGTACCATTTTGTCTGTCACAGAGCTACGTGCATGCTTTTAATTGAAAGCGAACCGAAGTGTTGCTTAGAGTGCTTTGTTGCGGCATAGCCTCTGGTGATTTTGAGAATGCCGCGGATGCGGAGAGGTCACTCGTGTGTTATCTCTTGGTCAAGGAAGATTGCGCCCAGGTATTCCCAGCCACCGAAAATTGGCATAGGCTACGTGTAAAAAATTTAATTCTTCCTTACGGCGTTTCCTTGTGAGGAATGGGGTACCTGGGCTCAGCTGACTATGACAAAGCTCCTATGTATGCAGCCATTTAGTGTTAACGTAAGCTCCTTGCAAATACCTCCTCCCCCTCTCGTGGAGGTCACGAGCGTTTCATGAACCACACGATTTCAAGAAAATACTCACGGCCAGGAAAGCAAACGTATAGATCTCTCTACAATAATGTGCTGTGTGATGTTTCTCTTTGTTTCTGAAATGAACCAAAGTTGTGTAGCTTCTTTTTTCTGTCGCTCCATATTTGTAGCTGATATCCAATCACGAAATTTGCATTTAGCGTACGTGGCCATTACAACAGCCTTCGAAAGTTTCATATTAGATTGGGTACACTAAATAGAATACAGTGGCCAAATTGCTCACACTGTCAGATTCGATAACAACCAGCTACAACCAAGTTCATTGCATGGAGCTCCTTTGCCACAAGTTTCAAGTCATTTGGTCATTTATACAGCGTTGTGTGTTAAAAATCACTGTAGCAAGCAGTCTTTTCTTCTTTGAGCAGAAACTTCATCTGCAGAAATGATGCTTGCATATCTAATGTCACTGTGTGTTTTCTCCTGTTTGATACGAGCATCTCATCGCAAATTTGTGCGTCATGTAAGGAACCTATGCTGAAATTGGACTTGATGTAGCTGTAAATACGGCTCAATTTTTTACCAGCGGCGTGTGCACCCTGCCGTTACGCAATTGCACCTCAGAGCCCAATATTCGGACCACGTTAAAAAAAAATTTGTTATGACTGATCACAATGCAGAGACAGAATGCTATCTAACTGCATTCTTCTTTGTGCAAAGCCGGATAAGTTTCAATCAAATAGTGCCAGTGCGAGATATGATGGGACATGTTATCAAGCTCAGTAAACTTCCTCAGATTGCTTATCTCTCAAGAGGTGGCGCTGGTGAAAGCTGCAGATAACATCGTGCTGCCTCTATACTGATACGTGTGTTCCATACTCTGCATGTTTTACACTTACTTTGCATCGCCCATTGCAACGTCCATGTGTTCTTAACCTCTTCACCTTTTTTTCTTTTACTTTCGACGAAGGTGTTTGCCGTTGGCTTGACAGGTGGCTTTTGCACATTTGTGTCTGCTCTCAAGCGGTTGGCAAAATGTCAAACTGTTCATGATTGGTTGCGTGGAAACCCTTTTTTTGCGCGCTTGCCACTTATTGGTTGCACTGAAATCGGTCTTTTCCAGTGGTACGCAGGCTGGGCGACCACTTTGCCGAACCACTATTTGGCCAGTGTCCCAACTGATATTCAGGCCAACATGATGCGTGGTAGAAATACTTCAAAAGGCTAGACGAGCAGATTTCGTTTGATAATGGTCAGTGACCTTTGCTACGTGTTTCATAAAGAAAGAATAAATCGAGAGAAAGGCTGGGCGATCAACCAGAATTGGAAGTGTTTTAGCATTGAATAGGTGCTCAGACATATTACAGCTAATAAGTTCACAGTCGCTGCTTTCATACATCTGTATTGTGTGTGCTGCTGAACTATTGGTTATGGATTAAAATACCGTAAAGTTACAGTTTCTAGTGACCGTCACCTGATGTGTAGACAATGTCTTGTTGAGGTCTCACAGGCCAAAGTTAGTGCATCAGGCCGACTGTTTTGGCACCTGCAAAATTTCATGCAGGTTGTCCACAGCATCCCTAAAGGGTCAGTTGCGTGGCCAAACTTTTGCATGACTTGATATTCCGATGACTATAGTAACACGCTCGCAGATGTCAAGTTTAACCCTGTCTTTTCAAACCTTTCCCAGTACGTTGCGAACTCTCAGTGTAGTCGTAGCTGCTCGCCAGTGGAAATTGCGAGCGAGTTGGGAGCCGGCGAGAGAGCTCACGCCACCTTCTCTTCTTGCGGTGCGCTTGCTTTTTGTGTGAGACGTTTTTTTTTTTGTTTGTTTGCGCTTTGCGAGCGCGCCAGGATCGTTTTTCGCTTCTCCGGCGGCGTTGGTATTGTTCTCTCCCCTTTGTAATCGCATTTCAGCGTGGAATAGACGACCAGACCGTGGGACAGGATGCTCGCAGCAAAAGAAGGACACGATCACAACAGCGGGGCAATGCGCAGACGTGCTCTCAATCAGCTTTCCTGAATGTGTTTGCTAGTCATGATATGTGAGCGTCTGTCATTACCGCGAGTCAATAAAAAAATTAAGGGTTATATTCAGGTAACTCAAGAAAGGTTCAGCTACTTGCATTTTATTCTCCTTAAGATTTTTTGCCATATTTTTTTTATTAACACAAACTGCCTATGCTAGAGGCATCACAGGGGATGGAGTACGCAATATAGGACATATACAGATATATGTTTCAAGTGAGCACTCAATTGGCACATCTGTATCTGCTTCTTTACGCATACATCACATACAGCTATACTTTATTGCCATAATTTACATTTTTGTCAGTCCATGAAAGTAGTAAAAAAACCAAAGCTTTTGACTGAAGTTCTGTCGGGGACCATTGAATATGGCAATCGAACTAGCTGGTAAAGGACAAGCATAAAAACGAGGTCAGTCTCGGCATCTTGACAATGCTTTGATTATTTCAATGGCCATCTGATGTTTCGCCTTGTCTGCTTAATGTTGCACATTTGTGCCAGTGGTGATGACGTTGAAGCAGCGCGAGTGCTCTTGGTCCAGCTTCAGGACGAAGATGTGTTTCTGACGACTGAAAGCTACCAGAAACACATTTTTTTAATGCATATTTATTTACGGTGCTTCGTGTCCTCTTCAATCACATGATGTTACATTGGTGGAGGTGCGACAACTTTGAACCTGCGTGGGACCAAGAGTGTTTGCACTGCCTCAATGGTATTGCCACTGACGCTGGTGTGCAGCAATATTTGCTTATAATTTTTTGTAATTGGGCGACAGTGCTTGTGAGAAGACATGAGCATTGCTGATAAAAGCAGTTGCCACACTTAATGAAAGATAAGTATGTTTGTCCGGAAATTGGCGCCAGTTTGCAACGCCTCGCATTCGAGGACTGCTGATCTCTTGTATCTTTCCATTTTCTTGTGAGCATTATGGCTTCAGTGTGCTCTGCTGTGTACTTTCATAACATATTTGATAAACGACTAGCGCATTTAAATCGGCTCAAACTAGGCAGGGTAAATTGCAGATCATTGAGAAAGGCCTTTAGCCTGTAATGGACATAACATATGTTGAAAATGATGACAGTAAGCAACAACTTATAAAAAGGACAACGAAAAGAGGATCACTACGCAGGAATCATCTTGTCCTCGTCTTCTCAACACTGCCGCTGGTGATATACGAATGACCACCAACTAGTAGCAAGATATCTTCTCATTACTTAACGGAAGTGTTTTGTGCAGCAGCTGCTAGGGAAAACTTCAGTAGGATGGCTTGTTGAGCGAGTTGATTCATTCTTATGGTAGACTTGCGCAAAAAACGAAGACGAGTTTGCGTTTGTTTGTGTAATCCTTCTCTCGTCTTTGTTTTTGCACTAAGTCTGCCATAGGGAAAACTGTGGGGCTAGTGTCTACGGAACCTGCTAGTGCGGTGGCTTGGGAAATACGTCAGTACACGGGTACTTCGAGAACATGGATTTCAAATAGCTTTAGAGCCTTGGAAAGTTGACAAAGAAGTTTTAAAAAGAAAAAAAGCTTTTGATTTATCGGCGGGCTAGTTGGCATGCATCCATGAATTGCAAGTAACCGCGAACAGAAAAGGATGTAGATCCGTGTCAGTTCTCTTCCAAGTCCTTCTCTGTTCGTGCTTACTCAATTTACAATTCATTAGTAATGAAAAAAATGTTCATAAAACTAGATGTTGCTAGTGCAGTACGGTACTGCCACAGGGTGTGTATCCACACATTGTCAAAAGCCACCTGTCTTGCAATGAAGGAAGCATGTGTGTATGTGTGTTGTATGCAGCTAGAGAAGCATATTTTGGTGTGCACTGCTTCATGCCTAAATAAGATGCTTGCTCCTGTCTTGTGGGTTTATTTTCCCTGAAATGTTGTGAGTCATTTAGTTGGTTCTTCATTATGCATTTAAAAGTTGCCCTGCATGGGTTTCTGAGAACATGATCGTAAACACGGGATGATGTTCGTGAACGTGTGCTTGTGGTTACATTTATATTTACAACCAGTTCAGTGGAAGTCTACATCCATGGTTTTATATCTGTGCAAGAGTGTTTAATCTGCTGGCTAAAAATGTGTCTGGTGAAGAGGGAGGGTCTAGTACAAATTAGCTGATGTTTTGAGTCAATATTTTATCTTTTATGAACCAAATTTTATTGAAGGCATACTTTAGCTCTCCAGTTTTTGTTGATTTACATAGAGACAAGAGTTTTTTGTGTTAATCCACTGAATCGATTTTGATGAAGCTTGTAGCATTATAAAGAGCATGGTAATTGCAGACTGTGCAGAAGAGAAAAAAAAAAAGGAAGTCCGTTGATTGGCATTTGTGTTTTGTGGTTTACAGAGGCTAAATTCTTGCGTTTGTGGGAAGTGCAGGCCAATTTGGTGCTCACAATAAAATTGAATGGAGGGAGATGCTTATTAACATTTGTTAGCTTTATCTGTATGCTCTTTTGAGTCTTCTTTCCCTTGGCCTGCTCCCCTGAGTGCTGTATTGCTATGTCTTGAGAATGTGTGCTGTGACATCAGTGAAAAAAATGGTGTTGAGGTGCTGGCGATGTTCCTCTGGAAATGCAAACATCTTTGGAGACGTTTGTATGTTTGCAGATGTCTGTTTGTGTACCTGAATGCCCTTAAAATACATTCAGGTGCACGAATGTCTTTGAAGACATTTGCACTTTCAAATCGCATTATCGGCCTGCATTATCGGGCCGATAATGCAGGCCTTCGTACTGTCACTGAACCGATACATTTTTCTACTTGTAGAACGTCATGGTGCAAAGCTTTCATGCGGTGTTATGACTAACAGGCTCGCAGCAACACATTGCAAGAAAAAAAAAACGCGAGGCCGAAGTTCTGGTGTCAGTATTCCTTTAAAGTGGTAACAATCTATGCCAGTTCTCTACCTTGCTGAATTCAACCACCAATCCGGACTGGCTCTGACGTTTATTTGATAACCATTTAAAATCACTGTTCTCCAAATTTCCTCATTCTGTGGCACCTCCGCCTCTTTGCTTGCCTTGTAAGCTGTGTATGTGAAAGTGTGGTGATCCAAGTCAGTAATACTGGAAAAATGTTCAACGTTAAAGTGTTCACGGATGTTGCCAGCATGGCAGTTATGCTTCAGCGTGGGAATGAACGTGAGTGTTTGTCCTTATAGGGCTGGAAGAGTGCCTGCGGCTTTCACATCAACCTTGATGAAGCTCGCTTGTTGCAGTACATCTTTTGATATGGCACTAATTCTTCTGCACTTAGAACATAAATGTGCTACGGTGTACTTTTCAGAGCTTCCTCAATAACAGATAGTTTGGAACGAGGTAGCCAAAGGGTTATAGGCTGCTGAAATTTGAGAATCATTGGCTTAAGGGAGGCTGGCATGAAATGCAATTTTAAAGTTATGATGAGATTTCACAGGCATTTCTACTCCTGAATCAATTATAGGCATGAGATAAATAACCATGAGGTGCATTTGCTGGCACCCGAGTTCCGAGAGCAGCAAGATACATCCACGTATGTTTTAAGTTTTTCGGGCTGCGGAGTCCATTCAGCACAAATTTAGAGGGGCACTGACACAAAATTTCGCGGCCGAGATAGCCTGTGTGGTCGATTCCCAAGAACATTCGCATATCATCTGCAAAGTATCAACAGCAAATATAGCTGGGAAACTATTTTAAAAGTATTTTGAAGTTTGTGTGAGCCCTCAACTCAATCGCGCCATTGACATCATCGAAGGGGACCCCGAGGTGACTCCCCTACTTCCCCCACGTCACCGCGCTGCGGTCAACAAAACAAGTTATATGACGCCATAGCCAACATTTTTTTTTTTTGCTGCGTTTGATCTTGCAGTCTATACTTTTTGGCAGCTGGTTGTTAGTGCGTGGCCGTGGCGCAGGCTTAGAAAGATTTGTGTTTGGGTACGCTGCAGTACCATTTACTATTCGAGAGTAATTCATGATGCGCACCGTGTGGAAGTGTGTCATAGTTGTGTGTGGTGACGTGGTCAAGGTCTGCACATGCTAGATGGCGACAGTTGCACCCAGTTTTTGGAGCTCTCTCAAACCAAAACTGATCGACAATGATGGGCCTGTAGTTAATTATCTGTAGCGTGCTACAGCAAACGATGTCGTGTCATGACTTTCAGGCCCCCAGTAACACATTGCAGCAGAAAAAAAATACGAGGCCAAAGTTTTTGTGTCAGTACCCCTTCAAGCTATGATCATAGGATGTGCTCTGCTTCACTTCCAATTCGCTTTTGGTGCGCTGCATTTTGGGCTGGGTCAATGCAGTAGTTTTCATAATTTCCATCCCGTGGTAACTTTCGTACATGTCAGTAGCCGATATTGCCACAGGGCTCCAGCATTCATGGGAGAACTTTATTGACTGCTAGTTTTGTATTGAAATAATGTGCGGGCAGGGGAAAGAACGTTGCAAACTGATGTCCTTCGCAAGCTTACAGTGTCCGTCTTGGTGTAGTCATCGAGCATTGGAAACGGTTAGCTTTCCCAAAAGTGCAAATTTTACATCCTCCTGTGTTGTTTGTCGCTGCCTACGTTTTCGAATTCCATTAGCTGTCTGTTGTTTTCCGAGTGTGTCAAACCCGTCATGCTTGCCGAGAGAGAAATGGCTGTATTCTTATAGGACTTGTTTAAGTTTTGGTTGGCTGTTTTTGTTGAGTGTCGCAGCATTATTTGTTTTGTAGTGCTGTTGTATACGGCTTTTTTTTTCCTTTTGTTAAAATGTTGCGCGTCATTCTTGTAAACAGAGTCAGCAGCGTTAGCTCGAAGCAAAGCAGATCTGACTATACTTTAGGTCGTAGGCCTGGAGGGAGATGTGTGCGCAACATTCAAATCAAAGACTTGTGCACAGTGTCGTTCTTTGGAACGCGCACAAGGATTATGCTTTTTATGTTGTTTTGGCTGCCCGTAGCTACTACTTCTACTCATGTTATTATGTTGTCTGTTAAACAAATTGCTTAGGAAATATTTCACTTCTTCACTGCTCATAGTTACCTTATTTCCTTGAAATTGTTTTAGTGGGTGCCCCTTGTGGCCTTGTATATTTATACGACAAAGCTGTGCATTGACTTTTCATTTTTAAGTTATTTCGCCTTTAGTGCATTTCATCGTTTCGTTGCGTCTCATCGTGTGAGTCATCATTCTCAACATCCTTGCTTCTGTTTCAATAAGTGTGCGCTCGCTGTCGTGAATGTTATGTCGAATATGTTAGAACTGCATGCCTCTCAGATGTAACCTGCCAATTTGTCTGCTTTTGCAAGATATATTAAGTTAGTGAATAAGGATGAACAAATTGCAGGTCTCTAACTGCAAGTTATTTTGTTTTATAATTTCTTTTAGCTTTTATAGAACAAATTGAACTCATTTAGTGCATAAGTTTAATGTTCATTTAATGCACACATGAGGGTTGTAAATCACTGGCGGCTTCTAATGTTAGCATCACGGATTTTTTTCGCATTATTGAGTAACCGTGTATAAATGCATCGCCTATTGAAAATGTGTGTTGCTTACAGTTAAACAGTTATTTTTGTCTCCAGTACTTGAACTAGCTCAACATAACTAAGCTTCTGTTGTTCTGTTCTGTCCCAATCTCAGCAAACAGTACGTCAAACGATTTCTCTGCCAAAAATGAAAGTATGTCCAAAAGAAATGAATTTTTTTCGTGTGTGCATGTGTGTTAATATTCATGCAGTCGCAGGAACGGTTTCTATGTGCCATGTGTGTATCATAAGCATAAAAAGTTTGTTTTAATCTGCGCCACAACACGAAAAGAAGATATGATGTTTGTACAGTGGCGCCCGCGTTGAAAAGCAACCATTTGGACTGTATGTCTCGGTCTCGGAATGCCATTGTGTACATAGACAAAAAAAAGTGGTGCCGCGATGACAACCCGCTCAACGGAGAGCCGTGGATTTGTGGACAAAAACAAACACAAAAATCTTTGTCACAACCTTGTACATACATGAGTGTAGTGTGCTGTTTTCCTAGTGATGCCATTATAGTAAATAAAGGCTAGTTTGTATCGCAAGATGGCCTGGAACCAACTCGTGTCACCCTTTTGTGTTCGTCGTCAGCCACTCTGCAGTAGTGGCTTAGCTGCGTATTGCAGATCCAAGTGCGGAGCCACTGGTTTGATTCCCGGCGGCAGTGGCGGTACTTCGATGGTGACAGAAATGCAAGAACTCTCTAACTAAATTTGCCTGTTAAACAACCCAGGCAGTCCCATATAACCGAGCGTCCTCCACTATGGCATGCTTCGCAGTTTTACTGTGGTTTAAATCTGAAAGCGTTTTGGTGGAGTTGGCGAAAGTGCGCAGTAGCACTTGGCACGCGCTCCACTACGCTGCAATTACAACTTGCAGCCAATACGAAGCACTTATGCAATTTTGTTGGTACATACTGAACTTCTGAAAGCAGCGTTCGGACGGGACTAAGAAAGAAGCGGCTGGACAAAACACTGTCCTGTACCTCCTTTCCTTGTCCAGTCCTAGCGTTGTTATACTTGCAGCTGCTATGTGGCAAAGGGGAATCCAAGCAGCGTAAGAGGAAGGCCCAACTCGAACGAGAAAAGAACAGTGCATAGAAAGAGTCACCGCACTTCGTAACCAACGCTTTTGCATTCTTGTCCCATAATATGCTTAGAGATCCACTTTTTGCATTTAGTACCTGTCTACCAAAGTTTTTATCGTAATAATATAATTTGAGTTTAATGCAAGCATTTAATGGAGCGAGGCAGGGGCAGTCTAGTGAACATGTATTCAGTACGTTGTTATTACGGTGCACAGCGAGCGTTAACTCAACGTGTTATTAATCAGTTCTGTACATTTGTGGTCATGTGCCCTCAGGCCTCTCATTCTTGAGTTCCCAGACAACTTCGCAATGCAGCTCCAATCATTTCATCTTTTTTAGAGTAGATCTCATCTTTGTTACAATTGTATATTGCAATGAACCAGTACGATTGATGGCAAAGGAGCGATATAAGTGGGCATAATGATTTGAAGCAGTTATGAGCTGCTGCCTCATGACGAAGCGCAAGAACATCTGCTCAAATTGTTTGAGTTTTTTTTTTTTTACCCGATTTGCTTGTTCACCGTCAATAGCACTGGCATAGCACCACATACAATGATAATTTGACAACTTTTATCATTTTCATAACATTATCTAAGTCGCTAGAAATTTGTTTGCCAAACATTCTAGATTGAACATATTCTTTATGGTGGCCAAGAAATGATCCACACAGTTTTCAATCTACTTCGAATAAACAAGGGTTTAGGAACCTTCCTTTCGGCAATCAATTGTAAAATGTGCCAGATTTCTTTGCAGGATTGCAAGTATGGTGGTGCTTGCACAACATCAGCATGAATTTCCAAAAGCATTTCAATGTTTGCCTAAACCACAAAGGTAAGTGCTATTGCCAGTGCCAATACAGACAACCTTTGTTGGAGGATCAGTGTACGTGAGCTAGCAACATGAATCACCGCAGAGTAATGACAAAACAGGTGCTCAGAAAACCACAAACACACTGAAATCGTAAACAGTCCAAACACACTCCAGATCACCGCAAGAATGATTAGTACACATTTACAGCGTCATATACTGCTATGTTCCATTCTACACATGCAGATGCTGTGTAGACTGCATAGACCTTCTCTCGTTGATAGAATTACAGAGGTTAAAACTTGGTGCATCACACAAATGACAGGAAGGCATTCATTTTTATGCTATGTTATACGTTGATATTGCAAAATGTCAACATTTTTATGTTGTAAGCATTGCAAACTGGTGCACCTATTTGCTAATCTAGAATTGGAATAACGCACTTCTGCAATATATACGTGTCACTATTTCGCAGCCATTCCTTTCCTGATGCTAGTGCTTTCTCGGGCTTTTCGCCGCTCGTCAGTGTTCAAAGTGATGGTCCACCTACATCATTAATGGGATCAGCCACGCATGGTGAACCACTAGCACGTCACTTTAATCAAACAGAAGGCACAGCTATTACAAGATAGCAGCTCGGGTCACGTAACAGACGCACGAGTATCATGCCATGTGACCTAATCTCGTACAAGTTGCAGTAATATGTGAAGTTTGATAGTAAACATTGAGAAAAATCCTAGGCAGCCTGTGTTAATAACCAAATAACTAAGCACTAAAAGATTCTCATTTAATTCACAGGCAATGCTATAGACTCAAGACGTATTCAATTACTACAAAATAAAGGCACCCGACGAGACCGAAAGACACCCTGGACAGTGCCAACTGAGAACTTAGTTCAGACATGTATGAACTACAGGTCTCGAGTCTTCAATTTATGCCAACTGGTGCAATTTTTTTCTCACGATGCTACAGTAGCTATTTTGGGCGTAGAAGCCTTCAAATGCCTGCAGTGCCTTTTATAAACCAAATTAGATTATGTCTGGAAATGGGCAAAGCAAAGCAGAGGCATATGGTTGGCATAGAACAAGTATTCAATGACAAACTTGCCTTGCTTGTTGACACGTCTACGAATGTTCGAAGCCTCAACACAAAAAAATGTCCAGAGAAATCAAAGTACTCCCCCGAGTGTCCAGTGTTTGCTGGGCTACACTAGGACCGGCCATGCTTCCGGACTCTGATTTTAAACGTATCTGAGACAGATCGAAGTACTTCCAGATTGGTTCATGACTCTACTGAATTTTTGATAATCCAAATGCCTGTGCGATTCCAATTGAGGTCAATCCATATTTGAAGATTGTTCTTCTGATCTGAATTTTGGATATCATTATACATGTCCATGTGGTATTAGGCTTTTGATTTGACATTGTTATATATAAGACCATGCATGCATGCATGCATGATAGGTCCGACTGATGCTCTGTATAGGGCAGTTCTAGGTGGACCTCGTTATATACTGAATCAATATTATTTATATTTAATATCTAGTCAAGCGAATAGCACCAGTGTTCAGGTTGATCGAATGATTAGTCGGCTTTCATCGTAAAATTTATAAATGGGAATGAGCTAAGGAACCTGTACAGCAGGTATGGTTCTAATAGGAATTCCACCAATTGATTTCAATTGTACTTTACTGATCTCCAATTGGTTTTAATTGGACATCGAAGAATTGAGTGAAGCTGTGACACAAGAAAATAGTTTATGAAACATGTTTGCAATTACACCATTACCCCTGCAATAAAACATCTTTGCACTTTAATATGGTCTATAAGGTGTGTCATTTATTTCATCTGTTCACATTACAGTAGGCCACAAAATTAGTTGTTCTTGGGCCTGGCACAAATTACTAGGCTGAAATTACTGGCATTTGTGCGAGGTTATTTTTATAGAGAGATGAACACGACATTCGAGGACAAACTTTTCCATTTCAAAGTAGCCTTCGAAAATGCCAAGTTCATGCAATCCTATAACATGATTTCCTAATTTTGATGAGTTTCCAATGAGATTAACAGGCCCGTTTCTTAATTTAGAACTGCGCGGCATTTCCAATTGGAGAGATTGGCCTGACCAATCAACCGAATTCGTCAAACCATTTAGAACATGTTTATGCCACCGATTGTTTGCATTGGTTAGACCCGTCGACATAATTGATAAAACCAATTGGAACTCTATGCTGTTTACAATGGGTGAAGTGGGTTCACCTGCTTGTCTAATTGGTCAACCATTTGGATATTGATTGTGTCACCAATCAGTTATGTTGGTCAGGCTCATTCACACCAAATGAGATGACCAATCGGAATTTTACAATTGGTGTCCCAAAACGGAGTTTGATATTTCTAATTGGTTCCAATTTGAAATTTCCAATTGGTTTCAATTGGATCCACTGGGAAATTTTTAAGAGGGCTGTGCAATATTGTTGTAGGCCGAGTGGACCATCCTTTGTTGAAACCAAAACGACCTTACTCGAGTTGCAAACAAGGGGCCCTACCTGATCTGGTAGACAAGGTTGTGTTCCCTTCAAGTCTGAAGTTCCATATCTACCTTGTAGGTGTGTACAACAACATTTGAACTATTGGATGCTAAAAATCTTTGGCATCCAATATTTCAGGACCTCCTGCACAAATTTCAGACCCAAAGCAGCATTAATTGAGCTCCCACCTCTGCCACTTCTATCATCTCCATGTAAGAACCAGCGTTTTCTTGAGTCAGTAATTTCAGACTATAGACCTATTCCATGTTTGTAAACACGGTAGGCGCCGTGTGACGTCACGGTGCGCTGGCTCCGCCCAGCCGTCCCAGCTGAAAATGTGCCACCAGCCACTACGAACACGTGACAACGAGCGGAGCAGGTACGCAAGCTGCCTTCGAGAACAGCGCGTGCATGTTGACAAGCGGTGGCCGCAACAGAAGTTGCAGTTGCTGCTGTAGAGGGATTTTAAAATGAACATTTGAGCTATGTTAACGTGTAGCTCTAGCTTTGAGAACTTTAACTGCGGAAACGTAGCTCATTTGTGAAATATCTTCGTCGTTGCTGTAGCCAACGTCACACATGCACACTTTAATTTCTACTAATGCAAGGACAGAACCAGTTCAACAAGAGGCTCAACAGTACAATATGCAAATATGCACTGTAAAAATACGTGACCATGAATCGTTAAGGTAAATCCTCGCATATGATAAATGTGCTGGAAAAATTACTTATACAAATGACCAGAACAACCTCGGCGACACTTTCATCCGCAACATGCTTGCGATAATGCTTCAACAACATTGTGCTCTGCACAATGCGGTTATGTACTTGTAAGGTCCGCGGCTAAATTCGTACGCTCAAGCCAACACTGCTAAAGTCGTACGACTGGGCAAGTTTCTTGCGCGATGCTTTTCCGTGAATTCTCACTGATGTGAAAATCTAGTGAAGCGCACCAGAGCCAGAACAGGGCACTTGTGTCAGGTGTGTCATCGCAGCCGCATATAATCCCAAAAAAGCAAAGTCTAAGTCATCCTTTCACTTGCTGCTACTTTAATGAACCGTACCCATGCCAAAAGAAACACATGCTCGATCGTTGGCTCGATGACTCAGTGACCCCCTTATTTCACGCCAGTATGGCAATATCATTTTGGTGTGTCGAGGACTTTTGCAGTTATATCAACAATGGCAACAGTAAAAAATGCTTTACATATGCCAATGCTATACAGAACATTAATGCGCTTGATACGCCTCCACGGCTTAAAAAAAAAAAAAAGCGTAATTTCATAGCTTATTCCAACGCTTGAGAGAGCTAATAGCTTTTTATGGGTAAGCCACTCGAAAACATAACCGGCGAAGCAGCGTCAACAGCAAGTTCTCGCATTCACAGCTGCGACTGATCAGCGACGGTTTTCGTCAACAGAAAACTGGGAAAAAAATAATAAAAAAGACCTCGTCCATCTTTCTTGCGCCTTTCCGTGCAAATCACCGTGAAAGTTAGTCGGTACAACACTCTTTCTTCGTTGTATGGTCATAAACAGCGTACGCACCAGCGAAAACACAGCAGCAACTGCGGTAGGCGCTGCGGCTTTTGCCTATCAAGCGAAACCAAACACCCGACAACAGCGCCACCCCATTTTCGTGACGTGTTTCCAGTGGAATTTGTCTATAGCACAGCTTGAAAGTAAGCTTGGAGCAATACGAGGGTGTGATGAGGCCACGTTTAATCGGACGATGACTTTGTTTTTGAGAAGTTCAACTGCAGTGGAACAGCCAGCTTTGCCACAATACCAAAGTGTGTGAAGCATATTAGGAAAGGAGGTCCCCTTTCAGCCTTGTGCTATGGGACCTCCTTCTGTATATTCTACCTCAATGTGTGTATATTTTTTGCGACAAATAAAAAATATCTTCTTCTTCTTCAAAAAATCCAATCAAGGGTTGACCGCATTTGACTTCAAAAAGTTCAAATAGTAAAATTCCGGTGCGAGAAGAATCAAATAGCAAGCCCTATTAGAAAAATACACAAACTTCAAACATTTGCACACCCCTATAAAAAAGTTCATTTCAATAATGAAAAGAAAAAAATTACACCAGCTCCCACTGAAGGAAACCAAGTGGGGATGCGAAACAGCACTGATGTTCACTTGTGTTTCCATTTGTTGTTTCTACTTGTATGTTTTCGTGTACGTTTCTATGGTGTGTACCACTTTTGTTACCCCCACCTCCCATGTGCGTGTGCTACCATGTGTGTGCCGCAATGCTAACACCCAGCACTGCTAGGAGAGTGCAACGGAGCGAGCGCACAGCTGTGGTGGAGAGATGAATGGGAGAGGAGGAAAAAGGCGAAGGCGGTGCTCTGCCACCTCCTCGCATAAGCACGAGCAGAGGGGGTAAAAGCCCACACAATGCGGTAAGGGTGGTCACGCCGCGCACCAGATTGAACTCCACTATTAGCTGCTTCGCATCTAAAAAAGATTTTAAGCTTGAACCTGATGCCACACCACACGCGAAGCCGAAACATGCAGATCCAAAGCAATGTGAAGCCAAGCTAGAGTGACGAAATAAAAGCCACAGTGCCGATTATGCCATTGCAGCTTGCCATCAAAATCTTACATCCATACGGCACGACGGCAATGTTGTACTCATCAAACAGCACCTCCACACAGTTCGATCAAAACACTCTGAAAACTGTCGCTTGTAAAAGCATGACAACTTCACCGTAAAACCACGTGAAAGCAAGGCAACAAGCTGAATTATGGCATAATAATACACTGTAGACATGTACAGTAGGCTCTCTTTAAACGCAACCTGAAGGGACCAGGAAAGTGGTCCATTTATAAAGAGTTCCGTTCACCAACACATGAACAGAGGTGCAAATGCTAGTACTAAACCAACCACATCAGGAACAGTTGTTCCATTTAAGCAACAATTCCGTTTAACAATTCCCATTTACCAATGGTCTACCGTACTCTGCTGTGCAACATCACATGTAAGCTATATCCACAGAGACAAGCAAAGAGGCATGGTGTCATAAAATTTGCTCACCACATTTTAGCATATTAAGATGTCCTGTGGTAACGTTACCTGGTAGAATCTCAACGATATGAATCTGGAGGGAATGTGAAAATATTCCTATCACGTGAAATTTCATGGCAACGAAAAACTAGCAAAACTCATTTTCAAACAATGATACTATCACACAAAACATTTCCCTTGAACGAATTCGCATATGCTGACCTGAGACACACACCAATGGACTTAACAAGGGACAGCTCAGCAAGCTGCCATAAACGTGCACGTCATAGTTTCACTTGTGGCCAACTGAAAAGGGACAGCACAGCAAGCTTTCATGAACATGCACGTCATAGTTTCACTTGTGGCCAACTGAAAAGAGACAGTGCATCAGGCTTCTGAACGAACACGTCATAGTTGTGGCCAACTGAAAGGGACAGCACAGCAAGCTTCCATGAACATGCACGTCAGTTTCACCTGTGGCCAACTGAAAAGGGACAGCTCAGCAAGCTTCCATGAACGCGCACGATATAGCTTCACTTGGAACCAACTGAAAAAGAACAGCCGAGCAGGCCGCTATGAACGTGCACGTCATAGTTTTACTTGAACTGAAAAGAGACAGCTCAACAAGCTGCCATGAACATTCACGTCATAGTGTCACTTGTGGCCAACTGAAAAGGGCCAGCTCAGCAAGCTTCCATGAACGTGCACGTCATAGTTTCATTGGTGGCTAACTAAAAATGAACAGCGCACAAGCTGCCATGAACGCGCACATCATAGTTTCACTTGTGGCCAACTGAAAAGGGGCAGCGCAGCAGGCTACCACGAACGGGCAGGTTAGTTTCACTTGTGGACAACTGAAAAGGGACAGCTCAGCAAGCTGCCATGAATGTGCACGTCACAGTTTCACCTGTGGCCAATTGAAAACTAAGGGCTAAAGTTTTCTCCACCATTTTGTAAGTGAATGTGCTTTGTGGCTGTTTTGCCAACTTTATTGCCCTTAGTTTACTGCTGCATCAGCTATGCACCTTCGGAGCTGCGTGTCGACATTCATGATTGTGCCGTTAGCGACCGCATTTCTGTGCACAGCAATTGTGGTGCAAGGCAGTGCCATTTTCAATTCGTGCATGCAGGCTGCGCACATGCCTTCAGAACTGTGTTGTTGCTATCTATGATCAAGCGTAACCCAGTTTTGTTAGCTGCGGTTTTGGAAAGAAGCACCACCTTTACTCAGCAAGCGGTGGGTACACATGTTTTGTCGTTGTATACATGATCGCATCGACAGCAACCGCGCTTTTGTCCACAGCAGTTGTGGGAAACAGTACGGAAATAAGCATTGGCTGCGTGCATACTTCAAAAGCATCCGAAGCACGCTGCTTTTGACATTGCTCAATGGTTTCGGTACCAAAGTTTTTATCACTTACCACTACGCAAAAAAGTGCACGGGACATCCAAACTCTGGCTTACTGGACACGGTGAAATTTGGCTAGAAAACTCTGCAACTTCGCATCAGACCAAAACTCGCATCATCAGTCAGTTTTGTATCACCGATTATAAAAAAGACAAACACTACATTATAACACGACTTCATCACAATGAAGCTAGACGATGTGTAGCAGCAAGTGTGGAAAACACATGACAAAAGCAGTGACACACTCGACATACACAAGATAGAGCACTTTATTGTAATATGCGACAGTTTCCTTCCTTGTGTTCCTTTGATAGCGTACAGCTCGTGACAACACGAGAAGTTCCGGGACACCAAAAAATGAGAAGGAAATGGGAGGGGTGAACATAGTGGAGGTGCATGAGTGAAACGCAATATATAAACAGATAGCCGTCGATTCCGCCTACTGTTGCACAGCTTCGATGCAAACCAAATCCAGCGGATCGCTTGCTATTACGACGTGTCTGCCAACGAAGGTCACAGTAAGAACCGGCTGCGAAGGGCGGGGCCTGAAGGCTGACCTAGTGATTCAACTAGGGGCATGATGGGTAAATGCGTGCAGGTTCTTATGTACAAGTAATGGCAGTCTCCCTTTTGCTACGCAGCGACTCAGGCGCTCGCTCATCAATGCGTTGGGTAGTACGAACTGGTGGGGTAGGCATTCCATGCTTGTTGGTAGTTGTAGGCCTGCGGAAAAGAAACGCAAAGCAATGCGGAAATGTGTTGCAGTTATCGCATCAAATTTGAAATACTGTACTTATTTGAATCTAGACCGATAGTTATTTTTTTTTTTTTCAAATTTCTTTGTATCAAACTCCAAGGTCTGCTTAGATTTGACAATTTTAAAAAGCGCCATTTTTCATTGAGAAAAGTGGCGCACAACTGGTGCCACCTAGATAGTATTATAGCCGTTAGTAGCCAAGCCAACACCTGGGTACACACAAGAGGCCAACATTTTGATCTTTGTGACGAGTGTTGAGGCGAGCCATTCGTCATTTAAAGTGGAGCTTTGAGAGGTCTGCGTGTGGCGTAGTTCAATGGTGTCAAAGAGGCGGTGTCACTATAGTGCCGCTTATAAAAGCAAAGCTGTCCTAGTCGCAGAGTCGTCATCCAACGTTCAAGCCGGGTGGGTTTGAAGTGGACGAAAAAAATGTGCGTCGGTGAAGTAAAAGGGCTGCAGTGTGGGACGATGTGCCAGGAACATTATGTGCTCTTTCAAGAAGTGCGACGCATCCAATGCGCTTGATCGCCCCGTGGATTGCACACTGTTTAAAGACAGCGATGAGGGAAGCAGCGACAAGTCGGAATGAGTGCGGCATCAGCAAGCACCGCATCTTTATAATGCAAATAACTAAAAGCAGCACGAAAAAAGCGATAACAACGACGCACACAACCGGACTAGAGACTGGATGTTTTTCGAGTTATTTGCATCATGAACAAACTGCTTTGCTTCATCTCTATGTTCAATAAATGTTATCTCTCTGTGAAAGCTGTCTTCGCCGTTTTGTTCGACCTACATTCAAGTTTTTTTTTTTTTTTTTTTTCGGGCTTCAGACTTTTGGGGGGTCGGCTTAGAATCAGGGTCGGCCTAAACTCGAGTAAATATGGCAACATGCAACATCTTTCTGACGTTCTTAAAGCAATCAGCTGTGCTCCTATTGCAGATGCGTATGTTCACCTGCTTATATAAGCAATCTCGGCTAAAGTTTACACAGCCTTTTCAGCATTCTTCTGTATCGATACCTTCAAAGGGTCGTCACATCTCTTGGGCTTGGTGAGAGAAGACAACCTGCAGCTGGTAAACTCTGCTACAGACACTGCTATGAACATCTCAGCCAAACCTTGCAGTTGTGCCCAACCTTGGTTCAGAGCTGCCAACGATACTATATGAAATTAAGCAGCAGGTAGCATACTACTCACCAACAGCTGACATAAATGAAGTGTAGCACTTAGATCAGATGCCCTTTTTTCTACAGGGTGCCGCCACATTAAGCAGCAAGTAGCATACTATTTGCCAACAGCCGAGATAAATGAAGTGTAGCACTTAGATCAGATGCCCTTCTTTCTACAGGTTGCTGCCACATTAAGCAGCAAGTAGCATACTATTTGCCAACAGCCGACATAAATGAAGTGTAGCACTTAGATCAGATGCCTTTCTTTCCACAGGGTGCTGCCACATTAAGCAGCAAGTAGCATACTATTTGCCAACAGCCGACATAAATGAAGTGTAGCACTTAGATCAGATGCCTTTCTTTCCACAGGGTGCTGCCACATTAAGCAGCAAGTAGCATACTACTTGCCAACAGCCGACATAAATGATGTGTAGCATTTAGATTAGATGCCCTTCTTTCCACAGAGTGTTGCCACATACAAGTGCAGCACTCCACAGTTTGCTAACAGTAGTACACAATGAATCACATCCGCACACAAAAATTACAGAAGACAGCGATCGCGTTACACCATGTGCACTTAAGGCTGTGATGTGCACTGATGAAACTTCTTTCCTTTGTGTCATCCCTCGATGCTTAGCTTCCAGCACGCTCGTCGTGCCGAGAGAAAAGAGAACGTGCTTATAATGCACAACAAACCTTCGCAGCTCCGCTCAATCTAGACAGATTTCAGAAATTTCCTTGACAAACGATTTGCAAGGCAGTTAACTCGGATGTCGAGATCATTTGCTATTACTCGAAAAAGTGGTTCACTAGCACTTTGAGGGCGTCCTATTGAAGATGTAGCCGTTACTGTTGTCAATCAGAGACAAGTCATGCAAGCACCTGTGGATAGCTTCCCCACTGCTGGGCATAGTTGTACTGGGCCGCTGCATCGGCTGCTGCGCTTGACGTGGCTGCGGCTATCGCTTGCGCGGCGGATGCGGCCGCTGCATCGGCTCCGTTCAGCTCCGCCGTCTTTGGCTTCTTCTCTGGTGTCTCCTGTGCCTCTCTGGCAAGACAAAGATAATGTTTAAAGCACGGACACTGGCCTACAGCAAAAGCCTTCATTTACTAGCCAGGCAACAAAAGCAGAAATCTATGACTTAAAGAGGGTTAGCTATGCAGAGATGTGGTAGTCTACTGATAAGAGACACCTCATATAAAAGACTAGAACTGCCCCCTCTGTGCAATTACAATTAAAAGGGGTTCTCATAAAGGGGTTCACTTGTACCAGCTCATGCAGCCTTACCGAGACTGCTCAGCTGTATATGCTAAATACTGATAAAGGGTTTAACCAAAGCAAGATGTCATTTCATCACACAAGAAGAGCACGAACATGCAGTGCTCGAGAGTGTAAGAAAAAATGCAGACTCACTCCGCTGGCCTCTTCTTCTGCGCCACTTCCTGTGCCTTGGCTGCCTTGGAATACTCGTCAAAGGCTTCCTGAACCCTAGGAACAAGAAACCAAGAATCTGCATCAGTATTTAGAGGGCATCGGGGGGGGCCCTTCAAAGCCATCCTACCACAATGAATATTTTGTGGGCTTCGTAATCACAGTTTTCCTTGTGTTTTCGGTCACACCCAAGCCTTCAACGCATCTCTGCTAAACGTTCATAGATCATTCAATGGATTGACCACCCTGATGATGTCTTAATTATGACCAGATTATTTAGTATGGTAATCATTAGGTAGCACAACTCCAATATGAATAAAACATACACATTAAAACATAAGTAGTTCATTAATACAACATTACAGTGCATGTTATAATACCATGTATCTTTTACATTTTGCCAATGTAATAAATACCTCAGTGTCAAACTTGTTTTGTGCTTTTGCATTTTTACTAAAAAAAGAATCTTGTCTAGCTTTTCTGATGTAATACTCCTACATAAAGCATGTGCAGTATTTGTAAATAAATTATATAAAGCACAATAAAAATCTTCTTGACACCCTAATTTGCTATGTTTCTAAGTCTGCTATGCTCTAAAAAAAAAACTGTGCTGTTTCAATTTTTAGTAGTGTACCAGCTTTTTCTTTTGTTACAATTGTGTTTGCTGTAGTAGTGTCTAGAAATCTGTGTTGGCATGCTACTAGTGCGGAATCAAAGCTCTCCGCTGCATATCAGAGCTGAATGCGAACACCCCAAGGGACACCAAGGCAACTATGAAGTCGATGTTGATTGTTGTAATAGCGGTCCACAAACCTCGTAATGTTACTTTTGTGTCAAGGAAGCGCTCATTGACACAAGGGCGTGGGCACCGACACTAGTACAGCAGAACAACACAAGGGCGCGGGCACCGACACTAGTAGCAGCAGAACAACAGTAGTAGGAGCCACAGCAGCAACAGTGGCCAATGAACAATTTCCTGCCATGGCCTCCGCGATGGCAGACCACGGCCGGTCTAGAGGCGTGCGCTCGCTCCCTACGTGTGCCTCCAGACTGGCCGTGGGCAGACATGCTAGGTCCCATTGGGCACCGCTAGATGGCACAACCTGTCCAGGCAAAAATTGAACTTGAACCACTTGCGCCATTGCCCATAGTACCGTAATTACTCGAATCTAACGCGCACCTTTTTTCCGGTTAAGTGAGTTCATAAATCGCATGCGCGTTAGAATCGAGTACGAACAAAAAAATTACGGTCAATCTATTGCCATCGGCAAATCCAAAATGGCCGCCTCCTACGTGCGTCGGCATGGCGCGTCGGCCATTTCTGCCTATGTGTTTCCCATGTGCGGCACTTCGTACGTGTGCTGAGGAGTTCGTCATCTAGTAGTGCATTAGCATCGACGGCGTGGAAGGGCCGACTCCAAAAACTCGAGTGCACCACGATGCCGCTTTTAAAAGAAAAGTCATCGCGTGTGCAGAAACGGAAGGCAATCGGGCCGCATCGCGGTCGTTCGGAGTTCCCGAAACGTGCGTGCGGGACCGGCGGAAACAAAAGCAGAAGATTGTCGACAGCAAAGCGTCACGCAAAGGCTTCAGTGGACCACAGCAGGGTCGGTTTCCGCAAACTAAAGAGCTGCTCGGCGAGTATGTGCTTGAGCAGCGAGCGGCATAGCGGCCCGTGACGACAGAACTGCTCCAAGTGCGGGCTATGCAATTAGTCTTAGAAAAAGGTCTAGTGCGGAGCCAGTTTAAAGCGAGCAGGTGCTGGTTAACTAACTTTATGAAGAGGAAAGGCTTTTCCCTCCGAAGGGGAACATGCATATGCGAAAAGTTTTGCGGAGGAGTACGATGAAAAGCTTCACAGTTTTCAGAGGTTCGTCCTAAACTTGCGGCGCAACAACGGCTACCTGCTTGGGCAAATCGGGAATGCCGATCAGACGCCTCTTTACTTCGACATGCCTGGCACTATAACCGTCGAGAAAAAGGGGGCGAAGCAAGTTCGCGTGCTGACATCGATTCACGGTAAAACTACAGTGACGGCAATGCTCTGTTACACGTCAGATGGGCACAAGCTTCGCCCGTACCTCATATTTAAATGAAAGACGCTCCCGAAAGGAGTCGTTTTTTCGAGTGGTGTGATTGTGCGGACCAGCGAGAAAAATGGGTGCGCGTTGCAATCGATGTCTTACGTTTTTTTTTCTTTCGCGGTGGAAATCGGGTGCGCGTTACAATCGAGGGCGCGGTAGAATCGAGTAAATACGGTAAAATCCAGCGGTTCTTTTTTTCATGAATCAAACAGAAACGATGAAGCCGCACTTTACTGTGTCTGTTGATGCACTGGAGGTTTTTTTTATTTAGTGCAGCTAGTTCAATTATTAGTGATTACTTGTAGGCGGTGTGTCTGCCCTAATCGGATCATTTTGCGAGTGTCCTATCATGACGCACGTGTTCTCGTGCATTTACCTTATTTCGCGGTAAGTAGGGCACTGCTGCTGACAATTGACAATTTCAACGTTGTCAGACATTAAGGTATGACTCTGACATATATTGTCACTTGACTTTAGTGTCCCTTTATTACAAACCCTTGTCAAACCGCTGCAAAAGCATTTACAGACCTATGGTTAAAGTTAGTAAGGACCCGATGCAATTCAAGACACATATACTGCCAGTACGGCATGACATTTTCACTAGATAACTGACTGAACACAACAGTTCACCTGGTGGGCATTAAGCTGAAAGTGCATGGTGTGCTTTTTCGCGAGAAAAAAAAAAAAAAGAAGCAATGCACAGGCAACAGCGGCATTGCCATGGACACAACAGCAATGCAGCGGAATTCCCTGAGTTGCTGCACAACATAGGACAACAAACCGTACATTCAATTTGAAGGCCACTACAATAAAAAAAATTTTGGTGCAGTTACGAGAAGGCAAAATTTTTTTTTCAAGCATATTTATGTAGTTTCATTTCAATCAGACACATTATGCTTAGGACTGTGCAGCACTCGCCAAGAGAACAAGGGCAGAAGTGCGCACGACTTGCACTTATGTTATCAGTGCATGTCGTGTGCCCTTCTTTGGTCTCGCGTACTTTTTGAGAGTGCTGCACAGTCATAAGCATGAATACACACCAACCAGCTCAATTTTTCATCCTAAGGCGCATTACATGTGAAACTGCGCACCCCAAGCGGTAGCTTGGCCTTACGCAACACCGAGCAGTACCTTGGCCTTCTGATTGATTGATTTGTGGGGTTTAACGTCCCAAAACCACCATTTGATTATGAGAGACGCCGTAGTGGAGGAATCCGGAAATTTTGACCACCTGGGGTTCTTTAACGTGCACCCAAATCTGAGTACACGGTCCTAAAACATTTCCGCCTCCATCGGAAATGCAGCCACCACAGCCGGGATTTGATCCCGCGACCTGCGGGTCAGCAGCCGAGTACCTTAGCCACTAGACCACCGTGGCGGGGCTATCTTGGCCTTCTGCAGCACCAAGTAGTAGCTTAGCCTTCTGCAGCACCAAACGATAGCTTAGCCTTTCGCATGCCAAGCAGTATCTGCTTGTTTACCAGAAACATTCTTGTTGAATGCGTGTGCTGGCTGCGCCGAGACACACAACGAGTTGGGCTATCTGGTGTCATAATAAGAAACCAAATGACACATGACTCCACTTGGATTCTGATTGGCTAACGTGCAAGGCATTTCAGCGCGATAGCATTAAAGAGCTTGTTTCGCAGAAATTTCGGCGTCTGTGTCCTTGGTTGCAAGCGAAAAATAATCTTGTGCGTGAATAAAAGGTCGAGAAACATACAAAAAAAAAAAAATTCTGGGTCTTAGTAGGGATCAAATCTGAGTCGTTTGCATGGTAAGTGGGTGCTCTAGCACACAGCCACATGCCATCTTGTGAATACAGCGAAAACTTCCTCTGCTTAGAAATGCACTGAAAGTAACATTCATGCTTTTTCAAACACTCGCGTCCTGTATACGTGCTTCACAATACGACATGAAATATCGCAGTAATAATGCATGGTACAAGTGTGCATTGTCATCCGGCATCAGAAGAGGCAATTATCATAATGACTTTATTGTTTGAAGGCAGTCACCCACTATAAAAGGCACACACGTAACTGCACTTATTCCCTGAAGGCCACACAGTGGGTGCACAGCAAGCAAAAAAAAAAAAAAAAAATTCATTCACTAAGCATTTGAAGTACGCACTAAAAACAGGCTACTCCTAACATGTTCAACTTTTAAAGAGAAAGCTCAAGAGTCCCCCCCCCCCCCCAATTTTTTTTCCTACTTTGTCTATAAAATCGCACCGGCGCGATTTCGTACGAGATAAATCCTGTTGGGTATCATCCAAATGACACAGCGCACTTCAACAACCACACATTAATTGCGCCTGACATTGCACAATGCAGTTCCACTTTATTATTTCCCAGCACACTTTTTCTATAACTCTGTCACTGGTCCTGTAAGCGTGTAACCACGACCAGAACGTCTGCAAACAATCACGATTATTTCAGAAGCTTCCGATAAACAGCACACCCAGCACGAACAATATAGCTTTTTGCTGGAACTAACTTGGCCACCAACGACAACGCTGAAGTCTTCGATGCCATACGTCTAGATGCAGATGTACTTTACCGCTTATCAGATTACCTACGACTAACGACTCTGGTTGCTTTCGCTGCCCTTTGTGTGTTGCTTTTATTACTGCGAGGGCACAAGTACGGCCGATAAGGGTCCTTAACATTACCAGCTGTGTTTGCCTGTCTTCGTTGTCCTTACCACATGGACAAGATTGAAAAGCTGATGAAAGATATAGTTATGAAGGACCAGCAAGATATGGCCATGCTGACAGGCACACGAACCCGTATGGGGAACCTGCCGGGCACTAAAGGTCCATTCCCCAGCATGCCAAGCTGCACAGAGAACCTCTTACTTGGCCACGTCGCTGCAAAAGTCCTCGAGGAACTCCAGCTTTCTCTGGTAGAAGGTGAGCTTGTCAGTGGCCGGCAACTGGGTATTGGCGATGGCCATGTCGAAGGCCTCCAGCACCAGGCCTTCGTCTGGTGGGCACTTCTCGTACCCCAGGTCGGCGAAGTTGCATGTAGAGTCGCGCGTTCAGTCTGCCGCCACCGAGTGCCAACAGGAGACGACCGCCGTGGCAAGCAGCAGGTTGAGCAAGTCAGCATGATACCGGACAGCCAACAGCCAGAGATGATTTTTGTCAACGTCCGAGTAGAGGGGTGCCGTAGCAGGGTGAACAAGGAAAGCAAGGGGGAAAGAGAAGGAAGAAAGAGAACAGAGCACAAGACGTTAGACATGCATTGAAGCCTGCAGCACAAGAGCGCCGAGTGGCATTCGATTTTTTTTCGTTTATTACTCACTCCTCTGCCCCCAGCTTCCGCTTCGTACCCCCGAGAGTTGGTCGCAGCTGTAGTCGCAGAAGACGTGTACGCACACATGTTGTATAGCGGGGCAGAGGGGAGAAAAATCAACTGTCCTACCTGTACAGCTCAAGTGCTATGCCGGCCATGGACTATCTAGGGTGTAGCCAGACCTGCGGTTTCCATTTCAGAGTCTAACGAGGCTAAGCAAAAACAGTGGCGTCATTGGGCTGGTTTGTCGAACACACTCAAGAAACATTTCGATCGCTTTGGCCCAAGTAGTTTGCCTCAAGCAATCTTGTCTTCAGCCCTAGGCCTTTGATATTCCGAGGCCTACATAACAGTGAAGAGTCCAACGTCGCTAAGCAGGTGTCACTCCGTTGGTTCAAGTGCATAGAACACAAGGCTCGCTTCAGTCCAACTAGTTTGCCTCAATAATCTTTATCCAACCTTATGCCTTTGCAATGCAGAGGCTTATGCGAAAAACATCATTTGTTGATAACACAGCAAGCTCGAGCGCAGCTAGTGCTGCAAACCTCACTAACCGAAATGAGGCACTACTTTCTGTGCCCTGTTTCACTCAACCAAGCCTTTCTTTCATACATTTCCGATCAGTCAGGTTGCTATGGCTAAACACAGTCAACAGGGCTCGCAATTTACAACACCAGTCACCGGGTTGACGAAGGAAGGCGGTCGTCGATGACTGAAACCACTGTGGTTGCGGACGAGAAGAAAAAAATTGAAGGAAGGAAAAAAAAAAGCAGAACTTTTGTCAGCATCTTGCCGAGCGAGAGTAGGGTGAAAATGGTGCCAGACCAACTCACCGGCTCCCGGTCCAGGGCCTCCTTCAAGACTTCCTTAGCATCTTCCAGCTTGTTCTGAACCTGACGGAAAAACACCAGACACAGAACAAGCCGGTTAGAACTTGACGTCGTAAGGCACGTAGATTTTGAACAAGAGCTCTTTCAGTGTAAATCACGGACCGACGCGTTGCTGCACGCAGTCCAGACATGTGCTCAGCCCATCGAAACGATTCATGTGCGTCGAACGACTCAGTCCCAATTTTAGTCACATGCAAAGACATCACCAGAAGCTTACGTTAATCTGCTGCATCTTATAGCTGAGTAAGTTTTATGAAAGCAGGAAGACTCAGTAACAGAGGTGTTAATTTCACCGACGTCCCACTTAAAGCGGAAGGGCTTTGCACCATGTCTGAAGTGCCGCAGCAGTCACGGAGGGCCAACCTAGCACACGGCGCTAATGATTACCTGAAGCCACGACTTAGACGGAGACCGCACCAAGTGTCTTTTTTCTCTCTCCAACACAGCGAGGGCCCTTCACACATTGACAACCCCGTATGAGCAATAAAAAAGATAGAAATACCGAAAACCGAGACAAAAAGTGTTCATGCAACAGTCCGCAACCCCGTGGTTCTGGGGGGTGGTGGGTGAGACCCGACTCACCTTGTGGAGGAACCGGGCCAGCTTGCCGGCGAAGTGGCTCTTGAGCGTCGTGCTCTCGGTCTGCGAGATACACTTGCGGTACAGCTCCTCCACTTTTTCAAGGCAGCCGCGCCGCCGCTCCACGTTGATCCTGCGCAGCGTCGGCTCCAGCAGGTCAGGTATGCGCGCCTCCATCTCTGCCAGGATGGTCGAGGCCTCCTCGAAACGACCTGAGATAGAGAGCTCCAACTCACTTCCGATACTGGCCTCTGATGGCAACCACATGAGCCCAGCTGCCAGCATCCACCACCGAATTGAGACTCGTCTACCAACCGAAAAATGCAAGTTCTGCCCGCAGAACCTTAGCACGCTTTTCCTGCACCATTTCCACTTTAACTGGAAGTACTTTTGCTCGGTTAGGGTAAATACAATAGGCTCTCAGAAAACAAAAATCTGTTAAACAAACCTGCTGCTGAAACAGAACTGCCTCTGATATGACTGATTTTGTATCTGTGTTCTGCATTCCATGTTCGTTTTCTGGTAAACAGAACTTCTGTTAACTAAAACATATTTACCATAAAAACCCACGTATAATCTGGACCCACATAGTCAGAGGTGTATTTCTGAAATAGAAAACGAGAGGGTACAAAAAAAAAAAATGTTCGCTCTAATAATGCCCAAGTAAAACAGGAACTAAATATACTCAAACCTCGTTATAACGAAGTTGAAGGGGAGCCACAATTATTTCGTTATAGCCATTATTTCGTTATATCGATTATAACAGTTTGTAGCAATGCTCAGATGGGTGCACACCTATAAGCATGGAAAGAAGGAAACTGGCCTCCCAGCCCGATGTACCGCTACGCGACCACGAGTGTGCCGAAAAATAAACACAGTACAATCTCACTGATTCGAACACGCTTAATTCGAACTTCCGGTTGGTTCGAATGCACACTGTGGTCCCGTCAAAGCTATGTGTATTCCAATGAGCGAAAACGCCCAGTAATTCGATGCGCAAGCACTTGTGACCTGTTAATTCGAACATACCGCAGCTCCGAAAATGCTCTCAGCACCATGCCCAATCCTGCAGCGGCACTTCTCAATGCTGCGCGTGAAGAAGAAAAAAAGACGAAGAAAGAAAAGACTGTGGCGGATTGTTTGCTCTCTCTCAAATGCCGATCTGCGACGCGCCTGTGCCACGCTTCTCCCTTTTCCGTCTCTGCACATAAAGACCCTTCTCCTTTCAAAGCTGCGGGCGAAGAGACAGAGAAAAAAGAAAGAAAAAGAAAGCTGTCGCAGAGACGCAGTGGTTGCCGTAGTCTTTAGAGAGTGTTGGCGCTAGACCTAGCCGTGGGCTACTATGCTTTGCAAACTACGTGAGAAATTGATTGATTCGCTGCAAGGCAAACGTGTGCAGACGCGCATCACCGATTACTTCAATTAATGACGGATGTCCCCTGATTTGTGAATAAAGGTAAGTATTCTGAAACTTCCCCATTGTGTGTTCTTATAAGTGAGAAGGAAATTGCTTTGCACCGCGGTGCCACTTCTCGGTCATGTGACCCGCTGAGCGCCACCTCAATCCTCTCCGCTGGCTTGTGAGCAGGAGGATCTCTCGGCCGCGCGTGGCGTGGCTGTAAGTCGGCGCGGGAGTTTTGAAAGAGCCGTGCCGAACGAGCGTCAACTCCACAGAAAACGGTATACTTAACACACTAAGGTCTTTTTTTTTCGATAGACTATTGATAGACTAATTTAGTTCATATATCTATTTACCGGTCAGTTTTAGTTCGTTACAACGAAGTTTAAAATGCATGGTTCTCAACGGAACTTTCAAGGGGAATTTTATTTACTTCGTTATATCCACTATTTTGTTATATCCTGTTACATTATAACGAGGTTTGAGTGTACAATCATTGACACACTGAATCCCCATCGTCTGATGCACGTTATTCCAAAACTCCCCTGTCAGAGATGTCCTCCCACAGCACTTCATGTTCAGTGCCATCGAAGTACTTTTTGAAGACACAACAAACGAGCGACTTTGAAATGCAGACCAATACTTTGGCTTTCTATGCACACATCATCATCGGCGTAATCTGTTTCAGCCGACTGGAAGGGGACTTGCAGCACTTGAGGACCTCGTCCACTGCGCTTGATGTAGTCCTCAAATGGTTCCTTTAGGCACACATGAAACAATTGCAGTTGGGATGTCCTCCCGAGTCAACGTGCTTGGCGCGAAGGAGTCACACAGCAGTCTCTTCATGGAGGTGACATCGAAACATGTCGATGCACAAGTATCGATGGGAGCCCCAGCAGAGCTACATTGCTCCCGAAGTCTGTCGATTTCTATTCAACATTGGCAAATGCTCCGTTTTTGGACCACTGCGAACTTCATCTCAGGGGGCTGCACACAAAGAGGACTTGCATTTCTATCCTCCAACAGCACTGCCGCCCCGCAGCAGAGTTCCCGATAATTTTGGCAGCTATGATCACCTTACTTTCAACAGTTGAATACTGCTTTCACGGTCTTCGTAATGTGTAGAATTGTGCCCGCCGTGATGTGCGCTAGTACCACCCAACGCAGAGGCATGATGATGACAGCTCCACGCAATGCTGAATCAGAAACTGTGAATTCTTGTGATGCGAATATAGTCCTGGGTTAAAATATCGCATCATAGAAACTAGAAAAGAAGAAAGAACGCCGGACTACACGCAGGTTCCCACGGTATTCTTGTTCTCCTCAATAACCAAGTTCACTCGGCTCAAGGTAGCAACATGCAGAGAAGATGCCGCGTGTTTGCCAGCGCAACTCGTCACTCTATGATGAGAATATAGACGCGCGCATGTTTGTGTGCACACGGCGATAAGATGCTGCGCACAAACAAATCGAGCACTTCTTGAAGGCACGATGAACGAGCACCTCAGGAATGCAGATTGATGCTTTGGCAATCCATGTGCACAGCATTGCTGGCGAGGCCCACAGTTTTTCAGGACTCTTAAGCACTTTATACATTCAAAAACCGCAACCGAATAAACTCACTATCTGAGAAAGTTTTTTAAAAGAGATTAACACTCGAAGGGTTTTTATAACATCCAGCCCTGTGGCCATGCACACCGTGACCGAATCAACTGCTCGGAGTCGTGGCAAGGCCTAACCATGCTCACGGCGCCGATGCACTGATAATATAAATCTGAAATTCGTCAACAAGTCATCGCCCTGGCAGATATGCGAAAAGAAAAAAGCCACACTGCATGCTCCATCGCAAGCAACGACTCGCATTGGTAAACGCACCCCTGGCCAAGCTCTTCGTGCAGCAGCGCCCCAAAATGCATGACCAAGCACACTGCATGGCGATTTTTTTTATTGTAAACTTTAACATTATGTTCTGGAAGTTCGAATAGTAAAATTCTGGTGCATATGAAATCGAAGGGCAGACCCTATTAGAAAAATATCGGAAGTTCAAATATTCCCCCACCCCTAACATTTCGGCTAATTCTCTGTACGAGGTGCAACAATGGCTGTGGGCAGAGCAGACATTTTTTCTAAGCTTGTAACTAAGTATGAACACCTGAAACATGATGAACCCAGTTTTTTTTTCACCCAAGCTAAGTGCCAACAATGGCTAAGTGCCTATGTGCTCCAACGGGTCATTTTACGGGTCACAAGCTCCTTCGCTGCCATGGTGCTATTGATGTCATAAAGTGCACTCACCGTGCTTCTCCTCATAGGCGGCCCAGGCAAGGCTGATGCTCGGCTTGCGCACCAGGTGTGTCGTGCATGCCCGCCGGAAGATTTCGTTTACCTTCTCCGGCTCCGCTGTGTCCAGATATTTAATGTACTGCAAAAAGTGAGAACAGGCTACAACGTTCAGGGGCGAAGCACTTTGGGGTCTACCGTATTTACTCGAAAACAGGTCGGGCACGAATATAGGTCGACCCCTACTTATAGTGTTCTACAAGAGAAAAAAAAATATTTGAATACAGCCGAGTCCGCTTATAACGAACCTGAGCCTGACGCGGCATCCGTTCGCTGTATCCCGAAGTTCGTAGTAAATGAAACACAGCTTTTAAAAAAGTTGCAAGTGAAAACACAAAATTTTTTGCCCAGAAATGTCCGTGATGCACGTGTTTTGAAGAGCAGAAGCGATAAGGGCAGTCTCGAGTTTATTTCAAACGGCAGCGTGCTCTTCGCCGAGGCTCGTGGCACAAGCTGCATGAGGCACTGGCTCCCAAGTTTCGTCATTCTCGCAATCCCATTCCTCCAAATCACTCCTGCCGCATACTTAATTCACAATGCCCTAATCCATGCACGGTTCCGCGGTGTCGGCATCATCATCGGCTGTAATTAAACCATCACAACAGATGTCCCACTCGCTCTGCCAGGTCGGAAGCGACGACGCCCTGCCACAAATCGCCGTTGGAGTGGTCCCGTTCGGAAGCTTCAGACTTGGCATCGGGCCTGACGTCGACGAAGTCGGCCTCACGAAAACAGTTTTATGCGCATGACCCCTTCACCGTCGCCTACAAAATATTAACCATCTCTACAGCTGAATACCGGAACGCCGGAAGAGGCAAGTTGGCTGCCAGGTGATAGCTATGAGCAAGCGCTCCGCAACCCGGCACCCAACGCGCAGATTATGCCCAAGCCAAGGGGTCACGCTTTCAAGGTTTAGTTGAGCGGCAGGAAACAGCATGCAAGGCCTCCCGTCTGCCATACTGACCATACACGCACACCGAGAACGAGCAAGATGCGCACACCCAACACACATGCCGGAACGCGTGGTACAGCTCTGGGCCCGTTTCTAGTTAGAAAACAAAACTTCTGGATTCCCTCTTTTCAGGGACTTAAGGGCAGCTTGCTTAAAAGGTCCGCGAAACACGCAACTCGCGCGTAGAAAAAATTGAAAGAGCGTCTGTGCGCACAGACGTCTAAGCAGGGCCGCCTGGATCGGCACGCGCGCTGGTGTTCGAAAAATTGTTTTGTTGCACGAGCAGGGTTTGCGTGTCCTCACCGACTTCGATATTTCGCAATTTGTTCTGCGCAAATTAACAGCCGTTCTTACGCTTTCGCACGCGTGCAGAGGGCATGCTGAGCCGAGTGCAAAGTGAGCGAAAACAGGTCTTAAACACGAAAACAATTGCGAACTATCAAAGTGGGTGGGGTAGCTTACGCGCCTGCACTAGAATGATACGATAAGACAAGACGCAGACGATCGAATACCGACGATGTTGGCAAATGGTCTGGTCACTCCAGGCCGACGACACCAACGACAGTACCAGCGATCAAAAACAGGGTAGATGACCGACCGGTCTTCGAAAGATCGGTGGCAGTGTGTAAATACGGGCCTTGTCTAGTGATGCGGGGTGCTCAGAGTAGGGGGGGGGACAAGAGATTGAAGGGTGCGTAACAAAGAGCGATCGGGGAGAGCGGCAACAAGAGGGGCGCCGAGGCACGGTCGGCATTTAACAATAAGAATCTATGGGCACCTCGCCGATGATGCCTCATCCGTGGTCGAAAGTGATTTCCCGGGAAGTCGGCAGAGCGCTGACTGCGTTTGCTGTAACCGATCGGGGGCGCTTGGAGATGTTCGTTGTAAGTGCGATTTTGTGTCATTAAGACAATGTATATTTTCACGGTCACGAGGATATTGTTCGTTTTAAGCGAAAGTTCGTTTTAAGTAGGGCCGTTATATGTGGGCTCGACTGTATATGCCGACCAATGTTTCTTTTTTTTTTTTTTTAGTTAAGAAACAGAGAAATTGAAACGGGGGTAGCACATCTTTATTAGCATAACTCAGCGCCCTAATAGCTGCCAGGGCTTCCCTAAACACGTCGTCTTTGCTGCACCGCTACTGATTGTTGGGTCACGAAAGGCACGCCGGCGACAATTTGCACGCAAACAGGTGGTCCCGCTGCTTTTGCCAATCCCTAATCAACATCTCGTTTACAGAGAATTCGCGCCTACACGGCACAATTGCTCGAGTCCTCAGCAAAAAGTATCACTTGGCACTTGAAGTCACCTGTGTAGCTCTGCTGACATAACATCGTCGCAACCGAGCATAACCGAATGGCAGTGGTGGTTAGAAGGCGCCTAATTTCTGCTGCCCGGTAGGGAGCACGGTGGAGCGCCTAAAGCAAATGCGAACCGTTACGTCAGTCGTAAAATGAACAAAGCACTGAGGCGGCGATGGCAAGGCCTCAGGCCAGTGCGGCTGCGTGCCAGAAGGCAGTACCGGAAGCACGGCTAGCGGTCTAGGGACTTCACGGCCAATACCTAGGGAAATCGTGGGTTTTATGCGAACGCGGCGGAGCGGCTGCATTTCGAGGGGGCGGTACGTGGCTATTGCATAAATAACTTTTTTCTCAGTTAGGTAGTCAAAATTGAGGGAGGTCTTTATTTCAGATTTTATGGTATGTAACATGCGTATGCAGCAGGAACCGCTAGAATAACAGCCGGGGCGACATTAGAACGCCATAGGCTCGGCGCTTTTGGTTGGTTCGACCATGAATATAGGTCGAGATTCTTTGGTCAGGAATATAGGTCGATGGCTGGTTATGAACAACATTTTCAGAAAAAAAAGGTCAACCTATATTTGAATAAGTACGGTAGGTTTTTCCGTCTTGCGCTGTTCGGCACAGCACAGGCAAGGTAGCCAATGGCGATAATTCTGAGAATCTATGGGCGCCTCGCCGATGATGCCTCATCCGTGGTCGAAAGTGGTTTCCATCACGGATGAGGCATCATCGGCGAGGTGCCCATAGATTCTTATTGTTAAATGCCGGTCCTGCCACAGCACATGCAAGGTACCGTCTATATACCATCACAATGACATGATGACGATGAAGAATAAGTGCGTTCTAGACCATACATTTTCTTTCTGCTCACCCCAGCACATGCAGCGACTCAACGTCTGCACAGAAAGCTACCTCGTAGGTGAGCACTCGGGAAACAGTGGCAAACCGGTAACGCGGACAACAGTCTGCTACCCCAGAGTTGAGGGCGCTGGAAGCGGCGGCTCAACGGCCCAAACACCTCGTATATACTACACTCAAACCTCGATATAACCAACCCTCATCTAACGAAATACCAGTTATAACAAAGTAAATTAAAAATAGTCTTGCAACAAATGCAGTGTTAGGACTAAATCTTCATAATAAATTTTCGGATATCACAAACTTATTTTCGTGTAATATGCAACTTTGCTATCATGAGGTTTGAGTGTATACACACGCGTTGCCACCCACCTTCATACTCGAGTGGGCAATGTGGGTTATTTACAGTAAGAACGATCCCCAGTCCTTCCCCCAGTGATCATGGCTCACTTTGTAGAGATGCATAGATTTTGTTTTTCTTGCAGCCCACACTGCTAAGGGAAAAAAAAAAAATTTGCACAAACCATCGATAACAGCTGCTTGTGGAGGTATATAGACAAAGGGTTTAGAAAGGTTAGAAAGGCTACTGGTTGTATTGAAGAAACAATGCAATAGTTAGAGTAAACCCGTACTGTGAGGATATGTACGTAGCATATGTTGCGCCACGGTGCAATTGAGTTGAGGATGGAGCTTTTAACGTGCATGCATCTTCGTAAAAACAGTTGGCTTAAAAGGGCACACAAGCTCCAAACTGCAGCACCAAGCAAGCGCCAAAACCAAGAAAAGTTTAGCTTCGTAAAATGATCCAGTTAATTATACCCATTATGACTTTGCTTCATTGAAGTGAGGCTTTTAACTGCATACCTATGGGGATATCGGAATAATTTTTAATTTCTTGGCGATATTCATTATTTTGTCACGACACAGCTCCTACATTTCCAGAGATTTGATGAGGAAATAACGACTGCCAATCCATGAGCGAATTAGCATCGTTACCTTCATCCACATGTCTTCGTACAAGGCGCAGGCGATGAGGCATCGTTCGTAGAGAATCACAGTCCTCGCGTGGTTGCCGTTCTGCGTCTCGAAGTCGAGGTACTCGCGCCAGTTCTTCAGTTGCAGCCGTTCCAGGGGCTTCACGTGAAAGTAGGGCCGTTTGATCTGAGGAAGAAGGGGGCACGCAAACGACAGTTACGCGTAGTTAAGCAAATGGAATATCGTCAGTTATAACATGAAGAGACTGGCAAAGTACATTTTGTGTAACAAAGGGTTCCCTTTGCCAAGAGAAGTGCAAGGGGTCAGCAATCGAAGTGAGAACCATCTGAAGTGGAGGCAGTTACTTTGTTACTGCAATATTTTGGTATTGCAAAAAAAAAAAGCATTTTTAAATTGTTCTATGTGTTAACTTTACAAAGTGTCTGTGCTACAAAGAAATTACAGCACACTCACCCCTTCTTCGAAGGCCCACCGTCGACCGACTTCGGACTCGTTCGCTTTGAACAGCTCTCGCCTCTTTTCCACCACCTTGTCCCGGATGTACTTGGCCTCATTGTCGTTTTTCTGCAAGAAAAAAAGATTATCTTGCGTGCTAAAAGTTGAGAATGTGTTGCCAGCACAATGGTCATTCAAAGGCATACTATTCTCGTGCAGGCATGATGGCCTACTGGTACAAAGGCCGACTGTCCTTATGCAGGCACTAAGGCCTACTGGCACAAGGGCCTGCTCACCTTTGCGAAAACAAAGGCCTTCAGTTCACATGCAAGAACGTTGTCCCACTAGCACGAAACCCAATCGTCCTTGGGCAGGCATGAAGGCCTGCTGTCCATGTGCAACAACGAAGGCTTACAGTTCTTGTGAACGCATGATGTCCTACTACACTCAAAACCTCATTACAACAAAATTGCATTTTACATAACAATAGGTTTGTTATGTCTGATAATTTGTTATAAAGGAATATTTCCAGCACTATTTATTGCAAACACTATTCTTTGTTTACTTCGGTATAACCGAAGGTTCGAGTGTAGCACAAAGGCTAACTGTCCTAGTGTGAGCACGTACGCCTACCGTCCTAATGCAAGTACAGTCGAATCTCGATAATTCGAACTTGAAGGGGCCCGAAAATTTGTTCAAATTAAAAGAAGTTCGAATTCATCAGAGCTAAATAAACGGAGGGCTCTCCGTGCAGTGGCGCATGTGCACTGAGCTGACACACGAGGGGGAAGTTTCAGAAGACTTACATTTATTCACAAATCACAGGACATCCGTTATTAATTGAAGTAATCGGTGATGCACCTCTGCACATGTTTGCCTTGCAGCGAGTCAATCAATTTCGCATGCAGCTTGCAAAGCATTTCTACTTTGGCTTCAGCATTCTCCTGGCAAGCGAAGTTGCGCGTGGAAATGTGCTGTTGTCAGATGGGAAGGAGACGCAGGGCGAAGCGCTTTGTTCCAGAGTCCAACGTAACTCATCAACCCATCATGGGTTGATGAGTTACGAAGTGCCGGTACGTCTGTCCCGGCACTTCTTCCCCTCCCCCGGCACCAACACTTTCTAATGATGATGACGACTGCGTACTAGAGAGCCGCAGCATGGCCAGCACGTGACGAAAAAGGAGAAGAGTCTCCATGAAGCAGATCGGCATTTTGAGAGAAAACCAATACTCCACGGCAGCTTTTTTTTTTTTTTTTTTTTTTGCTCTCTTCGCGCGCGTCGTTGAAAGGAGAAGGGTTATGTGGCAGAGACCGGAAAGGGGAAAGCGTGGCCCCGGCGCATGACAGATACCCTTCTCAAGGCGTAGACCTGTGCTCCCGCAAGGGGCAAGGGCTGCAGAAGATAGGGCCTTTTTCCTTTCCTTCAACCTCACATTCATTCAACCCAGCAACAGCTTTTGTTTCCTCTCTTTTTTTTGCCCACGGCATTGGAAGGAAAAGGGTCTTTACGTGGCAGGGACGGAAAAAGAAAAAGCGTGACACGGGCGCATCACAGATCGGCATTTGAGAGAGCACACATTCCACTGCAGCATTTTCTTTCCTTTTCATTTCCTTCACGCGAAGCGGTGAGGTGTCGCAGGTGCCGCCGCAGGATTGGGCGGGGTGCTGAGAGCATTTTCGGGAGCGCGGTTTGTTCGAATTATCGTCGAAAGTGCTTGCGCGTGCGAATTACCAGGTGTTTTCACCCATTAGAATACACATAGCTTTGACGGGATTTCATCATGGGTTTGAATTAACCGGAAGTTCAAATTATGCGTGTTCGAATTAATGAGATTCGACTGTATATTATTCCCATGCAGGCTGTAGTCGATAGACATGAAGGTCAATACAGATATATAGAGGTCTACACACTGCATTCTACAAAGTTCCGCAATTCCAACATGAGTTCCACTGAACTGCTCTATATAGTGCAAACTTTAGGGATGAGAAACAAGAGATAAGACATGATATTGTCCCAGAAGCTTGCACTACATAAAAGTTCAATGAAATACCAACTGGCCCAAACAAGCACCTTGCTAAGTTACATTGGCTCCATACATGAAAATAGGCTGTTTTAGTGGACTCAAAACCTCCCTTTTAGGGATCAGGGCACAAAGAAAGCTCAGCTCATCATATGGCCACTCTAAAGAAAACAAACAGTATTGGCAGAAAGGGAATCTGCAGCACCTCCAGTTGTCCACATGCACCAGAAAGTGTTGCACAGTAAGCAAGCCATTATAGAAATATTCTTTTGTGTGTTACTTTGGAACCTCTCGTCCATTCTCAGCATTACTATAATCTAAAATGGTGCGAATGAGGTGGGCGGAAGCAGACACTAAAAAAGAACAGACATAAAATGCCTGAAGTTAAGCATATCATTTATTAATACTTATTTTAAAACTCATTGCAGATTAAAACCTGAGAGTAAATTGTACTATCAGTGGATTGAAGTTGGACAGGCACCAGTCTAGCAAACATGACTTGGCAACCTATATAACCCTCACACCAACAATGGCCAAATGTTAAGAGGCAGTGGTACATAACAAAACTACACTAGTATGAAATGTCTAAATGTGGCAAGAACAGATAACACTAAAAAACAATTTGTACACGTAGACTAATCTAGCACAGTCCTTAACATGGACATATACCATATTTACTTGCGTAATCCTCGCACTCGCATAATTCTTGCACCCCTCACATCGCCCAACAAAAATACGATTTCTTTTCTTCCTCGAGTAATTATCGCAACCCCGAAAACTGCTGCAATAATGTCGTCTGCTCTCTCCAGCCACTGATGATGATAGCGCACGCCATCTGGCGCTATCTCTTAAGCATCAAGCGTACTATTGCACAGAGATTCAATCCAATCCAAGCCAAGCCAAAGTGGTAAGTGCGCGTTGCGGCGTGTTTTGTATGTTGCGTCGGTAACCTTGTCAAGTTATGAGGCGATACTGAAGCTGTACGGCTGCTTTGAAGTTGCAAGTGATAGATCATGGACTAAAGAACGGCAACAGGGCCGCCGGTAGGCCCTTTGGAGTCTACGAGTTTTGTGTTCGCTACTGGTGATGGCTGCTGAAAGCCACCAAGACGCATTAGGCCTGCCGTGTGCCTAAAAGTGGGATTGGTGGTAAACTTTATTTCTTCAGAAGGGAACTGCGAACAATTCTGTTAAATAGCCATCAGCCCAATACTGACGTCTCACGCTTACCTTTTGAGGGCTCCTGTTGAGCAACGAACGCTACCGCTACGCCCGCAACGTCCGCCAGCTTTGCGTATGGTATTCTAATTCTGGACTATTTGCTTCCACTCTTTGTGTCTCAACTAAATCTTGTCTTGTGTTGAATCCTGCTTTTATTGTTGAGGTAAGTTTTAATAAGTACTTAAAGCTTGCTATTAGTTGCTGGTGTGAGAATCCCGATTTGTGGCCACTTTGTTTTCTTTTTCGCTCCACATTTTCGTAGAAAGTTTTCCCCGCGTAATTCTGGCACCCCCCAACTTTTCATCGGTTTTCCGCTAAAAAAAATGCGAGTAGATACGGTATTAGTGCTACTTGTGTCATATAAACATCGCAGAACTCTCACTCCAGTGTTGCTTTGCATAACTCGCCCCTTTGCAAAGCCACTGTGCATGCACCCTTCCCCTGGTGGGAAAAGTCACAAAAGTCCCCTTAATCTCGGAGGCTTTGTTTCTGGCAATACCAGTTGTCTTGTCCCTTACCAAAGCCCCACCAAAACGCCAGAGGGAAAAGTTAGATTACCCTACATTTGAATAAATAAGAAAAGTAGACATCTGTGGTGCCATTGTAAGCATCCCAAATAAACACGGAGGCGTTTCGTTCTCTCGAGACAGACACGAGTGGTCAGATAACGTCACGGCACTTGACACAGCTCACATGGACCAATCATGCGTTTCGAAAGAGCAGAACGCTTACTTGCTTGTTTGAAAGGCGTAAAAGATCGCTCTGCTGCTCAACGTTAGCCTTGTGCCGGCCATATACAGTACACACTCCACTTCGGATGCTGCTGCACTAGCCAATTCCATAAACTCACCAGCGCCTTGGTGTCCTCCTTGGTGGCATCCTCAACACCCGGGGGTGGAGCATCGTCTACGCCAGGCGGAGGTGCGTCACCGTCGTCCTCATCGATCTCCATCTGGGCAGCGCCCGCCTCGTCGCTGGACTGGCCGGATGGCCCCACGGGCGTGGCTTTGCGCATCGACTCCATGTACTGCTGTCTCAGCTGGAGGAACTCGTCTGTCGACAGGATGTCCTTCGGCAAATGCGTCTTCACGTGCTCCTGGAACCTACGCAGCAAAGTCATTGTTCAGAAAGCGTGTCACGCGCATGGTGTAAGATATTATGGTATTTACTTGCATAATTTGGGCATCACTTTTCTTGTTTTAGGGGCTCCAAGAAGGGAGTGTGCAAATTACGTGGTCCTTTCGTGAATGCATATGAAATAAGGTGCAGTAGCTTGACGCACGCAGTATACACATAAAAAACTAATAAATTTTAGCACAAATGAAGAGTACTTGTTTACTTGACAGAATTAGCACATATTTTAACAAGTCAGATCCGGTCACACACGGGCTAGTCGAATCTGATTGAGAGGACTGATTGAGAATCATCGTCATGGATGCTGTCACCCCCCTCCGAAAGTGCATCGCCCTCGGTTCTGTCCAGCGCATTCGAATGTCCCATTTTATTGAAGCTTTTCTTGACAATGCTGGCAGAAACTGGGTCCCACGACATATAACGGCCCCAAATAAAACGAACTTTCACTTAAAACGAACAATATCCGTGTGACCGTGAAAATATACTACATCGGTTCAATGGCACAAAATCGCACTTACAACAAAAGTCTCCGATCGCCGCTTATCGGGTACAGCGAGCAGAGTCGGCGCTCTGCCGACTTCCCGGGAAACCACTTTCGACCACCGATGCGCACAGGCACTCTTAGGTTTTCCTACGTGCGAGTTGTGTGTTTTGCGAACCTTTCAAGCAAGCTACTCAACCTGCCTCCTTCCTGTGTGTTTTGGTTTTTAAGGTCGCCCTCCCGCCGCATCCTCCCCTCTCTTCACTCTATCGCAACTTCTTGCCCTTGTTCTCTCGCAAATATGCTCTCCTCTCTTGATCACAACCCTTTCGCCCATCCCCACTGCTCCGCGACGCCAGCCACACTGGCTCGAATTAGTTGTTTTCTGACTAGAAACGGGCCCAGAGCTGATCCACATGTTCCGGCATGTGTCGCGTGTGCGCGTCTCGCTCATTCTTGGTGTGCGTGTGAGGTCAGGATGGCAGATGGGAGGACTTGCACGTTTTTTCCTGCTGCTTAACAAAACATCGAAAGTGTGACCGCTATGCTTGAGCGTAATCCGCACGTTAGGTGCCACGTTGCGGAGTGCTTGCTCATAGCTGTTGACCTCCTGGCAGCTAACTTGTCGCTTCGGGAATCGCGGTATTTAGGTGTGGAGACGGTAAATATTTCGTGGGCAACGGTGACAGCTACATGCGCGCGAAACTGTTTTTGCGAGGCTGACTTCGTCGACGTCGGGCCCAATGCCGAGCCTGAAGCTTCTGAATAGGATCACTCCAGCAGCGATTAGTGGCAGCGCGTCGTCGACTCCGACCTGGGAAGCGGGTGGGACATTTGTTGCGATGGTTAATTGCGGCCGATGATGATGCAGACACTGTGAAACCGTGCACAGATTAGGGCATTGTGAATGAAGTAAGTAACTAAAGCGGTTTGGAGGAATCGGATTGCGAAAACGACGAAACTTGGGAGCCAGTGCCTCATGCAGCTTATGCCACGGGCCTCGGCGAACAAGCACCCTGCCGTTTTAAATGAACTCGAGACCGCTCTTATCGTTTTTGCTCTTTGAAACATGTGCATCACAGCTTTTTTGGGCGAAAAAAAAAGTTTGTGTTTTCACTCGCAACTTTTTAAAAGCTGTGTTTCATTCACTACGAACTTCGGGATACAGCGAACGGATGCCGCGTCAGGCTCAGGTTCGTTATAAGCGGGCTCGACTGTATTAGCAAGCGCGGACTCTTCTGCCTTCTCCTGTACTGATCACGCCAATCGTGACACGTTCATGAACTTCACGCTGATAAGCTTGTCGGTGGCACGATTCCGTGTTTTCTTCGGCAAACTTTATAACAGCAAAATGGAAATTTTGCCATACCTATAATTACTGTAGCCTATCGCAAGAGAACAGTAAAAACGCGACGAACGAATGGCAAAGTGTAAGCTTCCAAAATCAACCAAGTGTGCGTTGCAGCACAAACGCAGAGAATGAAGGGAACAGGTTGGCGCAACAGGCCCAGGCCCAACAGGCCCTCACACGCGTCCGGTGTCGAAAGTTGTCTGTGCCGTGATGCGAGCGTGCATTCTTATGGTGGTAGAGATGAAGAGATAGAGGGCAGCAAATGCTCGAGCAGTTCTGGCAACCCGTCAGCGTAGACCTATCAACAGGTATGGGTGTTTGGGTATGGTATTCTAGAGACCCTAGTGCGGGTGAAGTCTTCGGAAGAAGAGAGTTCGCACTCGCAGCCCTTTTGACTGCGCTTGCCCGATTGGCGGAGTGTGCGCCCAGTGCGCTCGTTCGTGGAATCAAAAGGTGCAATGTCTCTAAGTGCGCTCGCCAGGGAGTTGGCTCGGGTGGGTCGGAGAGTGCAAAATATGCCAGGAAACACTTTTTTTTTTATAAGACTGAGAAAATATTTAGGGGTACACAAACTATGCGAGTAAATATAACATACACTTTTCAGGTAAGGACGCTTGCAAGACCCAATCAAAGAGATCAAGTACTGTCACCCACCATGTGGCTTCCTGAGTAACGATGTCATGAGGCCATCAGTTCAGTGACAGCAGCAGATATTTACTAGCAGGGCGATGCAAGCTTCACACAAAAAAGTGTTGGCTGCAGCAACCAGTGCTTCGCAGCACTGGCATGTTAGCAACTAAGCTGATAATGCATACCACATTTTCTGTGCACGACAAACGCGACATGTGCCATTGCCACTCTCCATGAAGGTTAGTTCCTAAACCAATGGTATACAAAGCGTTTTCTCCCTTGAAGTTGTCTCGTCCTGCCGATAGAGGGCTGCTGCCGTCACTGGATTGACAGACGTGCGCCGTTACTCTATTTTGTCTAACATACCTCACAAGCAAACTGAGAAGTGTTTACACATACTATACATTACATCATTATCATCAGCTACCGCACACACACTGTAGCACAGGCTCGGGTAACAGTGTGGGAACTAGACAGAAAGAGACAACGATGAGTGCTCGCCGTCGTCCACATCCGGTATGTGTGCCGTTACCTCACCATCATCAAATCTGTACAAAACTACACCACCAATTTCGGAGCTGAAGGAAACACAAACAAAAAAAAAAGCTTATATGTAGTGCCTTCCTTCGCACATTGTTGTAGTCGGTGGAATCTTGTTAATACAATGCTGCCCGATACATTTAGTGGAATAAAATCAAATCTTTTTCTTTTTCTCAATAATGTCCCACAGGAGCTATGTATTCTCATACACTTGAAGTAATTTATTTTCGTTCGAAATTGCATATGATGGCAGAAGTAGGCTTCTACTGACACTTGCAAACCACATGACACTTTTGACACTTGTAAACCTGGTGTAACAGCTGAAGCACTAAATCTGCACTAAAGCAGACACTACGCTTCGTTGAACTGAGAAAGTTCCTGGTTTCTATCGGAAGCGTTGCCTTTGGCCAATTTTTATCTGGATCTCCTATATAACTTAGAACCAACAAACCAAACACACTGATATACCTGCAAGGCGAAATAAGCTACACTGAACATGAAAACCACTTCATATAGAAATGAACGAACATAACTGGCTGGTGCATCTAGGAGAACTATCAATTATCACTATTATTGCGTCTTGCAAAAAAAAAAAAAAAACCCACACAAGCCCTGAAATTTAGACTTCTTTCCTGGTGCATCTATGGTTACGAAACAGCAAGCATTAAACTGAAGACCGATAGTAACCAACTAGTACGACAGCTGCTCACTTCTCGAAGTGGTGTCCGTAGAGCTGCGTCGGCACCTGAAGCACCCGCTCGTAGATGGCGGTGACCTCCTTGAGGTTCTTGTTCTCCAGCTCCCACGTGACGAACATGTCCCACAGACGGTCTGACCGAAAGTCCTGGCCCGACGACTCGATGGCACGCTCGAACAGGCTGCGGGACAAGGACACGCAGGTACAGACACGTCTTCAGACACTGCCACAGACTGGATGATAAAAGCACTTCGCCAGAAGCATTTGGCACACAATTGCTACGTGGCCAGTTATCCACAGAAAATACCAGTTTTCTCCACATCATGCTGGCTGTCGGTCAGTCAGAAATCCAACACAGTGCATCATTCGTAGCAGTACAAGTGCCCTGTACTTTTAACAAAACAAACAGCTAAACTAAACTCAATGAATTTCTTATATAAAGGTTTCAGTTTGGTCAAATAACCAGTAGCATTTAGTGCAAGTGAACACTAAATGATCATGGTAAATTAAAGGGGCATTGACACCTTTTTCAAGAGGTGAGTTTACCCTGCCATACAAATCACCTGTGAGTAGAGACAGTTGTCACCAAGCACTAAGCAGCGAATGGTGATACGATACTTTATTTTAATATTAGAGCCATTTTTCACATGGCACACCAAACGACATCGACAGCTTCACGTCAAGTACCAAAACATTCAAAATGGCCTCCTTTGCGTCAGAATTGAACTGAGCCACAATGCAGAATAACTGCTGTGGAAATATCACATCATGTGCGAGCACGTGACGAGAAGCTCATGCTGTTTGCTGACGTCAGGGTACACTAGGAACCAAAACTAGTTTTTTAAAAATATACTGTAATTACTTTTTTTAAGGATGCACTCCCGGTTAGCAGCCCATTTTCTGGGCTTCTGATGGCTTGGTCATTTACCTGATGCAGAGAAACGACAACTGCAGAGAAACGACAACTGAAAAGTTTGGTGTCAGTACCCCTTTAACAAACCAACCCCAGTGGGCATTTCTGCCCACTAATTCGGGTTCCCAAGTGTCAGTTTCAGAACTCTGTGAAAGCCCTCGCAAGCACGCTGCATTGCCTTACATGAAGCAAATGAAACTGTATTTCCTACGTGGCTGTCTTTTCTACTTGAAAGACAAGAGCACAGGAATATGAAAAATCGCTGCGTTTGCACGTGCCGCAGTCTCTCCAACACCCAATAAATCTTGCTATTTCGCTATACTGATACTAGTTCTTTTTTTTTCCGATGATCGTAGCCGCAGTGGGCCACAGGATGCTGCCTGCTGGTCTGAATTTGATGCAGAGACTGACAACAGCCATCTATAGCAGTTATTCAGCCCCGATTCCTAAAGTGTTCCTCCAAAAACACGTCCTGCTCGCTCCCTTCCCAAAACGCCTTTAAATATAATTAAGAAAACTTCATCCTTTTCATAGGTACCCTTCCCATTTGAGAGCCTGTGCAGCAACCTCTGTGGTATTTGACACACAATACAATAACCGCCAGTACCATCTTTGCTCACTTTTTAACCTTGGCGTAGTAGCCTTCCTCATCCTTGAAGTGCAACTTGACGAAGTTGATGTAGTGAATCCACAAGTCGACGCTCAGCGGAATGGCAGCGACACCTCGCTCGAACGTCTGGAAAAAAAGGGCACAATGTTGGCGCACGTCCAGCTTTGCACCTCGCGGTCGACGCGCAGCGCAACTGCACCGTTCAACGCAGTTTCTGCGGTACCTACCCAAAATGCCTCGTCTAGAGAAACCACTTACGTGCAGAACCGATCACAAAGCTGCTTCGCGCGCATCTCATGCTACACACAAACGAGCGACAAGCGATTTGTGAGCCACCACCAGTACGCCTAAGAGGAGCGGCCTGCAATAAGCACGTGACAAGATAACGTGGCCTGCTGGATAGAGCGACTGTGAAACGCGTCCTCACCTGCTCGGCTTTTTCGATGGAACACAGCTTTTTCTCCATGTCGGCGTACTTCTTCCAGTAGCCATAGCAGTAGGGGTAGTACGAGAAGAACTTGTCGAAGGCCTCGCGTGCCGCTGCCAGGTTGTTCTGTAGGAGATGAAAGAAACGACAAAGCTAATTACAGAATTTGGCGAGTGAAACGAACCAAGCGGACAACACACACTGCCATGCAAAAAATAGTGTTCCATAAACGTTTGTGCTCATTTCACGATTAAACATTAAGTATACTTATCCTAAATTATTAAAGATTGCAGGAATTGCATCATTTAGAATTAGTGCTCAATAAAATTAAGTGGTTCCCTATTCCAAGGCTCCGTCTGAATGAGATGCAACCAGCACCTGCTCGACAAGACTCCACTGATCCTCAAGAGCTATACAATGCCTGTTGATTTGAGCCTGCTGGCTTGGCTTCGCAAGAAGAAACGGTGTGAACTAGAGGTGCGCATGAACTTCGGGTAGCCCAAAAGAGACCAAGCCTGGCCCGCAGGCCAAGCCAAGCCGACGTCTTTTCATCTTGGGCTAGGCCGAGCTCATCATTTTTTTGTCAGGCAGACCATGTCATATGCAAAGCCCAAACAGAGCCGGAAATATAGACATGCCGGAACTGTTCCCCACTTCTCCACAACCGTGCCCGCCTCACTTCTCGGTTCTCCGTTCCTTGAGCCACATTAAAGAACTTAAGAATTAAGAACTAAAGAACATTAAGAACTAAAGAGACCAATAACCGACTTTTTTTTTTTTTACCCAATCTTTTCGGGCGCGACAGAAAGCTTACCCTTCATAGTGTTCGTAGCTGCAGTAGTTAATCCCAAAAGCACATCATTTTATAAGCAGTATTTTTCTATCTGAAAGGCTCTGAACAGAGATCTGCCCTTTCATCCAGCAACGCTGAGAATTGATAGCGATGCCTGTAGCCATTCTGGTGACTTGAGCATGCTGTCATTCTTATTTCGCAGAAGTTCACGAAACGATGCTTAACCAAGCTTATTTTGCGCTTCACAACTATTTCTTAATATCACAAGCCGTTACAATGAGAGAATGGGCTCTATACAGCTTCCCTGGATTTGTACTGCGTTGTGTGCGCCTGCGCCGAAGGTTGTTGCGCCTGTGTCGTAGATGGCTTGTCCCGTCATCGTTATTTTTTCGATACGTGAGCCAAGTCAAGTAATCAAAAATTTCACAGCCTGCCATTTCCGAGACATATTGTAGGCAATAAAACGACGTCGTTTTAAAATCATAGCGACCTGGAAACTGCATGCACGGTTTTATGAGCACGCAGAAAAGTTGCTCAAGAGGTGTTGACGATCATGGGATGATTACGTCGTGCGAGGGCAGCACCACTTTAATGCGTACGTATAGGGCCCATATGTACAGTTTCATGGAGTAATATCTTTTACTAGAAAGAAGCAAACAATATTTCAACACCAACAGAAAAATTGTTGACCGCACACGCTAGTTTACGGTCATGTAACAGGGCAGATAAGATAATTGAATTTTCTGCCACCAGGTAGTGCCACACGCAATTTCCGCCATTTTAAATGAAGAAATGAAAATAGAACTCCACTTTTCACGAGAAAAACAGGGTTGGTTTGAGTCACTATGAGGTAGAATTTTTCCATCCGTGCACTCATCTCATTTCATGTTCTGGGCAGTTGTCAACTCCATTTAACGCAAGAGGTAAGGATGATGTCCCACAAGGTAAGATTTATGACTATCTATACAAGGAATAATTCCCTCTCCTACATCTGAGGTACAAAACTTCTGGGCGAGAACAAACGGCCTAAATATTCCAAGCATGCTATTACAAAAAATACATTGGCGATTCGGGCTATTAGCGTGAGCAGCGAATCGACCTTCAGTTGGGCGGGATATGTGACGCAGGAGAGCCGCACTTCACCGAAGCCCGAATCACTGGACAGCTTATTTTTACACGACAACTTGTAATTGCGACATATAGTGACTGTCATGTGCCGTGCACTTACGTTTCACTATTAAACGTTGAATAATATGCCACACTGTCAGTAGGCGACATCTTGTCGGGCACACAGCCCTCAGCGTGAGGCTCGGGCGGGCCTTTGACAGAATCAGCAGGCCCGTGCCAGGTTCTTAAAATTCGGCCTATGCACAGCAGCTCTTGTGCGGACACACGGAACAAGACTGATAGGACTCAGTGCTAGTTAACAAGCATCGTGATCATTGCACTGTTACGAACAAGCTGGGATGCAAGCGTTGCGTGCTCCCCCCCCCCCCTTCTGTTATTTCTGCTTCCCGATAAGTGTTATACTACTTGAATTTTTTCACCTACAAAATAAACAACTCGTATGCAACACGCCTGTCAGTCTTATGCTGTGTGTCTGCGCTGTTTCCTCCTATGAACGGGAGAGTTGGGCGAGACAAAGCCTCCTACCACGTTCGCTACGCATTTTTAACGATGCTTCTGTACGACTTATAATGGTAACACAATGCTTTCTATAATAGGCCTATTAGAAAACTCATGAGTTCGAAACTCATGAGCACAGTTGTGTCGTGGGTTAATGTGTGATCGAGTGACCGGCAATTTTTCTTTATTAAAGCAATGTAAGTGGATATGGTCACCTAGACATGATAGTGAATTGCGCTGTTTCCAGTTACAGGACTTGCAAAACACTATCATTTTTAAGCAAGGTGCACGATGGCGATCTGGACATTGGGTTCTAAAGGTCTGCAATTTTCGTATTTAAACCTACGCCAACAGGCAGACCAGAAGAAACGGCCTGATTCTTTGATTCCCAAATCACTGAACATTACTCCCTTATATATTTCCCTCTGTGGGGGGTATGTGAAAGCTATTCACAAAAGCAGCAGCTACTATATCGTGACATTTCGGCAATGAATCTGAGATGCCACTGCCACCATCACATCAGACATGCTGTAGAATATGTGGCAAGAGATTGAACACCTACTTGATATTTTTGCATGTTAACAGGTGTGAACATGTCGAAGAGATTGAAATGTTCAACTGCATTACCTGTGCGAAATGTTTATGTGAAGTTCGAAAACTTCACGGATACAGAGACGTCTGGCATGATAGTGCATTTTAATTTACTGTATCTAATTGAATTATCAGGGTAAACATTTACGGACATCCCGTACTTCCGAGTATACCGCTTAAAAGGCTCTTACCTCCTGTTCAACATACTGCAGCAGGTAGGTCCAACCAGTGAAGTCGGCCGGGTTGTTCCGCACCACTTGCCAGTACTTCTCCAGTTCCACCGACTCCTTACCTTCCTTTTTGCTGTCACCGACGCCACCTACACAGCCGCGACCCCCATCCACCCGTAGAAGCCGCAGGTAGAGGTAGAAAGAAGCGGGGGAGAAGAAAAAGAGGCGAGATACGCAACCAATTAGCAAGCGCGTGCCACTGAGCCGGTCGACCCAGGAAAGAAAACGAGTGCAAGAGAGAAGAAGGCATCGGCATTTTAAAGATGTGATTATTACCTTGGGAGTGAACCCTTTAGCTTACAAGTAGTAGTAGTAAGAGCGGCCTCCTCCCCAAGGAGAGGGCGGGCTGTCATCATCATCATCCCACTGTGGCAACGTCCCCCGTCTCGACGTGAAGTCTACGACCACCGAGAGAGCGTGTGTGTCTACAGGAGGGGTCCGCGGAACACAACAGCATAACGCAAAACAGGTCAGAATGGTGAAAAAAAACAAAGGGATGCGCAACAATGGCGGCCTCCTCCGCCCTTGTTGGCAATTTTTTGTCACGTTTTTATGTGGGGCGCACCTGTCGGGTATCGCTTCCTTGGCACCGCTGCCGTGGCACCCCCGCCGGCTGAGGGAGGGGCGGCGGAAGGTAACGTTTTGCCAGAAATGCAAAAACGACAATAGAGCGCCCCCGAGGGGGGCGTGGGTGGGCCCTTTTCTCACCGTGCCAAGTCACTGAAAAGCGATCGGGGAAGCGGGGAAGTGACTGGGGGGGAAGCATGACAGAACAGCCCCCACCGGTGGCAGCACAGTGCTTCATCGTGCTCACCTTTTGCGTCGGCCGACGCAGAGGAGGAAGTACTCATGCTGTCGCTTCCATTTTTGCTTGAGTGCATCGTGTTCTACTTGATGTGTACTGAAAAAAAAAAGAAGTAAAAATCAGTACAAGAATTCGTTGAGCAGGCTGGTACGCATTCGTCTTTTGTACACATTTGCAGCTGCTTATAATTTTTTGTCCTCGTCTCACGTGTACAGCATCAACCCAAGATTTAAAAAAAATTGGGCAGTTTCCACTAGTGATGCAAGGCTGGACTAATAACAGAGCTTGTAGTCAACCTAGATTATTAACAGGTTTTCCATTAACATTGCACTAATCCAGAAAGGCAAGGTCCTATTTCTTTACGTTCATCTCTGTTTCTTTGACCAACACAGTCTATTTCTTTTAAACTGTGGTTTTTCTTCTTTCAATTCCATTTGCCTGGTCCGTGCTTCTCTTATTTCTTCAGAAAGCACGCCCATTTAAGGAACGCCTACACTGCATATCGATCATGTCAATTTCGATGGGTCTATGGGACTCACAGCTAATTATCCGACAAATTACTAGGCCATACAAAAAATTATACTATATCCTCATATCTTGAATGTATGTTGCCAAGAGCAAACAATTCACAATGTTCATAAACAGTCGTGCCTCGTCGCAGAATTCAGGAGCGTCTTCTCGAGAATGATCAGTTGGCAGACCCTCTCTTGTTGGGCCGTGCTAGCCTTAGTGTTAACACGCTGTCTGTCTGTCTCTCTGTCCGTCCGTCCGTCTGTCTGTCTATCACGCTTTGCTCTTTCAAACCTTAGCAATGTTGCGCCACTTGATTTTTATGTTCGTTGATAGATGGCAGCACACTGAAAGTGATTCGCTTCTTGCCTGGTGTCCGAGCGAATCGTTGTTTGCGCCCAGCTAAACGTGGTGATTGACGCCGTGTTAGTGTTGTACATGGTAACGCGATGTTGGCATTATCTAAATCGATCGGCGAAGAGAATTCCTCTGATTACTTTCAGCAGTGGTGTCCAAAGAAACCGGCTTGACGTCAAGGATTTTCCACTAGACGCAGAACGCATCGAGAGTGACAGCAACGATGAACAAACAGCTGCTAACTCACGAGCAGCAAGTTGCACTTCACATCCCCTGATACGTTAGTGTTTTTTTATGCTCGTGACTTTTATTGTATTTATTGTATAACATCCTTCGGTGAACTCAAAATAAAAGCATAATTTGTCTTGTGCATTGAATCCTGTAACCCAATTAGAGTAGATATTATGGAGCTCTGCATGCTGCCAACACACTCGAGCTTGACAAACGAAGCGAAATGGTTAAAGCAATGAAACATGCAGTTATCACTACGGTCCATGCCTCTCTGGTAACTTCTCCTACACTTTACCGGCACCATCCGAATGACGTTGTTATTGGATGAATTTTCACAATTTGAATGTTGCGAAAAGCATATGTGTGTATTCGTTTCGATATTCATGTTGCGATCGCGCTGATGGAACTTGCAACATCCTAGTGCAGTGAATTGCGCACTGTTAGAGTCTGTTCATGGCTTTGACACAAGCGCTACTTCATGGTAAGTTAAATTATTGTGTTCAGTTGAAGAAGCAACTTCATGGTGCTTACAGTGCAAGTACGGACGACGGCGTAATATGTTTGCAAATAATCGCTAAGTTATTCGGTCTCGTGCAGTCGCGACGACGCGCTTACTCACTAGTGGTTCACTACTGCGGCAAATCCGTCAGGCGGGCTCGGCACAGATTATCTCGGAGTGCCGTTAAGTTCATATCGTCAGCTTCAATTTGCACAGTTTCCTGTAGCACGCGCAGGATTACGCAAGGTATCGTTGATGCACGGTCGATCAGCTGACACCACCACCCTTCGCACTGCGGCAAGAAATGAGGTAGCGAACATCTAGCAGTTCCTATCGTTCGGGGAAGTATTTTAGTCCGATATGCGTTCGTTCGACGATGAAGAGTTCATCTGGTGAAAGCGGCATAGGACATATGTCTGTGCGTCCTATCTTTTCCTATGCAGTTCACGGGTTGATCGTTCCTCCCGCAGCCTGTTGGATTGTACGGCGCGCCACCTGTACCGCATGGAAATTGCGAATATTTATAGTCAACCCGAATATGAAGACGATGTGTGCCTGCGGAGTTATTGCGGTGTGACACAAGGCACGGCTTCATTTTTTGCTCATGAAAAACGGTAGAATGAAAAGCCTGAACAGTACCACCACTGAAATCAGTTATGAAAAAAAGGGTCAGTGCTAGTAAATGATGCATTGAATGCAAATGACACACATGGTTAAATTGCCTTCACCAGGACCACTGCAAACTTTGGTTACACAATGTATGCTACTGGGATCCCATACGTAGCCTTTTACAAAACAAACTTAAAAATCTGTTCATTCGGAGAAGTTAGAATGAACTGAAATGTCTTACTACCATGCTGTGAGAAGGGAAACTGCCATTGTTTATACTGAAACGAACTTGGGGAAGTTCCATAATCCGCAGAATGTATAATGAGATTACCTATTGGAAACAATTTATCTATACAATTTATGCTCTGTAATAATCTTTTTATGTCACCATAAAAGCTGACTGCATGAGTAGTTGCGTGTGGAAAGGAAACACAGCTGAGGTCGGCAGACTCTACGAAGTGAAAACACATGAAAATATCAGCCATAAAATATGCCAGGTGGAATTCACTAATGCAGGTTTGGGAGCAGCTGCTAATCTGCAGTGGAGTTATGGGAGCAAGCATAATAAACGTTTCATCGCCTGAATTGTCTAAAAGTCGGCTGTTTATAACTTGCAAAGCAAACTCAACAAGGTGGCATGAACAGTGACTTTTTTTGTTTGAAGGGCCTCAGACAATCACATGAGATTTCATGCGTACCTAGTAGTTCAGCAGGTTGCAATGCAAGTCCTGGCGGAACGCCTAGAAATTTTCAGGGCAATCTTGAAAAGCTTGCAAAGAAGCTGCACTATTTCTAAACCTTCTGAAGTTACCATTTGTAAAATATCGGCAAGGCGGCTTTCTTCCAAGGCTATTTTCCAACCGAAATCTCCCGTACATAAACTGTTTTTCCTCGCTCACTGTGCTTTTACTGCTCCTAATTCTAGTGAAGGCACACGAGTATAACAAAACGGCTTTTTCACCTGAACAATTACTATGCGATTGTTTTGCCTCGTACGAGCAGACAGGCTAGGATCACATTGCGTACAAGGCACCCGTCACTTGTAAAAAAAAAGAGTATGGGGGAGGCAAAAACACAATGAAAAAAAAAAAAGCAGTCTGTGAACGAAAGTTCTTGGCGGAAAATAACCTCGAAGGAAAGCCGCCTTGCAGATTTTTGCGAATGGTCAATTGCTGGGGTTTAACATGCCAAAACCTCGATTATGAGAGACTCCATAGAGAAGGTCTCTGGCAATTTTGACCACCTGGGGTTTCTTAATGCACACCTGAAGTCTAAGTAGATAGTCCTCTGGCATTTACACTGGATTGAAATGTGGGCAACACGACAGGCACTCAGTCCCGCTACTGTCAAGAGTTCTAAGCCTTGACTATTCAGCATCACTTCATACAAGTGCCACAAACTTAACTTAGCTTTAGTATCATTCAGAATCTATTCTAGCTGGCCTTGACAGTGCATCGGACTGATAGGTCAGCTGCAAAATACTGCACGGCTTTGTGCAAGACGTAATGGCGACGAAACACAAGAGAAAAGCTTCCAAAGAAAACATGACAAACTGTATGCTGGTTCAAATACATTTTGATGCATCATTTTTCTGATACCCATGTTTTTTTGTGCAACAGTTTTCGAGAGATCAGACATATAACCCATATGACCATCCATCCTGAGCTCTAATCGTACAGCTAGCATGCTGATAATGATCATGTAGTAGAATTAACCACTTTTCAGAATGTGGAAATAAAGCAATTAACTTGCACTACTGTGACTTTTGAGTACATAGATTGTAGGCTTGTTTGCAGTAAAACAAACAGAAGGCTAAGTACATCACATGCGGGTGACCTTTTTTTCGAATCCCCATCATCTCCAAGGCAATAGATGTTGAATGACTATTCCACGACCCCACTAACACAAACGATTGCAAAAAATATGAGCATGAGCAATTATCGATACATACGCTGCTACTACGTTTGGATAAATAGCACGACCAACTAAACGGCCAAGAGGGATTGCAGTGAGTGTGTGAACTGCTAGACACAAAATATTGCGGTAAAAGGCGCTAACTAGCACTTATTTACGGTACATGACGCTACGTAACTCACAAGCTCTAACCCGCAACCACAAACAGCTCCCGTTTTCGATGGGAATCGTATGCAAATGGTAGACGCTCGAGGCACGGCCTTTTCTAAGTTGAGACTTCCATATGCTTACCGTTTAAGCAACGGACACGAAATTCACTTAACAGTAACTTCCACTGTGACCTCAACAAGTATGGCGATGCAAAGAGAATGAATATTCAAGTAACAACGCAGGTAATCGCATCGTGGACCCGAAAGCAGTTCCGATATGGAGACTGCACGAAATAAATCACACAAAGCCCTCATTCGGCTAAAACAATTGAAAAGGCACAAGAGACAGTCCGATCTTTGTGCTACACGGCTCAATTAAAAAATAAAGTTTAAAAATCCCAACTACCGCATTACTGATACCAGCGGTTAACTCCCCAAAACAAAAGATCGCTACCATTTCGTCATGACCGCAATTACGAAAATGGTCATCAATTTAGCGATAAGCTACCGAAGGTGAGAGCGAGACAAATGAAATTGTGGTAGGGAATCAAGCACTAGTTTTATTACACCTAAATGCCACGGCCGTAAGAAGCCAGTTGAACTCGCGCGATGCGAGAGGCAGAAGACGGTAGCGAAGGTAGGCCGACAAAACGAACGACGCTGAAGCACAAATTACGCTCAGGGCGTAAATTAGAAGTGCCTAACGTACGTTTGAGACCAGAAAATCAGGTAGCGTTGGTCAGGTAGGACCCGATTAACTTGGATTAACCTGGATTCACGACGATCAGCCAGTGAGGATCTACGGCGACGATACGGAAGCAGACCGTCGGAGCGGAACAGCGCTTAATTCGGCCGTCCACGGCCGCCCAGAACGTCCTGTGCTTAATTTATTGGTAGATCAAGAATACTTTTGTGTATCAATGATGAAGCTTACCCAGATTAACTCCGAGTAACGGTGGCCGGGGCAATTAAAGAGCCGCAACGAAAGATCGCAGATCATGACCTACTACACTCCTGACCTGTTCAGATAGCGGGGTTCCTATGGGAGCGCGTGTCCCCGCTCTCGTTCAATCGCTCGCCGTAGGTGGCGCTACCTATAACCTGTTCGTCTGCTTCTTTACGGTTGTTTTGTAGGCGCTGGTATAAGAATGCCTGCTTTCTGTGGTGAACTGTCGGCATATATGTGACTATTTCTTCCCATACATTGCTGGTCAAGTAAGCTGTTCAGTGCGCTTAAGAATTTATAGCACACTGGTTGACAAACGTGGAAACCCGTGGATTTACATGATTTTGGACAGCCTATGCGTTGTCGCGTGCATTTTATTGCAAAAAAAATTCTGAATGTCTTTTAGTATTATTATTTCTGGATATTTCTAAATTGTGGATCATAAATTCGCACTACGAGTGCTTTGTTGGTTAAAATTTGACTACAAAGAGTGAAGGTGACGTCAGCGAACAGGTGCTGCCTAGCGCCACGCCGCTCGTAGGTGACGGCCCTAGCGGCAGAAGGTATGAACTAGAACGTGGGCGCTGGAAGAGGTGCTCTCTGGGCAGGTCAGGAGTGTAGTAGGTCATGTCGCAGATCCTCCTTACCACAAATAAACGCACGACTAACGCTTCCGTTATTTCGACGGGCAAATTCATTGAGCAAACCCAGCTAAATAGCACGAGTGCAGGTCACGAATACACGTACAAGCCTACGACACAACTAGCGCCTCCTCTATTTCGACGGAAAAACTTCTTGCACAAACCCAGCAAAATAACACAGGCGTGCACGCCATTCGGCAAAACGTGAAACGGCACAAACCGAAACAAGTTACTCGAAAGTCTTTGTACTCGCATCTGATCAAACCAGTTAATCCACCGCGTGGGTAAAAAGTTACTTGAAATAGACGCGTGGAGACCGATGATACTTCGATATACCGGCGTCGTGTTCTTTGCTTTGACGAAAAAGGAGAGCGATAATCTTTAAAAGGCGGATACGGGGCGGTGATCGTCTCGCTTCGCTGGTTTCACACGACGACAAACATCGGTTTCCTAGGTTCCCAGCTGGTTTGCTTGTTCTATTTAGTGCTCCTTGTCATCTCCTTGGGTTGCGTGAGCTGTTATCGCGAAGATAACCAGCAACTCAGACCGGCGACGGATCGATCTTCGCTGCTGCCATGTGCTGAAAGTTTATTTACCTATCGAGGTAAGCTGCTGCGAGCTCCCAAGTCTCGCGTTTGGTCACCCTTCAAACGCGCTACGTTGTGCTTGTTCTTATGCAAGTGTGCAGCAGTGTTGTGCTCCCTAGTGATTGCTTATCAGTGGCCAAAACGAACAAGCTATAATCTGCAAGAGAGCTGACTCTGAAACGGCTGTCCAAGCTTCGATCTGCTACGTATCCGCTGTGGTTGTTAGCGCCCTACATATGCGCGTTGGCTAGGGTCACCTGAAGTTGGTTCGAGAGATTGGCCTCGCCTTTTGATTGGTTGTCTGGCAGCATGTTCTCAACGTATATCTGATGGCGAACTTTGTAATTGTGCATGTTTCGTTGCGTACGTAGCAAAGGTCGCATTGTTGACACTAGGAAAGACGTCTCGCGGTGGCTTTTGAGATCTTTCCGGGGGCTTTGGTTTGATAGGACCTGGTTGCGTGATTTTCGTTGCCTTTACCTCGGCGCGTTACTTCGTTTGTGGAGGCGCCTCGCACGTTTAAATGTGGGAACGTTTCATGGGGTTACGTCTTCCCCTTAAAGACAAAAGAAATGGAAGCTGTACTTACATCTATGCTGTCACGATCATCAGGACTCGCATCTCTTAGCAAAATAAAGTCATATTAGACCATCGTCAATAGGCTCATCAAAGGCTCTTCTCTGGATTAGAAGAAAACTTCCTGAATGAAATTTCTTTCTGTGCCGCTTCTGAGTACATTTACGCTATCCTAAGCCACCGTGCTCGAGCTCGTTCACGCCTTTTTTTTTTTTTTAGATGCTGTGACTAAAGAATGATCAAGTCGTGTTACTCACACCTGTATCCCGTTTCCTCTGTGGGCTGTATATTGTGCACAAGAGGATTTCGCAGCATCTCCAGAAGGCCGGTCAGAAATGGTCACATTCAGCATCTGTCTACTTTGATCGAGCAACACTTCACTGTAATTTTTGTTTTATGCTACTTATCGACATGCTGTGGCACGTTAGTGTCTAGAGGCACTTGTGCAGTAAAGTTTTCCGATATGACTGCAAGACCAGAGTGCAAGCCTAGTGGATAAAAAAAAGCAGTAATGAGACAGGGTCAGTCAAAGTGGAATGCGATGCGTGAATATCCCTCTCTGCATAACCGGCCGATTGTGGCCAGGCTAGAGGAGGGACGCCTGCGTGCGCCTGTTTTCCTAATGGTCAATGTCAGTAAACTTGAGATGGGCCCGTGCGAGCAATGCTGCTGCCTCTAGTGAGTGGATGGTGGTCCCAGTGTTGCCATGCTTAGCACGAGGTTGCAGATGCCATGCCACAGCGACCACATTTCGAAAGGGGTCAAATGCAGAAATGCTTGTGTTCGTGACTCAGGTGCACTACAGAGATTCCCAGGAAGTCAAAATTGATCTAGAGTCCCGCACTACAGCATGGTTCGTGTTTATGCACTGTCTTTGGCACATAACACCCCTAAATTTGTTGTCGTACGCTCTTTGTCTACACGCAGGTTTGCGCTACTCCTGAGCCGGAACCACAATGGGCCTTGGCAACATACTCTTGCTGACGCAGGCCACATGCTACACCATAACGCTGATCCTGTCGGTGTGCACCGTCGTGCCGATGGCGGTGCACGTGTCCAAGTTTGACGGCCACTGCCTGCTCTACACTACGGGCACCTTCGACAGCGACGACGGCCATTTTATCGCTCGATGGGCATCGCCCTTCTACTGCTTTTTCACGCTTTCTGTCGGCGGACTCATGGTGGTCGTCTCGCTCATACAGCTGGTCCGCATGTCGATTTTTCTCTACATGGGCACAGACAGGTCTGGCACTCTCTTTCATTAAGCGGAGTGATAAGGGAGTACAGTGGAATCCTGTTAATACGGCTGTAACGGGCATTAAATGTAAAGACGTATTATCCAAAAGTCGCATAATCTAAAATGGGGTCCGAAAAATCACAAAACGCACAGACTTCACTCGGAACATCCCTTTATTGAAGAACTTAAAGCTATAGTTCTATGATATCTTTCAGGAAGTGTTTCTGAAACTTGTATAAACAAGTAGCAGTTTGATCATTGAACTCATCGCTAGCGACAATGCTACGAAACATGTCTAAACCTTTGAGTGCATAGTCACTAGTTCCTGGGTGATGACTGCTGGTGCAGCCTCTCACTTATTTGTTGTCATCGTGCAAACACAAGTGCTCTGCTACGTTGATGGGCCAGCGCCATTTAGAGGCAGCACTTCTTGGAACGAAAATTGAAACCGCACAAGGTTTTCAGACGTTTTTGCGGTTGTATTATCCAAGCCTATTTGAAAATACTATCGTATTAGCTGTGCAAAAATGCATTACCTTTGTAGAGTATCGGGTGGGAATAAAAAAAAGTGCTATGCCAAAAACCATATTAGGCGATATTTTGCAGGGTGCGCCTTTAAACTGTGTTACCTTCGTATTCTGATTTTACTTTACGTAAGCACAGACAAGTTTGGCACTCTCCATTACTGATCTAACCTAATGGATTATTAAGGGAGTAATGATGCACACCTCTCACACGCCACACAGGTAGGTGTGGTCCATGCACACAGCCGTAAAATGCACCTGGTGCTGCCATACTATTAAAACAGTGTCACCTTCGAGGCGTTTTTCAGTCACAGAATAGTAATCTCTGCTGACCATTTCATGGTGGCCTCTCACTTATACTACTGGCTGGTATGCCAGTTTCTTTTTACATGGGCAGACAGGCCTGGCATTCTTGCTCACTAATCCCAAATAACGGAGTAATACGGGAATAGTGATTTACACAATACTAAGAGGAGTGCTTTATCTACACAGTCCCGAAATACACCCGGTGCTGCCATTTGTATGCATCGTGTTTAAAATCATGTAATGTGCATTGAAAGTAAGTAGCAATGCTGTGTACTTGTTTCATTCAAGTTTTTCAGTTCTAGTTGCAGACCACATGGCATTTCCAACCCATTCTAGAGTGGGTCTTAATTCTGCATCTTCACGGCACCAGCGGTAATATTGTGGTCTCTTGCAGCTCGTTTCTGTCTGCCTTCCTCGACTCTGTGGTGAGCGTCGTCGTGATGCCCCTGGTCTTCACGACTTCGGTGCTGGTGTCAGGACGGCTTCCGGGCGTGGTGCCGAGCCATCACCCAGCGATTCCCAGCGTGAGCCTCTCTTTTGATGCTTGTGACAGAAGGCGCTAGTGAAAAATGTCCTATCGTTTGTCTCAAAACCAGACTGTGGGGTGCCCGCTGCAGTGGTGTAGCGTCTGTTGGCCCGAATGTTGCCGGTTCGATCCCAGTCGCAGCGGTCACGTTTGGATCGAAGCGAGGATGCTAGAGCCCCATGTACTGTGTGATGTCACTGCACATTAAAGAACACCAGATGATGAAAATTTTCACAGCCCTCCACTATGGTTTGCCTCACAATCATATAGTTCTGGCTTGAAAACTCTGAATATTGCTATTATTACATTGCGGGTTCTTCTTGCATGCATAACTCTGAATAAACATGTCTCTTTACGTGCACACGAATCCCCTAAGTCGTCTTCCTACTGGCACAGTTACGTAGCTTCATTTTTTTTATATCATGACGGGTCCTATTTTTCACGTTGTCTCAGACGCTTGCCAACAGTGATTTGTATGCCTTTGTGCATTTCGTTTCCTCGTGCATCTGCGTAATGCAGGTGCCGTGAAATGAAACGCATGGAAATGCATTCACTCACCGTTATGATTTCGAATAGGCCTATCCTCTTTTTCTCTCTCTCTTTCATTTTGCTTTCTTGTGAATGCTATGGCAATGTACTTATGATCTTCCCTGCTGCTGTCTCCTGTAGAAGATGCGAAACCTTAGATAAGTGTTCTTTGCTTTTACAAAAGTCTCAAACCTTTCATCAAGCGTTAATTAGTTGTGTTTATCAAAAATAAAGTGTTATTGCTATCATAAACCATTTTTTTATTTGTTTCCAGGTGTGAAGATGCATCAGTCACGCAGATTAGCAAACCAGACCACGTCGACACTGTTGGATTTTACATGCATGTTGGCACAGCCCAGGTAAACACATTTCTTATGAGATGCAGGGAGTACTATAATAACTAATCTTAAGTGTGTGCTGAGGAATTCCTTGCTTGATTGATTTCAGAGGATAGGTTTTATGTAAGTAAGTAAGTGGGAAGCTCCCAGGTTGCTTGTATCTTAACATTTTATGTGCTTCATTTTTTTATATTTTTATAGAAGAACTATAAAAATTTTTAACGAAATTTCAACATAAGTTTAGAGAAAGTTCCTTCCTTAGGATACAATTTCCACTGAGAACACTGGGCTGTCAAAATTGAGCTTGAATCTCGAACTGCTGAGCTTCTTGTAGCCTGCTCAGTGTTTCAAGTAGTTAAACACTGATGATAAATTGATAGACTAATAAGTTTTTCTAGCACACTGGCATTGAAATACTCGTGACGGACCTTTAATATGCAAGACTTTGCACTGAGAAATTTCTGACCTAATTCTAATGTGGTTTATTATTTGATGGGGGTGACATACATGGACTTTCCGTGAAAAAACGGCGAGCGGCTCAGTGACTTGTATAAAATATGTCAGCTTAATATTGCACGATTACCGTTGTGATTTGCACCTGTCTTGGAAAGTCGTCGAGGGACCGAGTTCTGCTGCGATAAATTGAATGACCTGACACTTTTTTTTTCTTTCTTGAAGTTTGGTGCCTGGAGTTCTTTGGTGTGCTGGGTCCTCCAGGCAGTGCTGTGCGCACGCAAGCTGTGCCTCTACCACGAGCGCGAGAACCTCATGATCAGCATGGCCCGCGAGCGACGTCTCCTCAATGCCTCGCACAAATCCCAAGCAGAGACCGTCGACGACACGGTACCTATCCTCGACTGAAGGATGAAGAATCGTCGTACAGTCAGATCACTTTCTGCGACATCCACTGCCATTGGACAGGGGCGAGCGAGATTTTTCCCAACCAAAAACTTCGACAGTGCAGTTGCCAAACAATCTCGTGCTATTGCAAGCTGAATCGGTTCCATGATCTACTATATCCAGCAAGACCGTGTGACTCTCAATCGTGTTTCCTTTGATACAGCCGGCACAATAGACGTATCGTGAAAAGTAGAGATTCACAGATAGTAGAGCCAAAACAGGGCAAAAGAATAGGGACTGAGAAAGAGTAGACACAACACTTTCTTTTGCGCTGCTTTGCTTCTACCAGCTACGAATTGCACTGATTTGCCCAGTTTTCAATCCTACTCAATGTAACGTCTAGAGTTTGAGTTGCGAATGTTAGGAAGCATATGTGTGTGAGAGATACCTTATGCAATGCAATGTTAAATATGAAACTTGCCTGTGTGAGTTTCCACTGTGTTGCACGTGCTGCTCCGCGGGTGTTTTTTTAATGAGCAATCTTAGATGTGTTGCGAATGCAGTAGTTCGGTTGTTTTTACCTTTAGCGTCTTGTATGACTTGTGTTCTACAGAGTATTTTGCGTTTCAAACATCTTGAATGAGTAGCTTCGCGAGAGTTTTTTAAAGATACGATCAATCTCACACGATCAATATGGTGTAGATGACAAGCTGGCCAGATGTCTCTCATGGCGGCAAAGTTGTATGTGTGTAAGACAGCTGAGCTGTTGGAGAGTTGCGAACACAAGGGTTAATTTTTTTCTGACACTTAAATCACTACCTCAGTGGCAAGGGCACCGGATATCGTTTTTAATGCAATGGGCCGTTCCGGAAAGTTGCCAAGTCTGGCATGTTACCCAAAGCATGGATTACTTGAAGGAGCATCAATGTTATGGTGAAAGTCCGTAAGCCTTATTTGGTTGGCAATGTAATGACCTAGCTCTGCTGTTTTATAAGAACTACAGGAGTTGGAAAGAGCATAAAAGTAGACAAATATGGGAAGCTGACTCAAACTGTGGTGTCAATAGCTGCATGTAGCAACCACCAAGGAACGAGAAACGAATGTATTGCCAATCAGTGCAACACTCAGCCTCAACGTGCCGATGCAGCTGACTGCTCAGAATTGGAAAAAAGGCTGTGTGTGATTCAGCAGAATCAGGAAGCTGTCCACTTACTTGGGCAGTGATCTTTGGTGGTTTCAATATAACTTTTTTTTCAGCACAAGCCTAATAACCACTTTATGGATTTTAAGTGAATACTGAACAAAAATTGGAAAAACTGATGAGAAAATTGAAAATTTCACTCAGAAGATGCGGCTGGCCTGATGAACACAGTTTATTCTACGTATTTTCAAGCAGTCGGCGCTGTTTTTGATGGCTTGTCAATGGCCGGTGGTTGCATGCAAGGGCGACTCGTGATGTCGCATTATCGAGGCACATGCGTGGTGCATGTTTTCCTGTCCTCTTTCCTTTCTCCACTTTTCCTTTTATTCCACTCTTCTTCTAAGCACTGTTGCTTGACATTTGTAGAGAACATATTTGGCTGCTGGTGCTGTTTATAGTGGTTCTGGAAATCCTAGTGGTAGCTGAGTGGGGGTTGAAAGATGCGGGCGACAGCTTGCATTGTTGGTGCACCCATTTCAGGCATATAAACATCGCCTCCCGAAATCCGCTGTGCAGTCGCTAGATGCGACAGTTTGTGAAAAATGCGTTTAATATGCATATTTTTCACTAGTTTTTGCCTGAAAGGGAAGATAATCATCGACGTGATGCACACTTTTGGCTCGGCCACCATTTTTTTAGTGCGGAATGCTCTCAACTTGTATCACCTTCATCTTTTTGCACCACTCTTACTTGAATTCATGCACTTCTGTTTTTACTAACGTTTTTGGGAAGTGGTAGCCAGTACTTTTGAGAACAAGTTATGTTTTTAAACTGTGATCAAAAAAGAAAAAAAAGCACATTCAATTATTTGCATTTGTGCCCTTTCAATTCCTTTTCACAAAGCATTAGCTATGAATGCTGTCTGCTTTAAAGTGGAGTGGTTTTCTCTAAGGGCCCCTCACTAGGTTTCATTTCAAATTTCAGTTATGGGAATCTCGGTATATCTGATTGGAAGAGATTACAAATATATATATTCTATGTATTTTCACAACTATTTGATATGCACCGTAATGCATTATATGTGGATCTTAAGTCTCGATTTTAGGTCTAAACTATAGTTGAAGCCATTTTGACGCCACACCCGCATTTCATAATTTCAGACACGATTGTTGCCGAGTTGCCCCGCGCTTGTTCGCCATCTGCAAACCTGGGGAAGGGCCCCTTAAAATTTCACTCTCTTCACGTTTTCAGTGGGTGGCCATTATCTTGCGCTTGTCAGTGGAGGCTCAGTGTTCGTTTATGGTAAGCGGTGTTGATTCAGTCTGTAGGAAACATTTGTATTTGGTCTGAAGAGAGATTGTGTGGTACATAATTGTACATTATTGCACCAAAGAAGGTTGTGAGTTTGCGTGAATTGTGGCAGATGAAGGGGACGAGTGATAGGCGGCTGCTGAAGATAAAAGGACACAGGAGAGAGTACTTAAGCGCATAGATTTGGAATTTTGTAGCTTGGAAGCATGGCCAGGTTGGCAATGTGATCTTGTTAGACCGCCTGTGGAAAATACACAGCATGAAATGTGGACATGTTTAGAGCATGTGTTGATATCTTGTGAACATTCGTGTCATGAGCTTTACTTAGCGATGTAGCTTCGCTCAGAGTAACCAGGAGGTTTTGATCAGACCACTTAGAAGCCATGTAATGACCAGAAATCTGCGTTTAGTTTAGTTGATTAAACATTCTGAATTATCCACGTTTCAGTAATATTAAGGTTGCTCCCTACAGTGCTAATCAGTGCCTGTTTCTCGTTTGTTCTCTGTCATGTTGGAAGAAACGCTGAGTAGTACATTGAATGACTATTTCTTGAGCATCCATTAGTGTGAAAACTAGCAGCATTCAGTACAAGAATTTCGCTTTGGAGGGTTGCCTCGGTGATACCTCGTTTTAGGAAGGAAATGTTGGTGCATTGTAATTGTTTGTTGCTCATGTGTCATGCGGTTCTTGTCCCAAGTTCTTTGTGCAACTGTGTGAACATTTCAGATTCTTGTGCGTACCTCTATTTTTACCAAGTAGTATATTCTTACAGAGCACAATACATTAAATGTTATTTCACAGTGGTAATGTATGAGTCTGTTCTTCTTCCTTTTGATCGACCTCCTATCATCGATTAGAATAACTGAGTGGGACCACTGTGAGCCCACATGAACAGTATTTATGCTATGATGGCATTTTCGTGCTACTACAACAAAAAAGTCAGGACCCTTCCCTTCTGGTGTTAATTCAAGCAGCCACCCCCCCAAAATCAGTCGTTGAATCTGTACCTGACCAGCGTTACCTTGGAGGTCAAGATCTAATGACTATATATACGGTGTGAGCTTTTCCATTGAAGTACAGGGATAGCTCTCTGCTCTCCCATAGTAGAGTACCAAGTACTCAAAGTCATTGAACACTTTTATTGTGATAGAACCTATATGGACAGTCTCGGCTGGCTATTGCCACCGCTGCATTCACATATATATGTATATATATACGTGGAAGGATGCGCTAGCGTTTCCTTTCTGCGGAGCATACATCGCCTTTCCGGCCGGGGTCGTCTGCGCACACGCTCTCGTGAGCGAACAAAGAGGAGGGGGGGGGGGGGCGACACTTATGGTTGCCGCGCTTTCGCGGCAACAATCAGCGCTCGCCTTGTGCCCCCGCAGCAGGCGGGAGCTTCTACGGGCTGTGCTCTCAACACGAAGAAAAAAAAAGATGCAAAAAGTGTACCTGGAGTGGCCGTACTCTCTTAAGGCGTGTTTACCCTAGGGTGACACGACACCGATTTTGGTCTGCCGACTCTCTTCGGGAGAGTGTTTTTGTCTTGTCGTCGTCATATTTCCGCTAAAACGGTGCGCCGATGGTTTCTTGAGATTGAATGCTAGCCTTGTTTCGTAAAAAATTCAATTGTTCTTTAGCATTCATTACTTCGCCATTTAGACGAAACTGACTTTATTTCTAAACACGCTGGCTGCCTGAGCCGGCTTTGCGAGGAGAGAGGGGGGAGGGGACGTGCATATGCTGTGGGGAGGAATGCCAAGAGGAGAGAAAGGGGAAGCGAGCACATGCTAACAGACGCTGCCTGCATGGGCAAGTTGCTCAAGGGTTTTAGTGTCACTCTACAAGTTCATGCTATCACAATCATTGCTTCGACCTTGCGGCAAAACAGCGATTTCTAGGCTCATCTCTCCTGCAAAAAGTAACTTAATATATCTAGTACTTACCTTTAACAAAACATGGAATGACTACGTAAGTAACAAGGACTTGGACCTCAGCCTTGTGAAAATTATGCATCTTGAGGCGTAAACTTAAAAAAAATTGTTCCGATGTGAAAATGTTATGCTATATAGCACCTTAATTAGTACCGAACCGGAATATCATGCATTGTATCGGTTGTGTATGCTAAAACTAATGTGAAGTAACCTCGAAAGAGTACAGCGAAAGACAATGAGACATATTCAACAAATTCTCAAGATTGGATTCACCCACAGAACTCATGAAAGCCAACCAACCATATTGAGCCGCTCAAAATGAGAAGACAGAAGCAGAGAAGGGCTTTCTGAAATTGCTTTACACGAACAATTCACCCCTAGACTCATATCTATGTTTGTCACCTTTTAGCCAGAACCACTCGTCCGCGTAGACAAGATGAATTAAAAAAGTACTTCGTGAGAACAAACATGTTTTAGGATTATCTCATTCCTCAATCGTACTATATCCAAACGAAATTGTATGATTGAGTCCACATCATAATCTTCATTAGTATACATTTATTTTGGAGTGTTTTCTCAAGTATACTCACCATATATCTGATATTGTTTTGTTCTCTTTGTTCTTTTTATCTTCTTTCCAAATGTACGTGTTCATTGTATGTACAATTTATTGCCCTCCCTGCTTGGACTACGTGTCTGAAGTCGATAAGTAAATTTCAAACAAATAAAAAAAGCAATTTGTGCAAGCGTTAAGTGCATTGTGAAAAATACGGGCGTTCCAATTCACTTGTGTGCTTCAGTTCGCGAAACGGTTGTTTGTAAAAAAAAAACAGGTGAAAGGACAATGAACTTTAATGCAAATTTTTGAATCAACGCCGCCATCATATGCAGACCACTCCAAAAAGGTACACCTCGCAATTGCTCCCGGCTACCAATCGTTAGCATAGTAACTCATTAGAAAGTTCATTATGAATACGTACTTGTTAATTATGTAGTTGGTTATTGCGCTCTAAACTTGATCGGACATCCGCTGCGTCTGAAAGTTTACTCAAGAGGACGTGAACTAAAATATTGAAACAAAGATTACTTATTTTTCTTTGTACCTTTTTTTAAAAAATGCGGCATTTTCCGTTTGTCTCAGTGGGCTGTTTTTTTTTTCAAAAAAAAAAGTCGCAGCTTTGCTGCAAAGGCGAAGCAATGAACACGATAGCCACAAATTGGAAGGCCACGCGAAGAATGGTAAGCAGATCGAAACGTGCCCCGCTTTTCTTACGCACATATGATGCACGAAACGTAATCACAGGTACAGATGAACGCGAATAACTTATGACAAACAGTACAGAACCTGCAAAACGTTCATAGTCGCAGGACACCTATAGCTCTGTCTCAAGAAGCTTCCTCGGGGGCTGTGTATACTCGTGCGCATGTTGTCAAGTGCAGTTCGCGAGTATGGCAGGAATGATTGCACAAGATCAGTTTCACCAAAAAGGTGAAGCAATGAATGTGATAGCGACAAATTGCAATGTTATAGGAAGTGAGGCTGGCAGTCAACTCAATCAGATACTATCTCTCGTAACTCTACAAAAAGCTGGTGTCGATGTTACGCAACTATACAAAACACTCTTGACACCATTTCTCGTGTTGAGATCGCAGGCCGTAGAAGCTCCCGCCTACTGTGAAGCACTAGTGTTATATACTCTATATGCTACCTTTAGGTAACAGAATCGCGCCACTGATAGAGCTCGCCGCTCGCACCTCCATACGCCCAGCTCGTTCACGTGCGCAAAAAGCGTCCATTTTAGCGAAAGCCAAGTTTACGGCCACGCGGGTTTGGGCGATCGCCGCGCTACTAGCGCCACCCCCACCGCTGCCCGAGCAGTCTGGCGAGGACAACCCTCTGAGTACTAGTTCGTTGGTGTTGTGAATGTGCCTTGTGTTGTCTGTTTTAGTGGATGTCTGTGTTAGGGGTGTCTGGGCAGCTCCGTGACACAGTGCTGCGTAGTCAATTGCCACGATCACAGGATGCCACAACTACATATAGATATGCTCGAAATTCTCGTTTGTTTGTGCTATTTGTAAAACACGGAAGGACAGCTCTAGCAATTGTTTTGTCGAGCCACCTGCCTAATCGTTTAATGTGGCGAAAAACTATGTAGGTGAAACTAGCGATTTGTGGAACTTAATTTGTCGCAAGTCATGTACATGATTCTCGACAAAAAAAATATATCAAGGCTTTCTTGCTTGCTATTTCAAACAAAATATTTCCCTAGGGTGACTTCCATACAACAAGCTATAGCTAGTACTAGTAACATCTAAGACCAGTATTTATTAGAGTTTTCCTTTTTTTTTCTTTGAAGTGAAAGTCATTGCGCAAGCGACAGGTTATGAACGAGCGAGAAAACGCAGCTAGGGAGCTGCTGAGCTGCGTCGGCTCCGACATTCGGAAGGTGTCAGTGAGGTCCGATTTGATAAGTTGAGGCAGGGTTTGATTTTAAAAAAAATGGCAGCATATCCACGGAGTACATGATGGAGAGTAGGGCGAAGCATCCGTCCATCCATTCGTCCTTGCTTCCGTCCGTCTGTATGACTGTCCGTGCGCCCATTCGCCCGCCCGTGCGTGCGTTTGTTTGTGCGTCTACACGTCCATCTGTGCGTCCGTCCCTGCGTTCGTCCATGCATCCGCCCCTACGTCCATCCATGCGTCCATTCGTTCGTGCAGCCATCGGTGAGTCCGTCCATGCATCTGTCTGTGTGTCTGTTCGTCCATCTATTCAACACTCCAAGTAGCACCATCTCGCATCTTTTCATCATATATTTCGCATATGTACCACCATCCGGCGGACATTCCAAGGACTAAACGAGAGGTGGCACACGCACACTTTCTTACGTCTTGCGCTTCGGGTCTACTTCCTACCTTTAACCACCTCGAGTTCATGGTATATACTAGTTCACTGTATTCATGGCACTGCGGCCCAACGCTCGCTAAACCTTTCTTAAAACCAAGAAGGTTACGTCCAGCTAGTATAACGTAGCAACCTTTTCCTGTCAGATAGTGCTCAATGTACATGCCAATGGCTGCTAATGGGAAATGAGAAACAGGAGAATTCGGCTTTAAGTTAACGCGCACGCTGCGAATTTTTTATTGTTCAACAACGCACAGAAGAAATATCTCACCGACACTACCTTGGAGGTCAAAATGTAAGACTGGTTACACACTACGACTACTGCTACGACTACGAGGGAAAATGGGTGCCGCTATAAGGAACAAGTGTTCAAATGATCGCACTTTTGTTGTAGTGTACAGTCTAAACGTGTTTTTGCCGTTCATCGGTGTGTTTACCGCGTGTGTCCGTGATAAGTGTCGGAGAAGAATTATGTATTTGATTACTTGTCAGAAGTGCAATAAACTTCCCTTTGTTTCGCCCCTAATAGTAAACTATATTATACTTAAGTTACAAGTAAATCCGTGGTCGCTACACGTAGAAGAAAACGTGGTTCGGTGCAGGAGCTCGCTCGGATGCGTCCGACGCCACTCGTGTCTCGGCTCGCTCTCCTCTCTTTGGCGATGCGTTGCTGCACGTCCCCGACTCACGAGCTCACTTTTATTCTTTTTTTAATGTTCGCTGAGTGAACGCCGCATGGACAGACCGAGCGGACGCGCTGGGCTCGTGTAGAGTTTTTAGATGCGGAGCATCTAATACTCGAGGCTTGTAGTGCGGCGCCGTCCGCAAGCTTCCTCCTCCTTCTTCCACCATCTGTGCATCCCTTCCTCCTCTACACACCGCGCGCGCTTCACTCCTCCACCATCTGTGCACCCTTCCTCCTCTACACACCGCGTGCGCTTCTCCTCTTCACGAACATTCGCTAGCTGTA